CCCGACTCCTCCTCCCTCGCGGATGACTTCTTTTCCTCCTCCTTATGCAAATTTATTATTTTCGTTCCGATGAGACATTAAAAATTAATGTTGTAAAACTTTCTTTCTTTCTCTCTCTCCGTTCGGGGATTTAATTTATGCAAGGAACTCTTTGTCTCTCTTTTTTGCTGGTGCCGCCGCCGTCGTCGTCGTCGTCGTCGTCGCCGCTCTGAAGAGGAATCGACTTAATGAAAGGGAATGTCGTAAAAATTAATTGCTGGAGCGCCTGCCTCCAATTGAGTGCTGCAACCCGCTGAACACGCCTGTTCATCGGGTAAACAAAGTGATGAGACATAAATTTGCAGAGAAAACTAAAGATATACTTACTTGTATTATGATATGAAAATTTAAAAAATAAAAATTTCAATTCAGTTAATTGAAAATTGAGAATTTCATTACTTTAATGACGTCTATTAACTGATTAAAGATTACTTTAATGAATAAAGCAATATTCCTACTTTGCGTTTCAAACTTGAGATGAAGTAACATATTTCAATAATTCAGATAAATTGTTGCTTTTTAATTATTTAAAATGCCAATGACAAAAAAAAGAAGTTAAAAATATATATGGATTATTTAATTATGGCACATGATTTGACTAGCTTCTAGACCTTTCTTTCTAAGAAAATGTATTAACCGATTCTTGCAATTTTCCATTTTTATTTCAATTTCACCTCTGGATTTAGAAACCATTCCGCAAATTGTCTCATTTTTCTGCTCATTAGCATAAAGCGATCGTATAAAGCGAGGGCAATAATTTCTTCCGGGGACACATAACACACACATATTACGGCTACACACACACGGCGGCAATAATTTCATCGCGCCGCCGTTTATTACGTTATTACTGCACTCGCGGCTTGGCAGAGGAGAGGAAGGCACATTGTCGTCTGCGTGTTAAATCTTGAGGCTTTACATGCAGATAGGGGTAATAAATTTTATAGGTTCTGTTTTCTTCTTCTCTGCACATGCAAATAGCCGAAATTTGAAATCATAAGAGGCGTCTTAAGCCCCCCGGTGCCTTGGCGAGATTCGTAGAATGGCGTGGCTGCGGAAAGGATTTTACTTTTCGGCCCATAAATCTCCAGAGTTATTTTTTCGCCCGGCGCGCAAACATGAAAATTGTGTTAACTTAATGATTCTGCTAATTCTGCTAAGAGCCCCGCGCTACTTCTTATTTATAAATTTTAAGACCGGCGCGGCTCTCGCGAGAGAAACTCGTCGTGTTTGTTTCCCCAGCACACCAGCAGATATGACAATTATATTATTACGTTCGCCCAACTTTGCCACTTCATTATTATTTAAGTCGACACCCGCATTAGCAGGTGCGGAAAGCCGCCTGGATTTCTATCTCTTGAAATTGTAATTAGCTTGCTCGACCAACTGCGTTAAAATTCTCGCTCTTTGCATCTGCCCCCAGTTTATTTTTAAACTCTTAGCATTTACCATTTATAATGTAATTCTTTTTTATTTGAAAAACTTCAGCTTGTGCTACATCATTTTTAAATGCAGAGTTCAATGATAATTTGATTTTTATGCTTGAAATTTCAATCAATTTTTTGTATTCTTAAAGAGAACTTAATTAGAAATAAGTTCTTTACAATCTTGTAAAATGTAACAATGGGCCAGAAATTTATTTATTTTGAAATAATAAATCAATTTTAAAACAAATTTCCACGTTTCATGTTTTCATAATTTCAAATAAATTTCATGGAAAAACAAATAAATTTGGCACAATTTGACTCTTTTTTTAATTTTCTGATTGGGAAAAAGAACAATTTTATTTTTATTTTTTAAATTCGTTCTTACCAATGTGATGTCAATAACATAACTGAAAACTAGTACGGATTTGCTGAAACACCATATTTTTCTTTTCAATTGAATAATTAGAGCAAAATCCATTTTTTTTAATGTCATAAAAAAATTGTTGGTCTTATTGAAATTTAAAATGATGTTTCAATCATTCCATATTTAAACTCTAATTTTTATTCCATTATCTAGGGTTTTTTTAATAAATCATGAAAGTCAGTCTATGAAATAATTGCATTTTTCATTAACTGAAATAATAAGTTTTCTGATTTCCATTTTTGTTTGTTAGGAGTTTTCTTTTATTTTCTTGCCTCAATTTTTGTGGACACCTGCCGCTTCTCAAGTGCGGAAAGAGAATTTTGTGACGCGTCGTAAAAAGTTTGCTTCTAAGCGAGTTAAAAATTCACGAGGTGCCGCCAGTCGAAATATTGCGGATTCTCCTTCGGGCGCAGTTTGGTTTGAGTTTTGGGACCAATTGTTTGTCAATGTCTCGCGAAATCTTATTTATTTTACAAAGCGCCGCTGCATCCGCCTAGTGTGCGTCGTGGGATCCATTGGCCCGAGAAAAGGAATAAAAAAGAGCACAAATAAAGAAAGAAAGGAAGAAACAAGCGAGTTGCAGAGAGCAAAGCGACACACGTAATTACACTGCAAGAAATTACAAAGTAAAATTGCCGGTGCGAAATTTGCATATTCGCCAAGAATAAGTAGTGAAATTTATAAAAGCCGGTGGCCGGTCGACGAAAATGTATGCAAAGAAGGCAACTTTATACTCTTTGCTGGTGCGTATAAATTTCCGTGCACTTTGTGCTTTGCCGAAAGTAAGGAGCGTTGATCGTCGGCACAAACTGACCCCGGGGAATATTATTTCCAAATGGGAGAAAGACGATACTCGGCGAGACAAAAGTGGAAGGACCTTTTTCGGAAATTCCCCTGCGATGTATGCAACATTGACACATTCATACGTACACACAGGCGAGAAGGCTGCGGATATTTTTTATTTCGCCCGCCCGCTCTCCTACCTACTTATTCCGCAGCGTGTGTGTTCGTTCGTTCGTCTGCTTACAAAGTATGGCCATGAATACTTGAAAATCCAGCGAATTCTAAAACAGCTCGCGCGCGCCCGCTGCGGTAAGAGCATGCAAATTTATAGCCGGGGATAAGGTGGAGCAGAAAAATGGAATTCGCCGCCGAGCCGCTCGTTTAATGATCAGCGCAAGACGATACCTACCTTAAATGTATGCAACTTTCATGCAACCAAGAACACTTTTGCGTCTGAAAATTCGCCCAACTTCACGCGTTTGTGAGCCAAAATACTTCTAGAAGACTGTTTCAATGTCAAAAGAAGAAATGCACACAATTAAAGAAGTTTGGATAAAAAAAATTACACGACAAATGTAATTTTGAAGAAAAAATAATAATTCATTTGAAAAATAAATTCTAGTGAGGAAAAATTTCTCAAATGGGACTAAAATGTGCTAGTAATACTTGTGCATATCTTTAATTTGTTAGAGATAAAAATTGAATATAAAAAATTCCTATTTTTAATTTCACTGTTTGGATGAAAATTCACTTCTTTTGCCTGTTTTCTCCCTTTTTTTTTTGAGAATTTGCATCTTTAAAAGTAAACGCCCGCTGAAACTACTAAAAACCTTTATTTATTTCTGATAATAATTGTGGGCATTTTTTTTAACATCATTTTTTTGTAAAAGCAATTTCTTAAATTTTCTCCTCTCTTTTCTGATAGTCTCTAGATGGGCATAATTTGCGCCCACTAAATTGTGGCGGCAAAATAAAAACAAACCCAGCAGGTCGTTTTCTTGAATGGCCGCAGCTAAAAGAAGCCGGGTCGGGTCGGAAATAGGAAGATTCATTCGGAGCTCGGCAATTATCCAATTGGGAGAGGTAAGCGTGATTACATCGCGATATCCAGTGGAGACAAATATCATAAACATCGGAGAATTACAAGTCCCGCGCCGCGCCGGCTGCTAATGCGTTTACCACGCCGAGGGGAATTGCGCCGAAATCCGACCCTGCCCTGCAAATAAGGCAGAGGTGCGACTTTCTCGAACTTGCCAACGCGAGATATCGGGCCGAATTTGCAGGGCAGCGATTATGCGCGAAATCGGATGAGCTGCAGTTAATTTTTAGTGCCGTTCCTGCGGCAAAAGGCGGCGGTGGTGCGAGTTAATGTCTCGGCCACGGCCCCATAATTATCGTTATAGGTATCTGGTGGGTTGTTTGAGGCTTATGGTAATTACGCGCCGAACGTTTGACCAAAGTGTGCGCGTCTTCGAGACGGCCCGGGATTAAAATTTGTAACTCTATCTGCGGAAAACTAAACTAATTTACACCGGCTGAAATAATTCCCAGCGCAAACAAACAAAGAGCAACCCCCTTTATGTTGGAATTTCCCACAAACTTCAAATTTTCAACCTCAAACTGTTGTAAATTTAGTTACTACAATATTTACTTGGTCTGATTATTTGCATTATTTCACTTGAGTATTTTTTACAAGGTTCATGAAATTTGTTATTTTTTTATAAATTTATGGGTGTCGGCTGCTTATAATTTAATTATAAAACTACCAATTTTCCTGCTTAAATTGTTATTTTTGCTAAAGATTAAAACTGCATTATAATTTCATTATAAATTATAATATAAAAGCACATTAAACGATTATTATTTACCATTTTCTATCGTATCGTGCCAGTTCCATGTTCCTTTTCTTTTCTGCTAAACTTTGCCACTCCCAAGCTTTTTGCAAATAAAAATCTATAAAAAAAATATACTACAAAAACATCCCTCGTGTTTGAAATCACGCGAACTTTCCATCGAAAGGGTCCGCAGCGTTGTCCGGCCGAAATTACGATCCCAGCACACCAATATCCGCACATAAAAGATGAAAAAGCGGCGTGTGTCCTTTGTGCCTGCCGTCGGCCTCCCCTGCTCTATTTGCTTTCATTAAATTTTTGATCCGGCACCAGAGCGATATGGAGCAGCGACACGCGATTCCTCCGAGATGCTGCTCCGCTCGAGTTATATTGATGGCCTTCCTTCCTTTCACTATTTTCCCTGGCAAAAAAAATACACGAAGCAAAGAATGAAAGGCACACGTTTCTAATACAAGATGAATATTTCATTGTTCGCAGGAGCTACGCGGTCAGCACGTCCTTCTTCATCAGGTCGCAGTCGCTCGAGATCAGAGACTTCAAATGGTGTCCTTCACCTTTGCCTGACCAGCTCTTTCTCATCCTAGCTTCAAACAACACTTTGAGGTTTGTAAAATAAAATTAGTAATATTGTTATTTATTATAAATTGAATTTAATCTATACAATTTCTTTTATTTTAAATTTTCATTTACATCAAATTATTTATTTTAATATTAGTATTATTATTATATAATCCTCACTATGTGAAGTAAACAAATAGAAGTCATTTTTCAAATATATTACTGTCAATCATTTTAAACTGCTGTTCAAAAATTATTGTTATGAATAACTAAATTGAGATTTGGCAAATTGCTTACTTCACACTTCACGTGATTATACATAGTTGAAAATTATTTGTAATCTAGTCTGACAATGAGTATTTATTCAATGATTGACTTACTAATAAAGATATTTGATATAAAATTAAAAATTAAAGATGAAATTAATTCCATTTTATTTGTCAATGTGATGAAAAATCTCACAATTCATATGAGTGAATAAATAATAACTTTTTTTCACCTATGTCGAAATTTGTAAACTTTTTTTTTGAAAAAAATGGCGTATCTGAAAAAAATTTCACCTACAACATTAAAATATTATAATACTGAAATCAATAACCTTTATGGCTTTTTATCCTAACAACTATTTCTAAAAAAAAATCACTTATTTCCCTGATCCTAAGCATTATGTCGAATTCCCACAGACTTTACAGAGCCACGTCTCCGGAAACTGTTCTGCAAAAGTGGCGCGTCGGCCGCTCACCCATGAACCCTCCAAACGTATCAATGCTGACCTGCTTGGGCGAGACGGCCGTTTCCTTCGACTTCTTGCCCCAGATGCCACTCAGCTCCTTGGACTCGGGCTCCAGTGAAGACAAGAGTGACACGTTGGTCTTCCCAGGCACCAGCACACCCATCCCTCAGGTATTCAAATGCAATTGACTACATAGTAATATTTATTGAAGTGAAAAGAAATGCAGAGTTTGGAGAAGAACAAAATTCACTTTAAGTTTTTACATATAATTTAAAAATTTTCATCGGTTTTGATAGGATAAATTTTTAATATTTACATTATTTATTAAATTTCTTGATTTAATTATAAAAACATCACATTTTGGTGTAAATTAATTTTTTATAAAACAATTGCAACACTTGTTTCTAGATCAATTTAACTCTGAATTTGTAAACTGGGCCTAGAACGTGTGTTTTGAAAACATATTAAAATACTAAAATTTCAACTTTAACCAGAAATTTGTTCAAAGCGTATTGAAATTTATATTTCCTTGAAATATTTTTTCAGAAAAAAAAGACAAATGATAAAGATTGAGATAAAAAACTTCACAAATTTTAAACACTTTATTCGTCTTGAAGAACGGTTTATTTTATTTAAAAAAAAAAATTGGATCCTCTGGATTTCTGAGTGGCAACAGCGAGGAGCCTGCACAAAAATTAATTATCTGTGCGTCGTGGCCATATTGCTCTTGCGTTGTATTAATAAATTTGACGAGAGAGTGGCGGTGGCGCAAATAATATACGTTGTGTGCCGGCGTAGTCTATATTTACGATCAGTCCATGTGCCGTGTGTGTGTCATTCCATTATTATCAGCGGCCACCGCTGGCCTGCAATGATCTGGCTGCCATCTTTTACGACTACTTGCCGGACACTTGCGGGTATTGGTAACATCTGCTGGCCGGCCAGCACCGACCGACCCTCAATACTTGCCAGCGACAACAACAAATTATCATCGTCTGCTGCCTCGTACCGCCACTTTTACGTCCTTTTTATAAGCTACTATCGAACTGACAACAAATAACAACCCCCAGCGTTAATGAAAATACCCGAGCAGGGCGTGCTGCATTTTTTCCGCCCTGCCGGAATCCGACTGCTTCTCCGTGACCCGCACTCGTTACTATTTGAAATTGAACTTCTACGAAACGAAAACACTTTTTATGCATATCATATTAAATTTTTACATATTTCTTATCATCAGTAAAGAAGTAGCAATTTTAAGTTTTTAAATATTTAGTTATATATTAATTGACATAGAACGCAGACCATCAAAAAAAGGAAGTTTGACTTTTCAAGATGCTTCTTTTAATGCAAGTTCTCTACAATATTTATTATTTTTAAAGTTACCTTAAAATCTTTATCATAAATAGTTTCTTTAAACAAACCAACCTGTCCAATGAAATGAGTTTTTTTTTTAAACAATATTAGTTAATTAAAAGTTTAATTGATCATAAAAAAAATATATTAAGAACATAACAAGTAACAAATGAATATGAATTTAAATACACTATTTTATTTTTATTGATTTTTATAAACTTTTAACTTAAAAGGTGGCACTTGGACAAGGAATTACAATTTTAACAAATTTACTGTGATTTTACTACATTAAGGTTCTCCTGTTTATGGGTCACGAAGGTCATTTTGGAGAAATGAAGTTGATTTATTATTTTAAAAATAACTCTCCAAAAAATTTTAAAATTCTGAAAGTGCAAAGGCTTCTCCAGGGACCCAAAGTATGTTTTGAGCACTTACGAAATGTAAGGAAAAAATTTATAAATGGAATACATTCATATTCTGGGTTTCCAATTGTACCTAGTTTAAAGCTTTTGCACTTCCTGTTTTAAAATAGACTTATTATAATTTGCATGCTAGAAATTTCCAAAACATTTATTTATTTATTTATTTATTTATTCTCCATTCAGATAAAACATAATTATACTAAATTGTATCAAAATTAGATGAATTTCCTTTTATAAGAAAATAATTCAGTAATTTTTCTAACTTTCAAACAAACAAGTGAAAAATTGGTTACATTGATTTATTTTTCATCAGTCTTGTGTTAAACTCATCGAGAGGTTGCTGCCCTTCTTGATTTATGAGAGGTTCAGAAATTAACCTCTGACTGCGGACGTACAGCCTGCTGCAGTTTGAATATAACGGAATATACACATATAACTTGCGAGTGGAAAGCAATTTGGACCAATTGGAGGAAATCCGGCGTAATGATCGTGCGAAAGTGATTAATATTCCGGCGGCGAAAACTAATTCCAACAAAACTCGGAGCCGGCGGCGAATATTGAATCCTCGCTCGGGCTCCTGCTTGCCTGCCGGCTAATTACTTTATAATTCCGATTTGAAATATGTTTCAATATTGAGTCGTGCAACTTTGTGCGATTTCCCTCTCGCACCCTCTTCTTCGCTTTGGGGGAGAATCGGCGCGCAGCGAGGGCAGAAATTAACTTTTAACCCTTTTCCTTTGGTTTTTCCTCTTTTCAAGCATCATTAGATTTCAATTACCGGCCGACACTTTCTCCAAATGGCTAATTGATTGTGAAATTCGCCCTCGCGCTCCCCAAGTTCGACTCGAACGCGCACCAATAATTATTGCTCGTCTTTGCATTCACCACCCTTTCTCACCCACGAACCAACTTGTATGTTGCAGAGATCGCCACCAGATGGAAACGAAGAGCAGGGGGATGAAACCCTCGTCTGGCCGATTGCGGTACTCTTTGGTAAAGGGGACGTTTTCATTGTGGTCCCGCCAAACTTCAACCCTGCTACGTAAGTTGCTCATTAATTAACAGATTATAATGTGCACAAAAATGAATAATTTTAAATAGAATATGAACTTAAATTATTCTTTTGATTTAAATAATTCAATATTTAAGATTTGACAAAAAAATTAATTTTACATATTGTTATTTAAATTTAAAGGTTTAGAAAAATCCCAAAATTTAGCTTCCTGCGGGAAATATAAAAATGATTTTACAAAAAATTATACAATTTAAATTATATTTAAAAAAAAAGAGTTATTACCTGCTTGATGGAGATACTTATTGAAGCTTAATATTTTAAGAGTCTCGTTTATATTATTATATTTTTTATTTCAATTTTCAATCATTATTTATTTTATAAACAAACATTCAAAATACTGTAATAAGATATTTATTTTCATGTTTAGAGCTTCTGGTTTGCCTGCCAAACTATTTGGCCCTTTGCGGATGTTCCCTTCCACCCCAGACAACTATGGGGCAGAATCCTGCTCCCTTCTTTGCCTGCCATGTCAACCTCCAGTTCTGGTGATCGCCTCTTCAAGTGGAGGCGTCATCTACCATTCTGTCCTGCTGCAGAAACACCAGGACGCTTGTGACGTGTCTGCAGATGATGAAATTCAATCGGTAAAATTTATATACTTTTCTAAATAATTTTATTAAAACTAATTTTCAGAGTTGCTTCGAGCCAGGGGGTGAAGATTTGGGCGTCAGCGAATGCCAGAAGGCGCTCTACGTTTTGGAGAAGGTTGCCCTCGAGCTGGGGCTTCTGACCCCTGAACAGGCGAGTGAAGAGTTGGAAGACTCGCTGTTCCATTGCAGAATCCAACTGTACAAGGACCCAATATCAACCTCAAGGTATGAAAATTCTTAAAAATCGGCTAAAACATTCTGTATAATATACAAAAAATGTTTTTTTCTGGATTGGGACTCATCCGATATAAAATTTAAAACAGTGAAATAAATATTTCAAAAAATTATTTTGAAACGGGTTTATCAGAGTTATTAAAAATCTTGACTTTTTCAACAAAAGATAATTCCAGATTCTCATTTAATTGCTTTATAATTAATAAATAATTGAGGAATAACCATTTTTAGATATTTTTGCTGTCATGAAGCTGGAGTGAACATCATTTCTGTGCCCTTGGTGTCCGAAATTCTTAGATTGGCGGCCAATAAAAGTAAAATATTCAAAAAACATTAATGAGGAGAAATTTAATCTGATTTTCATGCAGCTTCCATGGAAACGGTTCTAGATTACATGCCCACCAACGCTTTGGCCAGCATGGAGCAGTACCTGCTCTGCACCCAGGCTTCAAACCAGAGCAACTGTCTTAGAATCCAGGGAATGACAGTCCTCAGCTCTCAATCGCTGGCTCTCTGCATTCTCCCCAATGGTAGATGCGCCCTTCTGCCGCTGCCCCTCGCTTTCCTCCAGCCAGACTCACCTGTTGTCGAATCAGGCGTTGACTCAACCGGGCAAAAGGTTGGGTTTAAATATTCATCGATGAATTTTTCAATAACTTATTTCTACACAGCAAACTGCGGGCAATGCCTTTGTGGACCAAATCAAGCGCACACTATCTCATTCGTCAACACAGCCCCTTGTCATGCTGCCTCCTGGATTGTCTCCTTCTGATAAGGAACTGCTTGAGGTGGAAAATAGTTTATCATATATCATAAAAATTAAAATATTTTTGTATTATTTCAAAGATCTTGAAGAGAAGTACTCAGACTTTGCGAACCGAGTATTTGGCCAAGCATGTGATTGCTCGAGAAGAATTCAAGCGAAAGTGAGCTGATTGTTAATTTTTAACAAACAAACAAAAACATTCTGTTTCTGTTTTAGAGTTACAATCTTGAAAAACACTGTTGAAGTGAGAAAGAGGCAAATTCACCAGTCACAGAACCACATCGAAGAGCTTGATTCTTCTATGGAGGACATCAAATCCAGCTTGGAGAGCAGAATAGAGGTCATGAATAATTTCTTGAAAAGGTAATTAAGTTTTAAATATTTTCTTGACAAAATATAACATTTGTAAAAAAATATCCAAGGCTCCAGCATGTCCAAACTCAGTTGAGCTTGGCCGAGCCAGAAACTTCAGTGTCAGAGCAGAAATTGAAGGACTTCATTGAGGAGAGCAGCTCGAAAGTGCAGGGCTATCAGACCACCATCAAGTCTCTCAATTCAAGAGTGAATGAAATAGATCGCAAGGTGGGTTTCTCTTTTCAATAAAATTCTCCCTGGCACGAATAAATATTAAACTTTTTGTTAAAGAGGGAAGATTCCAAACAGAAAGAGAGAAAGGAGAGCATTTACTTGTCGGAGGAACAAGGCAAAACCATCAAAGCTGCTCTGGCAGAAAAGTAAACTGATATTATTTCATATTAAAAATTCCAATAATGTGATTTTTTAGCACAAGGGAACTTGCCAGGATGAAATCTCGCATGGAAGGAATTTTGAAAGCCGTAAATTCATCCGTGTGCTAAAATGGGCCCAAGAACTTCTTGTTTCTAAGTTAATTTACTAAGATTAAATAATTAAGGTGCCAATAAATTGGTTGTATTCATTGAAGAAAAATATTTTATTTTTGAATCGCTTTTCACGTGCGAAATTTTCACCTTTATTTTTCTATCCCACTTATATGTACAAAAAAATATAAAGTAGCAAAAATTCTACCAATGTGATTGGTGCCTATAGGAGCTGCTATAATTTCATTAATAAATTTTGTAAAGATTTTGAATCATTTCGTGTGAGCAAGTAGCAACTATCACAAATATTTACAAATTTAACCATTAATATTGCTCATTTTTTTTTTCAATATCCAGTGGTTTGACCAAAATGCGAGTGTCATCAACTAGTTCGGTGCTGCCCAGTTCTCAATCAGTGGTCTTGGATCAGGGGTCCCCAGAAGTGCTTGCTGGGTTTCTTTTCATCTTCAGAACTGAAGAACTCGCGACCAACTTTCACAAACTCTTTGAGGCTCAGACGATTGTCGTTGTTGTAGTCGATGGCTCTGAAAGCAACTACAGCTTCCTAAAAAGAAAGATTTTGTTCATAGTAGAGAAAATCTTGTACACTAATTTTTTTATAAATTACCTCTTCTTTAAGTCCAAGACACCTGAAGAAGAGCTTGTACTCCTCGACTGAGATTTCACCGCTCCTGTCCTTGTCAACAGCCTGCGAAAACAATTCTCTTACGATTAGAGATTAGTAATTAATGAAAAGATGGGGTTAATCATATAAATTGAAATAATCATATTTTCTTCATTTTTAAAATAGAAGTTTTTGCCTCCTGATTAAATCTTTTGAAAATTCTTCTCGGTTGTGAAACGCTTTTCCCTTGAATCTTTTGATTTCAAGCGATGCTATGATTTTCTTCTTAACATTTCACAATTTCAATATATTTTAAATTAAAATTGTTAATCTTAAAATATATTTAACAAATATGAAACAACTACCAACTATTATTACCTTGAAAAGGAAAGGGAGGAACCTGTGCGCCTTCTTCTTGAGTGATTTGTCATTGATCACGTGGTGCATGTTGTCAAGGTACTGGTATGCGTTGACCATGTTGTAAGGGTCGGCCGGGCCCCACTGCTCCTCCCAAATACTCTGTATTAAGAAAAATACTTCTTTATTATTGTGACCATAGCTTTATGCATTTGAGAAATGCACCTTCAGCGTTTTCCTGAATCCAGTCTCTTGCTCAGGAGTGAGGTGGCCCAGGTCAATGAACCGGTCGCCCAGCATGCCAAAGTCGTCCCACGAAATGACGCCATCCTTGTTCAAATCGAAGATCGCGTGGACGGTGCGCATCTTTTGTCGCCAGAAGTCGGTTGTGCCCTGCGTAAAAAGTTTATTTTTAATACTCAAGAATTTTTGTACTAAGTTTCAAATTATCGTTGTCAATATAAAGAATATTTACCAGTTTTAATTTTTTTAGATAAATAAATCACACAAAAAATCGCTTTTTAGTCTTTGGAAAACTTTTAAAGCAAAATAAAAAAAGCAGAATATTCACAATTATTTTACAAAAGAAGCAGGACAATGTTTTGAAGTGGCTTTTAATTAATAATATTGCTACTTAAGTCATTGTTCTTTACTTTTTATTATTTTACATGCTAGTATAGAAAGCATGGAGAACACCTGTGTATTTTGTGAACTACGTTTTCACATTCACTTCTGTACTGATTCCATAACCGTGGAAAGGATAAATTTTTATTATTACCCTACTTAATCGTATCAAACAGAGAAGTTTCAATCAGTAAGTGTTTCTACTACCTAACTGTAATTTTATGATTTTCCACTTTTAATATCGCAGAGGCGATTACGAAAGAACGAACGCCTGGCGTGAATTATTGTCGAGTCATTTGAAGAAATTGCAGCAATACAGTTTGAAACAGTTAGATGAAAACTTAAAATGGCATTATCCAAAGAAACCCAAAGGCAGAAGAATAATTCGGTTTTTTTTAATTATTCAAATATTAATCAGAAAAAAACTTTACTGAATTTTTTATAATGATGATAAGGTTTAATCCAATTGAAAAGTTTTTTTATATAAAAAAAAAACATTTGTGTTTAAAAAATAATAATAATCAAGATTCAAGGTATAACAAATATTATTAATGTAAAATTAATTTAAACTAGTTTTTGAAGATAAGCGTATAATTCTGAATAGCCATCAATAAAAATAGATACGAATTTTAAAGCAAGTGTGGTATAGTGAGAAGTGTGCCGATGAACTAAAATGATTGCCTTTCTCTGGCTGTTGTGCATTATTTGCCATCGAGTGGGGGTCGTTTTAATCTGCATTTTGAGCGTTCGCTCAACTGGCGTCTGCATGTCATCAAATGACCCGCGGCCACGTGATCAAAATGTGTCGACGGCCGAGTCGGATCGGAAACGCACAGAAACTCGACTCAGCACGTTCGTTATGCAAACTCTGGCTCGAAACAAATTCCATAATTAATTTACTGAGCGAGTTTAAATGGGAATTTTTAAATGAAAAAGCCGGTTATTGGGCGTGTGTGTGATTGTTGAACTCAAGTCGACTGCCCTTGAACTTCCGATTAGAGGAACAAACGCGACGGAAAAAAATTAATGCTCTGATTATTATGAGATCGAAAAAATTATGAATTAATAAAGGAATTTTTAAGTTTTATGGGAATCACGTAGCGTCGGTTAAAAGTATTCAAATTAGCTTAATTTACACATAAAAAACGTGATTTTGATAAAAATGTTCTAAAAAAATATATTTAAAAAAATGTATTCTATTTTGTTCCAAAACAATTTATTAAATAAATAAAATTAACTTTCAATAAATTTACATTTTAGCAAAACAATTAAATAATTTAATTCTTGATCTGCAGCTGAAAATTGCATTAAAAAATGTACCCACCTTTTCTGTTTTCCTGTCAGAGTCGCTGTCCGAGCTGGACGCAGAGTCTGTCTCCACATTGCGAGCTACAGAAGCCCTTCCGCCGTCATCCTTGAAACTCAAAGCTCTCAAGACCTGTGAACATTCCACCAATTTTATTTTATTTTTGCATTTAAGCAATCGCTCACGATATATAAAAACAAATATTATTTTCATACACAACGTTAAAAATAGAGTAACCCCCTATTTTCTAAAAAAAAAAAAAAAAAAAAAAAAAAAAATCAATTTCTCTCTTGCATAGCAATTTTACTGTTTTTTTTTCAATATTAAGTTTTTGTTGCAATTTGAACAACGAAACAATAAAATAATAATATAATGAGCGTAATTTTTCAATTCACGGATGGCATTGCATGAGAAGTGAGTGAGTTCAATGGCCGCATCCTTGCTCACTGATTTTAACACCTCTGGAGCGCTCCTCAAATTTTTAACATAGCAGAGTAGCACAACTTCATGGGGAATAGAATAATTAAATATGGGTAAAAAAAAGTAATAATAAGAGGTATTTTCAATCCTTTTGCAGATATTTATAATATAATTCATTTATTTAAATCACTCTTTACTTGAGCCATGGTTTTCCAGCGTTAAAATAAAATATTTACTAGCCACAATTCAGTGGGGCTGGCTGAAGGGTGCGTGAGAATTTCCATGAAATTGCAGGAAAAATTCACTTAAATTATAATACAACCCGTGTCTAAAATTTTAAGTGACTTCTACTGAGTACCCTGACGCAAGAAAAAGCGTTTAACAAACATGTTTACTTAATTTTTTTAAGCATTAAATACATTATAAAAAAAATTTAATATTATTTTTTTATAATTTAATTTTCTTTAATTATTTAATACTTTTGTGACTTAATTTTTTATTAATTCACTTAAATTACAATTAATTTAGATCTATAATACAACTGAAAAGCTACTTAAAATTAATTATATTTTCCTGGATTTCCAACAATCAAAAGTGTATCTTAAATTTCAGACGAAAGATAGTGGTCTCGGATTTGAATGAATATTATTAAATATAAATAAAAATATTCCTCCTAAACTATTGCTTTATTTTCTAGCCTGCAAGAGGAAGCGGTTTTATATTTACTTAATCGACTCTTCTAGATGTGAATACCGAAGCGAATTGTGCACTGAATTTTTTTGCCTCTAGAACCAGTTGGCCAAAGACCTTGAATTGGACGCGGCTCTCGGCGTTCAGCGATAAAATGACACACCGACGAACGCCTTCTCGAACGCCGAATTCGCTAAAAGCAACTTCCAAACGCGTCTCGCCACCCATTGTTTTACTTCCTGGCTTTCAAAAACCACTTGATTTTGCGTTCGTGCGATTTTACAAGAAGATATAATTATTGATTGTTCAGACGCCTCGGGCAGAATTTTCCAAATTGGTGTGAATTTGGCTTTAAACGGGTGCCAATTACGTCTAAATTAGTTTAGAATTACACGCTGCTAAATTGGAAAAGAGGCGGGCAGAACCACACGCGATCAGTTATTTCAATTCAGTATAATTTTGCCACTTAGCTTGTTTGTTCATCGACTGAACAAATAATGTTAAATAGAGCAAATAAATATTATCACTGCTGAATTAGGAAAAGCTAGAAATGTAATTATTTTGAATAAAATTCTAATAAAAAATAATGACTTACTAAGTTAATTTTAAATAATTATCATGTTTTATCATGAGAATTTTTCAATTTTCTTAATATGTGAAAATGATTAAATTTTCATATTATGGGAACAATTTTATTGAAGTTTTAAATCTGCTTAGATAGTTGGCATCCTTTTAATATAAATAAATGAAAATTACAAAATCTTCATAATAGTTTTAATTAGGTTAATCAGAGAAGCGGAGGGATTAATTTTGACGGCGTAGTTGTTTACAGTTACTCTAGATACAATATTATTTAGTTAAGATTAAAAGTTTGATTTAGTCAGTGCTGCGATCACGATATACAATGTAGTAAGAAAATATTTATTTTAGAAATTTAAATGATAATTTTCACTTATCAGTGGATTTTATGTGTATGAGCAAAAATATCATCAAATGCAAATCATTTCTATATATTTTTCTTGGCTTATTTTGTATAATTTTCAAACTTTTTATTTTAAAACCTATTTAAATTGACAATTCATTCAAGCCTTTAACTTTGGTAATTGAGTTGTCATGAGCAAATAACCATAGGCTGAATTTTAATCAAATTTCAAAATAAATTCTCACGCGAAGCGCACACAGCACTTCCCGCGACCAAAGTGCCTACGTGACCGAAGTGAACAAAACCTCTCGCTCTCCCCACACATTCAAAATCAGATGATAAATTGCTCGTCGGAAAAGTGACGCCACGGTAAAATAAAAAAATTCCTGACACAAAACTGCATTCGTTTTAAATAACAAGTGCAGTGCTCACCTGGAGGTTGATGACCCTAGTATTGGCAAGCAGGGTCGGGCCTTTGGAAGCCCACTGGGCACCCACGAGCTGGGGTCCCAGTCGTCTTAGCAACAGGAACGCTTTCGCGGCCATCGACTCTCTTCGGCCCGAATTCGAGACGCTCTAATCTTCGGTCAACACACACTGCCCTTATCAATCAAATCTTGTTCCACACTGATTTTCGGACGTGCACCTTACTGAGGCAAAAGGAAGAAACAAAACAGAGAGTTGCTACTTGTTGATCAGCTTGCTAGAACTTTATCGCGTGGCCGCCAGCGCTCGTTTTATTTTTATTTTGGTCGGATACAGCGCGGCGCGACGAACGGCGGCGCCCAAGGCGGTCGAACGCATGCGCTTCGTTGCTAATATGCTAATTTTATTTTTTTTTTATAATTATAAATTGATTTCTTTGTGGATATAGTAAAATGTTAAAATTAAGGAAGGATAATGTCCTAATCAATAAAATGACAAAACAACTACAAGAGGAAGTAATATGATATTAATGATATATGCAAAGCAAACCGACAAAATTTATTTTTTTCAATTATATAAATACTTACAAAATAAAAAAATATATAAATTTTAAAATCATTATAAATACGTAAATAGAAATCAATTTAAAAATTTAAATATAATAAAAAACATAGAAATAATTACAAATTTTGAATAATTATGTGTCATATGTGTATTAAATTGTATAATAAAGTGATATGTAATTACATTAAAAAATTTATATTCTTAAACTTTTAATATTTTTAATTTTTACATGCGACTACAATTAAGGAAATAATATGTTGATTGGAGATACGGCAAAATTAACTCTATAAACTTAATAAATGTTAATTTAGAATGAAATCTTTTATAAATGACCAAATTTTTAATTTTTCTCTAACTTTTTTAACCTTCCTTTAAAGACCATGTTTATATTAGAAGAAAATGTTATACAATATTAAATGATTTACCTATTAACTCTTTTAATGTAATTTTTAGAAACAAAATTAGAAGAAAATTATTTGATGAGGTGTGGACCTCTGGCTCTGGACATGAACTTATTGTTATAAAAACCTTCGAAAAATTTCTATGTTCATAATAATTTTTAATTTATTATTGAATAATAAATGACAAAGCATTTTTCTTTGCGTATTAAAATTTATATTTCAAACAGAGGAGCAAATTTTTGAAAACAGTTCATATAATAAAAAATAGCATTAGTGAACCGTGAATTTTTTTTACCAATTGCTTGTAAATTGATCAAAAGTGAAATAAATAAAGCGGTAATTAGTTCGAGAAGAATTTTTTTATCTTGACGGCTGCTGCTTTGGCTTGGGCATTTTAGCCAAAAGTGGCAGGATTTCCTTCTTTTCCTCATAGCTCTTCCACAATTCTAGCAGCTGGGTGACCAACCGCATCACCTCATGCACCTTCTCCAAGTCTACGTTGAGCTCAGCAAACCAAGATTTCAGATCTTTGCCCTGAATCACACAAGCTATCTGGAGACAACCTAGAATGGAGAAATATTTTAAGTCATGATAAGTAAAATGAATTACAAACACTAAAATTATAGGCGAGGTTTTGGATCAAATATTAATTTGTTAAAAAAAATTGTAAGCTATGTTATGATAAGCTTTGAGGTGACAATAAAACTTATAATAAAATTTCATTACTTTCAACAAATCCAATAATTATACGAAAGTATTATTATCTTTAGAGAGATTTCGGTTTTTTTTTATCAAATTATTATAATAGTTATGAACTATTTCAAATAGCAAAAATTTATGAAAATGTAAGATTTTAAAATCACACCTAATGCTATCTGATATGGAGGATAGAAAAGACAGGCGTCTGTGCGAAGACTGTCGTTGACAACCCTCCAAGCCAGAGCCAAGAGAGCATCGTCCAATCCAGCATCGCTGGCAAACTGCAGAAGGGGTCGGTAAGGCTGGTAGACTATCAGACAGCAGTCGAGATTTTCCAGCAAATAAAACTCGCACTCTAGAATGTGGTTCGTCCGATACGGAAACTCCTGCTGATACGCATAGTTGAATTTGTTTTTAACTGAAAATTTGAATCATAATAATTTTCTTGATAAACATTTGCAGAGAAAACATACCAACATTCTGGCAGGTCGTGATCAACCTGGTGTTGGAAATGACTCCGAATTCCTCCACTTTCGAAGCCAGAAAAACGCAAGTTGGGGCCAAGAGAAGAGGATCGATGCCCTTGAGCGAGTTTCTAGCGTAGAATCTTTTGAAGTAAACTGTAGCCGTTGCAATCACTTGCTGCCTCAATTTAAGGTGCTCCCCAAGAACTTGAATGACTGTAATTTTAAAGCAAAAAATTGACTATTAGTTGTCAAAGTGTTAAAAACAGAAAACCTACAATTTGCGAAAAAGATGAAAATCTTTTGATATTCTTCCTCAGTCAAAACGCTCAGGTCATGCTGCCTCTCTCTAATCAAATCCTGCTTGTCCAGCAACCACTGCTGACTGAAAATCAAGTAATTTATGAATAAAAAAACAAATCATCTAAAATTTAATGCGATTAATTAATATGGGGGCCAAGATTTTTACTCACTAATGAGAACTGTGCCAAAAATTCCCAGCCATCCTGAGGTAGTTTATCCTTCGGTATCAGAAGTTGAATAATTATTTCATTACCTGAAAAAGAGAGGAATGAATAAAAAATGCGTGTAACAAATTCCAAGTCAAACTTAAAACTGCCGACGTTCTCACCTAATTTCTAAAAAATATGATTTTCGCTGAAGTAGCCCGATTATTTTATTGCAGGCAAGACTTATTGAAAGAAAGTTTTAGTTTCTGAATAAAAAAGTTTGAATTTTAGAGGTAATTTCCGTCAAAATTTAATAAAAATCCTGATTTTTGACTTCGCGACTCTCCAGTCTCGAGAAACATAAACAGACGGAGATGGCGCATGCGTGAACTCGTCTCAAGTTTTCGACTTTGAATAGTTTTGGCGCAAAATGAACACGTTCGAGCTTCGAGGAGAGGGAAAATAATAATTCTCAGCTGGATTTTGAGTCTGATCCCTCTGTTCTGTAAAGAAAGGGAACATTTCCATTTCTTTTCATCGCTTTGCCACGAGTGAGAGTGGATCTCCTAAGTTCAAAATCGCCAAATTTTTTAGATCGTCTAGTGAGTCTATAGAATTATATCTATATATAATAATAATTTATTATCTAAGATAAGATACAATTTATTTTATGGAAATTTCCATTTTTAAATTGTAGATTTATGGATTTCAGCAAAATGGACCCCTGCAAGGAACCACCCAAACAGGAAATAGACCTCGCTGAATTCAAAGAGTTTCTTCAGCAATCATTGAAGCGACTGAAGGATAATATTGACCAAGCCATCGAGCTCCGCAAGCAGGTCGCCCTGATGAGCCTTGATCTGGCGAAGCTTAGTCGGGAAGAGGTACTCATGAGGAGGCAGCAGTTCAAAGAAATTTTGCAGAAAAATTCATCTGAATTGAAATAAAATTATGGCTATATCAGGTTTCCAAATAAAATGACACATAGATCTTTAATCAAAATAAGTATGTATTTTTTTAATACATGGTTAGTTGCCATTTAATATATTTTATGTTTAAACTTAAACAATGAACACAAAATAACAGTTTAAAAATTATCACTATTATCAGGGACCAGAGACTAGTTAAAATTTGTATAAAATTTTGTGTTGTGGGCATCGCTTTAGTAGTTGCATCGAACATTTCCCCCAATTCTAATTCCTCATTTTTTCAGAGTTTTTAATAATATTATGTTTCTGACTCATCTCATTTTAAAAACATATATCCTAGAGTGAGGTTGAAGAGTGCATAATACTGAAATTAATTAATTTACAGAAATGGCATATAAATGTATTAGGAAAACGTAATGATGAAAAAATATATTATAGGCAAAGAAAAATAATTTTTAGAAAAAAAACTCTTCAAATCACATATGGCACTCGGGAGTGAAAGCAGGGTTGTCCACTCCTCTATCCTGCGGCGCGGAATCCTCTGCAGGATCTTCGGGCAACACAATACTGACACTTTCAATTTCAGTATTGGGCTTCACCTCTTCGGGCAGTTCTGACTCAAGTGTAGGATGCGGGCTTAGAGTCTCGTCTACAGTCACCACTTCGTATTCAGGGATGGCAGGCGGATGAGTATTTTCTGTAGAGGTTGAAGGGATCTGGTCGATTTCACTATAAGCTGGAGGAGTTGGTGGAGGACGAATCATTCGAATTCGTCGGCCAGGCACTCGACCCACAGCCTTGAATCAATTAAAAACAAAATTATCAAAATTACATCAATATCAAATTGATTGAAAATTTTTTATCTGCTGCACCGGAATAAAGAAATCAATGGAGTTTTTTCTATAAACAAAAACTTGTTTAGCACAAAATAATATTTCTCGAGTTCCTATCATTTTTAAGCATTCATAAGAATTTTACTTTTCCAAGATAACACTGAAATTTTTATTTTTGCCTCTTTAAACATTTCTATGTCAAGTGGAATATGAATCTCACCACAGGTATCCTAGGAAGTGGCAAAGGAGGAACTTCAGACTCCAGCTCTTGGCCATACTCTGGAGGTTTGTCCGGGACATCGTCATACCTAGGTGGTCGGTCACGCATTCTGCCCAGTACAAAGCGTTGGACACTGTTGAGGCTGGCGTTGCCACTATCCCTGTGAAAGCGGGTCGCTTCCTCCATTCTCCTCCGCCTATTATTACTTATTTTTGCATTAAATATTGCCAAACTCTCTGCAGAAAAAAATTTAAAAGGTAATAAAAAAAATTTGAAACATACGTAGCGCACATCTTGCAGGTCAACGCAGCCAGGGCCGCCACTGCTATGATCAAGGCGCAGCCCAGTGCAACCTGAGCGGCGGTCATGAATTGCAGTTTCGAGTTGTAGTCCACCCTGTTTGTGAAAGATCTTCAAGAAATTTGGAATATTTTCAAATTGGTTTTTCGTTACATGCATTGTCCCTGTTCCCACTGCATGTTATCGTCTTTGCACCGACACTTCGAGTTTCTGTAATCGTGCTTCGATGGTCTGCATTTTAAACTTTTGTCTGAGCAGCACTCCTCATAGTCACTGTGCACCTCGCATTCACTTTCGTATGCTTTAAATATGTAATTTTTTTAAATTAAAATGATGAGGAAAAGTCAAATTAGTCGTAGCATTAGGTAAAAATTAAAGCTTATTTTGCAAAAATTAAAATATTGAAGTCGAATTTTTAAAACGTTAAATATATTTAAAAGCTATGCTCGTGTTTTCCCATATATACAATCTAAAATAAATATCCTGTATAAGATTACAGATTGAAACCCCGGAAAAACAAATTTTATCAATATAGCTCTTAGCCGGATCCGCGCTAATAGGGGTGGTGAACCGCAATAATCTCCAAGGAAAATGATTCCGGTTCTCAGTCTCTTGGGCTTATATATAATCTTTGACTGGCTTTTTTTAAATCAAGCAGAACCGAATCTTATTGTTAACAAGCCCACAAATGGATATTTTATAATTTATGTATAAAATACTTCTTTTTATTGGCATAGTCAAATCTAATCTACAACAATTAATGGTGCGGTAAAAAAATTATATTATCCTTTAAACTGTTCTATACAATAGTGTACAATAGCAAAAATAAATTAATTGTAAGTACTTGATTATACTATGTCAATAATAAGGTTTTTTGAAATTTAACCGTTTTGATTTTTAAAACAGCATTGCAATCAAGCAAAAGTATAAAATCATCTTTGAAACATGCAATTAACCGCGTCTAAAAAGAACATTTTTAACCTGAAAGAGACCCAGTATACTTTTTTTTCTAAGAAAAAAGCTGAAAAATATTTACTCTTGCAACTAGTACATCCTTCCTCTGGATGAAGGTATTCACCATCATCACAGGTCCCATTTGTTTTACTAAAACCATCAGTTTCCACCAGGTCGATTATAAGCGTTGGAGGCCAAGCAGAGTGTTGCTGTAATCCTTAATTCAAAAAGAAGTAAAAATTGAGATGATGAAGGGAAGGGATAAAATGAAAAAAATATTCAAGGCGCAAGAATACTTTAATCCTGCTGCTTTGATCATTTATGAAAAATTAAAATTTTTATGTTATTAAAAAAAAATATATATTGCGTTGCGATGAATCAAATAAAAAAATCTCAATTTGAATCCTTTGAAAACTTAATTATTATAATAATAAGCCTTGATCTTGAAAATAATAAGTGATACTGTATACTGTATGCTAATTATATAATACCTAAAAGTGCTGTGAGTTAAATCCGACTGATACAAAAACCAAATAATTATAATAAATTATTTTCAAGTCCAGGACTTATTTCTTAATTTTAATGCAACGAACCTAATTTTATAACTTAAATGCATCGAAATTGTGCAAATAATGAACACAAATTTGTTCAAGAGAAAAGTGAGTGCCATTCTCTGTTTTGGCAGATAAGGTTTTCAATATAAAAGTACTCAATCGAACAAACCTTGATGACGAATGTCATCGTTTACAGTGTCAAACGAGACTCCGGGAGCGTCCGTCAAGCTGGTAAAATTGACTTCGGAGGTCGCAGCGGCAGCGGCCAAAATCACTGCGCACGTTATAAGGAGGCCAGCCATCGATGGCCGCAGTCGATCAAAACTTTAGTCACATAAAATACACTGGTGGCCGTCGAGAGGGGCACCGAGATTGAGAGAGAACAGATAACGCCGTGCTCAAGCGGCCTAATCTAATCTGACGTCACCTGGAATAAAACTCCCTCGCGCGATATCAATGCGAGTACGTTCGTGCACCGAGTGCATTCCCATACGACACAGGTCCGTCGACGTTCCTGGACAACCGCCTTTGCTAAACACAGAAAAAGCAGGTTGTGCCAATCCTAAAACACTTCGTCGGCAGGCAAAGTCAAAGAGATAAGAAAAATCAAGATTGCCTGCTGTTCTGACTTCCGGTGCGGGGGAAGGAAAATCATTTATACGCGCAATGTGTTTTCAGGGTAATAAATAAATGTGTCACCAGAGCGTTATTGTTATTTCAGCATTTCAAGTCAATACATTAATTATAAAATAATAATAAAAATAAAACAGACGGTGGCGCAATCAAATTTGTCTAAATTTGACCAAACAACTTTTTTTTCAAGTAAAATATTGAAGGAGACAGTTAAACAATAATACTTTAATATTTTTATAATTAGCAAATGACCGTCCGCGGTGAAGCCCCGCTGCTATTGGAAAATTAAATAATTTGAACATTTCAAAAGTTAATTTTATAATCTAGTTTTGCACACTCCGCCTTAGAGCTATACTAACTGCCAGACGTTCGAGTCGCTCCAGGTTGCATAACCGCAATATGCTTCATTTTTGCGAGCAATGAGAGAGCGAGGAGTGGCAGCGAGACCTTGCTTGCGGCAAAGGCGAGTTGAGAGCAACAAGTTCTCTCAATTTTTAAGCATAAACGCTGCCAAGCGAATTATACCTAGGTGGTATGAATAGAAAATATAACTGATGCTAGAAAAATAACCTTTTTCGTGATATTTATCAGATCATCAAATGGACTAAAAATAATGATTAGAACTGAATTCGTACGATTGCACATAAAAAGAAATTAAAACAATATAATATGAGTACATTCCAGAAGATTTAAAATTGAGAAAGCTGGTTAAAAATCCAACAGTCAGCATTATGTAAAATTTTTGCGCTTGCCCTCCATTCCGGAGGTTGTGGATTTGATTCCCACTCCGGGCGGATTTTTTCCGGGGGAACCTGAGTGATTTCCTATTCAGGGATTGCAAGTGAAGGGTTGTTCTTTGCTGAAGTCGGCCGCTAGATTTCGTGCTGAGAAGGGTGCACTTTACACCCCAGTTGTACGCAAAAGCGTTTAATACAAAATTATTTTTTGGTCATAATATTTCGATTAGAGAACAATATTAAATTAAAAAGATAACTTTTTTTGAGCGTACTTTTTATTGAAAAAAGGAAAGCTTCTTTCCCCTTTTTTTAAAATATATAAAATCATTATACACATGTAAGAGGAATTTGCTTGACATTATAACCCCAGCCATTTAGTTTTCGTCTACCCGATAGTACTATGATTCTGAATTTTAGATGTATAAACAAAAGTATCTTGCGGCATGCAAAATAATCGTAAGCATTAAATATCTTGCAAATCAAATAATCAAACAATGGAAAAAATTTCGCCGGTCATATTATTCTCCCAGAGTTTAGAAACTTGCGGCAAGTAAAAAAAAAAAATGAATATGTTAAGATTTTGAAATAAAATTTTTTTATAAGCAACGTAAAAAATACCTAAAAAAAGGACAGCTGAAAAAATTCTTATCGCTTAACAAAAAAAAAAAAAAAAAAAAGAAACGATTAGTTGTACGAATATAACTTTAGGTCTAATTTTAAAAACACCTCTTACGGACAAGGCGCGAAAATATTATTCCTATAATCAAGAATATATCCTGGAGCAGGATCAAAGGAGAACAAAGTGGCTTGAACTGGAATTGAAAAAATAGAAGATAATTAATGCACCTATAGCTGTTCAAGTTTAGAAGGGCGTTCACCTAGCTATCAAATATTGTCACGGAGAAGATTTATTTGCAAGTAAACAATGGCATCAGCCCGCACCACCTTTTGTTTGGTGCATGCGTGATGACATAGAATATGAAAGTGGTTATGCAAAAGGATAACTACTTGCCGCACTGCAAAAGCAACGAAGTGTTTGGGAATTCCGTATTTAATGATATATTCCATGATTGCAAATTACAACATAAGAGCTTATTTTAAGGGAAAATCAGCTTTCAAATATTTTTTCTTGAATAATACATTTTAATTAAATAAAAAGATTAAAATATTCAGCAGATTGAAAGTCAATAATTCAATTTTTTAAGAATGTTGTTTGAAAGATTAGATTTACATGGGTGATGTCTGATGATGTGAATAATTTTTGAACTTTGCATTTCAGTCAAATAAAAACTAACTTGTATAGCTTAATTAATTGTGAGTCATTTAATGAGTCGTCCATCATTCACCATGACGTTACTCAATTTTTTAATATATGATTTTTTTATCAATTTATTATAATTCAGCCAGAAAAATTTAAATGTTTCGTCTTACATAATATAATTATCTATTTTATTGCAATTATAATCAATAATCAACAAAATTTCCAACTCATTGAATATTTTACTGGACTTGTTTGTTCAATTTTTAGTAGATATCAAACAAGCAGTAAAAATAAAGATAAAAATAATTCTCAATATTGATAGGCGCAACAAAGAAAAACTAATCGAGCTGTTGGAACTTTCTCACGAATTTTAACATTTGACGAGATAAGCTTCCGCAAGAGACGCACCAAACTCTATACAACATGTCAAACATGTGCACCCCAAGCCGCACTATATCGTTGGGCCGATTAATTATAAAACCGCGAGTGAACGCTCACGTCAAAACGCAGCGTGTTTCTTTTTTGCGGCCCACACGGCCGCCGCTTTTTTTTCTTCCTTTGACGTCTCTCGCGAGAGGCTGATCGCCGCGGCCGACCCCACTGGAGCCTCAAGCCAACGTCATAAGAGAAACTATCGCGGCGCCGTTGCCTGATTTGTGGTGGTCGGGCTGGCTCTCGCGCTCCTCGCCTGGCTCGCCTCAGTCCTCAGTCAGTTTATTGCTGGAGACGAGGTGCGGCGCACCAACTACGTGCAGGACCCTCCGAAGCTCAGGTCGCGCCCCTATCCGACCCTGACGTCGACTTCCACCCTGATCCGCCACCAAAACGAAACCACCCTCAGCACCGTGAGTTGATTTTCCAAACAATTTTCCAAATTTCTTTTCATAAAATTTCGTTTTTCTATACCTGAATGAGGTCACGCCGCCGTGTAGCCAGTTTTCCAGCTCGCCTGCCTACATAAAGCGGGCAGCACAGTTAGACGGCGTTTCCATCTCGCGCTCGCTATAACCTTGGAAATCCCTTTACTTTATAATGCAGCGGGCGTGTAATTTTATTTAATATATTTTAGGCGTAGTTTATTTCTCGCGCGCCGCTCGACCAGTTTCGGCATTTCGCGTGCGATTTTTTTTCATCTCTGTGGCGAATGACGGGACAATGGTTTGAAATGTAAATAGAAAATACAAAGCAAAGTGTTCACAGATCACGCACCTGTTGCGTCGTTGGCGGAATCCTTGGGCGTTGAAATTTAAACATAATATTTCGACGTGGACAAGAATAAACATACGAGTAATAATTAAAGATCTTTTAAATTATTCCTTTCACTTATTAAAAAATATTTTAAAACACGATTGACTTAAAAAAAAAATTATTTATTTATTTATTTTTTTGTGAAAACTATATATACTCAGATTTTCATATATTATCAAGCTTGTTTCAAAGGTCGCTCCACAACTTCTCAATTTTCTTCTTGTTTTATCTGCGCGTCTCTCTCCGCTCTTTCTCTTCGGAATATGGATGGAGAGCATGATCAGATTTCTCTTCATCACGTAAGCCGCCATCGAGCGGCCACTCGGCCACTTCCAAGAATGGTTTGGCCTTAAAAAACTCGTTGGCTTCGACACATTAAAACAATCTAAAATTATACTTTAGAAATTTTGGTGCACAAGCCTCAATTAGAAAAGTAGGAGCAATTAAACTGCGATTGATAGCGAATTTTGACAAATGAGGACATACCTGATATTAATTGTATATTCCATGAAAATTATTTTTCCGCTTTTAAAATACTTTGTATTTAGGCAAAACGTTCCACGTGTGCAAATATAAAGATAAAAAAGCACTCTGCTTAAGCTCAACTCATCACAATGGTTGACCTAAGCTTGCCACTAAGCATCAGTTCAATAAGTTATCGCCATTATCACTATTTTCCTAATCAAAATATAATGTCAGTAAACTTGCCCTCTCTAAATCGGCTGATGATTGGAGCGGCGATTAATGAAAAAGAGGCGCAATTTAGTGAAGATATTACAAAGTTCAGCTTTTTATATATTTTTTTTAAGAGAATCACGTCTAAGTTATTTCAATTGTGCGATTGGAGAAAAAATTAGATGTACCATTGTCTTCCGCAAACAAAACTTTGAGAGGATAAAAAAATCTTAAGCGCGCATTCCTTTGTCGAAGCATGAAAACCTATCACTATTGGTCCAAGGACAGGTACGAGACACACCCAAGAGGCTGCTATTCAAGGTGCAAAAAGAATCGAGTCGCCACGTTAATTTCGTCTCGAGACTTTCCTTATCCTGATATTCAAACAAAGCCACAAGCCATAAAAAAAATAATAACAAAATTCATCTCTCCATAGCAATTATTCGAAGCTTTAAAATTTAATGGCGCTGTTGGAATTCCCAAGTATTATCTTGGAATAGAAGTAAAAGTTTTTGGGGATTAAATTGTAGTCATATTCCTTTCTGTATATATTTTTCTGTATATATTTAATTCCAAGACTCATAATATACACTTTCATCGGGGTGAAATGGAAATCAAATTCGAAACGTGAGACCCAAAGAATTCTATAGGCGTTAGTCAACTTGAGTTTCCTCCTCAAGTCGAGTGCACTTTCTCCCAGCGTATGTAAATAAATTTTCTGACGATCAAAGGAAATGCGCGTTACGTCAGCAATCAAGGAAGCTTACGGCAGCTACAGGACACTCTAAAAACAAATTGGTGATATAAAAAGCAACAGTTTAAGGTTTATAAGAAGGAAATTCAGGGAATCCCAAATTGAAGTTTTGAACCGGCGGAGAGAGAGTTAGAAGGTGCTTTATTTCCGCGCTTTGCGCAACGTTTACCGTTCAATTCGCACACCCACAAGAATGAAAGTTGCAAAATTTGAACTGGTTTAGGGTTAACTATGCTAATTACTAATGCATACATTGCAATCCCAGAGCTGCCACGTGCTTCTAACATATTAAATTCGAGTAGATGATGATTCGACGATATAAAGAGGGCAAGGACGTAGAAAATTAATGATCATAAATGCGCTAATTTAAATACAGAAAATTAGACTCCATTTTTTTTTTCAAATTTGGTTGTTCAATACTACATAAATTCATATTATGGGATAAATTAATGACGAAATTTGCAAATTGTTTAATTCAGTTGATTTTTAAAGTGTGTCTCACGATCAATTGCTATATAACAACAATATCTTCACATATTTGCAAGAATCTAGAATATTTTAGTTATTGGCAAAAGGGAAGCGGTAATAATTTAATTTTTTATACATACAGGAGTAAAAATCCTGTTATAAAAATATTTTCTAAAAAGCAAGTTAAAATTCTAATAAAACCTTTCAAAATAAATTTTGAACTTTATAATTTGACTTAACCATTTTGCTGCATAATATTCCAACTCAAAAATTGTTTCACCTTTTCCTCTAGCAATAAATTTTTCTCTTGCCCACCTCAAATCTTTGTTGCTGTGAAAATCACTCTCGCGTCGTCCAATTAGCGCATTTTTTTAATAAAATCTAAGCAAAATCCTGGTGGTTACATCACCTCTAGCTGGAAACAGCCATATAATAATCCGCCATCGGGTTGCGTGTGTGCACGCGGCGGCAACTCAGCATTATTTTTATTTTAATATATTATAGCATATATAAAGCCGGGGAATGCCTGTGCGCTCTTGAAGTTGGAATGGAAAGGCCTTTAGCAGAGTGACAGAGCAAACTTGTTTTCTGGTTGCAGATGCCGCAGGTAGTTCCCTCTATGGGCTACTACAGTCCGCTGCCCAACTACATGAGCTCGTTCGCCGCTGAGAGTTTCGACCTTTCACTTCTGCCTGACGACAGTGCGGTGCCCGGCTCGCCCAACGAGCTCGACCTGATGCTGTACCTGGCCGACAGCGGCGCTGTGTCGCCGCCGTACTCAGGAGGCCCCCTCTTCGAGCCTGCTTTCAAAGGTGGCTTCAAGGAGGAGCCCCTGTCCCCCCACAGCAGCGGCTACAGCTACGCCGACAGCATTTGCAGCTCGCCCGGCAACTCGAGCGCCCAGCGCTGTCCCTCGCCCTACAGCCCTGCAGCAGAGGTCTGCACCACCCCCAAGGTGGAGGACACGTGCGCCAACCTGAGGGGCCTCCTGCAGGACCCGCCGCAGCGCACCCAGGACGAACTCACCGCCCTGCTGCAGGCGCCGCTCAAGAGGAGCGCCCACGACATCTTCCATCAGGAAGGCGCTGCCAGGAAGAGGATCAAAGAAGAAGTGCCTTCCTTTGACGACTTCTACCCCATCAAAGAGGTGAGTCTGGAGAATTTTTTCAAGGAAAAAAAACTTGACAGGTCTCGGTGTGTGGATTCACCTGCGGGCGCCATAAAAAGTGGCCTTGAGTTTTATATGTGATGCTTGGTGTGCCAAAAACTTGTTGGCATTGATAAATAAATACGAGATTTATTTTACGCGCGTCTCTCTATACACGGTATTTTTATTCTTGCGCGCGAAAGGAGGAAGTTGAGCGCCGCGCTCTAGCCTTAAAGAGTTAAATTTGAATTTCGTGCCTTGAATTTCATGCTTCCATCATTGAATATTGCTGAGTACAACTTGTTACCTGCATCTGAATGAGTCACTATTTCCATTTCAAGGATTTGCCCAGTTATTTCCTGATATTGAACGTCAATCTCAAATTAGAAGTGTAGCAAATTATTTTAGATTAATAATCATTCTTAACAAATTTAGACTCACTGGTCTTTCAAGAAGTAAAAATGAAATTTTTTATAATTGAAAATATTTGAATTAGAAAATACAAATAAAATTTTGACTGGGTAAAACACGGCAACCAAATATCTTTTTCTGCGTTTAGCCTTGTATATTAATTGCATAAGTTCATTATCATATAAGTAACAAAAAATTATCTTTTTATAATTAAATAATTTGATATATTTGTATGCCTTTCACCGGCTGAGAAATCAATTAATCGTTTTTATTTTTCATAAATATTTTTCTTGTTTAATAAAATGATTAGAATTTTTATCGCTATGCTAAATAAAAATTAACAAATTTTTAATTTTTGTTATAATAGGAGATGTGCCCTTCAGAGTACAAAGACAAGAAGAGCATTCTGGACAGCCTGCTTGAAGGCACCAGCAAGTTCAAAAACAACGCCGCCTCCACCTCTGGCGCGGACCAGCAGCAATTTGTTGGTTCGCCGCAGCCAGACTTGGGCTGTGAAGTGGAACAGATTGCACCTGTGCTCTCCATGGCATTCGAGCAGCTCAGAAATGACGTTGACAACACCTGCAGTGTCCTGGGCATCTCAACAGGTGACTTTAAATAAATATATTAAACACCAAAATTGCGCGCCCAAACACAATACAAATAATCCCACATATTGAACATTTTTTTTAAATTCAAATTTTCGATGTTTCAGAGCCCAGCAAGTGGACGGTGGAAGACGTTAAAGCGTGGCTGTTGTGGACTCTGAGACAGTACGCTCTGCCTATGATTTCCATGGAGTATTTCAATATGGACGGTTCCACCTTCGTGAACCTGACGGAAGAGGACTTCCAACAACTTGCTCCGCCGGTAAGAAAAAAAAAATAAATAGGGAAATACGCAATGGGTTTTTCTACATGCACTTCCTAGATGCATTTTAATTGGAAATTAAATCAATGAATACTAACGTCATTGTTACGCGTTTGCAGTGCGGCTCCACTCTCTTTGCTCAGTTAGAGATTTGGAAAGCTGCCAGCGCTGAAAGAACCCTGAGCCCACAGAACCAGTGGACCACATCCTCACAACCTTCAAGTGGTGAGTATTTTTATTATTCAGTTATGTGTGAAGGATTAACTCACGACTATATAGCAATTAAAAGTAGATCATTGACGTCATTATTCGAGATTCAACTTGCAACTAAATGGAAGATCATGTTTGAATATTTTCCATTTAAAAATAAATATTTAATTTTTAATGGTGGGAAAAACTTGATTAGAATTTAATACAATTTTGTTTCAATGAAAGATTTTTAAATTTTTTTAACTAATGTGGGAATTACTTAAAAAAAAAAAATAATAATGATAAAAAAAACTTTTGTTAATTCTTTGCTTATTTATTTTGTCTTTAGTTGAAGAGAGCGGAGATTTATCCGACGGTGAAATCTCGACGAGTAGCCCTGCGCCCATAAGCAGCAGTGGAAGCGGAACGGGCACCTCAAGTCGCAATGGAGGTTCACACATCCATCTGTGGCAGTTCCTGAAGGAACTGCTCAGCCAGCCACAGATGCACAGCTCCTGTATTCGTTGGCTCGACCGGCCCCAGGGCGTCTTCAAGATCGAAGACTCAGTCAGGGTGGCCCGCCTGTGGGGCCGTCGCAAGAACAGACCCGCCATGAACTACGACAAACTGTCCCGGTCGATCAGACAGTACTACAAGAAGGGAATCATGAAGAAGACGGAAAGGTCGCAGAGACTGGTGTACCAGTTCTGTCATCCCTACTGCTTGTAGAGAGGAAAGAAAAATAACCACGGTTCTAGGGTAGTCTGTAAATTAGCAGGGGCCGATTGATCGGAATAATCTCTCTCTCTCATAAGTTATTATCAATCATTAATTTAAACATAATTTATGTATTTAAACACTAATGATAAAAAGGAAGGTAATTTCCTTGTAAGGGTCACCCCAAAAATTTTGAAACTCTGGTCGAGTTGCATGTGCAATTTGCTTGAGCAATGCTCCCTCAAAGGTGATGCTTCTCGAGCAATTGTAGCACTCGTTCAGGGATTTTGTTCCCATATATCTATGATATATAATGCTGCGTACGTTCTATGAACACTTGTAAAATTTGCCGGTCTTATGTGAGACGGCAAGAAAGTAATTTTAAGATAAATGTAGTGCGATTCAATCTAGACCAATAAGGTAATTTATTGCTGTCTAGCATTGTAGCCATTGGGTACGGACTTTCGTATGGTGTAATCTTACTTTGCAATAAAGAAAAACTAACATTAAAATTAAATCAAGTTTGTTTCAATTGAAAAATTCCTTGACAAAGTGAAAAAGAATAAAAGCAATTTTTTTCTATCTATAAATAAAATATTGGGTCTGAAAAGTTAAAAAATAAAATTAAATCCTGTTGTTTAAATTATCCATATTTTCTTTTTTAATATTCTTGTCTAAACTATTCTCACACTTGCTCGTTTGTACAATGGGCATCGTTTGCTGATAACAATCATTTGCAAATGTCCATTCCACTCGACCGTTGCAAAAAGTTCCTTCAGCGCCGCACTTGAGACAAAAGCCACCCCAGCGTGGCAACCCCGATGAAAACTAAACCCACCCTCCACAACAAAACCTGCCACTTTCCTTGAGTAAATTTCACTGACCTTTACACCATCTTCTGGCTGGAGTTGTCTCTGCAAATTTCTGAGTTTAGCATCCTCTTCCTGCGACTTCAAAAGGTCTTCGGAACTGTGAGGAAGGCACACAACCGTCCCTCTTTCTAATGATCCGCCATCCTCTAAGCACACAAGAATGGCTACCAGACCTTCAGAAACCTCAAAACTTTCCAGCTTTCCATCGGCATCTTTATCCAAAAGATTTGAGGCGATTTTTAGTTGAAATGAGTCTCTGAGGACAAAAAATTGTCCACCTTTGGTCAGGGCCCATTCGTTCAGCAGTTGCTGCCATGGGAGCGAAAACCAGGGAACCCCAATTCTCTTTGCTGGGGGCAGGGCTTCAAATTTAATCCTCTCCTGCTTGCTTTTTCCTTCCTCCTCTTCTTGTCCTAAAATTGTGTCGGGATAAAAGCACAGATCCTCCAGATTCAACAAGTTCCAGTTAATCATCTGCAATTCTCGAAGAGCACCCACTCGAGCCCCACACTTGATCATCCGCAGCCACAACTGGATCCCGTGTTTCTTGGGAGTTATCACGTCCCAGCCACCGCCATGCTTTTCATTTGGAGCAGGATGGTTGACTAAGATGATGGGGGCTGGCAGATCAGCTGATGATGAAACGTTACTCCTTACTTCCTGAATCCACAATTGCGAATCGGTACTTTCACAAGTCTCGTCCGTCTCCATGGCATCATCTCTCTTGAGCGACTTTTTCCTCTTGGGTATTAGTTTGCTGGAGACTGAGTTTACGGTCAGGCCAAAAATGCTGCCTGCAGTGGAATTCGACGAGTTCCTGAGATGCTGCCACACTTCCGACTGCTTCTGAATGAGGTCCTGGTCCAGCCAGTCAGGGAGGTTGTTACTTTCATAGGGCATGAGGGAGTCCCTGAGAACAGGCATTGCAAGAGGGCCAACTAGTCGAAATCTGGAAATTAATAAATTTTGAGCTTTTAATCGCATCATAATTTAATTTATATTTTACCAATTATAAAAATCAAATTGAAAAATTAAGATTTGCAGTTCAAATTTTGTACTTTTTTTTATAATTCAAAGAAAACAAATTTTCTTTAAAAGCAGTTCTCACCTATTCATCTCTCCATCACAGACATAAGCTGAAATTTCTTGTCCTTCTCCAATAATTTCTTTCAAATTTTTTAAGATCAAGTCGGCAGCTCCAGGGTGACTCCAGAGCCAAATTCGCCTTGGTTCTTCTCCGTTGATTGGCTTCCACATGACTTTCACACATCCTAAGCAACCTGTTGGCCACTCTCCTTCCTTGAACAGGACAAGCTGACCTTCCTTTTTTCCCTGGAGGACTTCCGCATCACAGACATTGGCCTCGCAGCTCTCATGAGTCGCTCTTTTTAGAATATTGATTAAATTTTTCTCCTCTCCTACAATTTCAATGCAAGTCCAATACGAAAGGTCGAACATGAGGCAGTGACTGGTGGCAGCGCGCCAGCAGGCCCTCCAGCTCTTGTCATTGGGAAAATGAGCCAACTTGAAGCCCCACTTGTCCATCATATGGAACCTCTTGGCGTGCCACAGGTGCGTCTCGAGCCATCGACTCTTGCCCTCCTGGCGGCGTTCAAACTCGGCCCGAGCGTTTTTAGGACGGCGCCGGTGCCTCCTGCTGGGCATCTTCATTTTTTTTGGCAGCCCACCCTTGGCCTGCTGCTTTAGGTGCTGCTCCAGGATGGAGCGAGGGATGCGTTTGGACGTGTGTCCCATTACGCGACGTTTCATGTGCCGGGGCAGTCGCTGGAAAGGGAGCATCGGTCGAACGGCATTGATGCGCTGGCTCAGCTCACGGATCTCCTCGATGCGGCTCTCCAAAAATCGGGACGTGCCCACGTCCATCTTGACCAATTTTGAATTCAAAACAGACCTGAAAAGTTAAAAATAAACTCATTAAAAAATCGGCAGTTTTTTTATTTCTGTACTATGTTTGTGTTTGACATTTTTTTTTTTTCATTTTTTGCATAATTATCACATTATCAGGCAACAAAGAAAATCTTTATTATATGATTGGGTATAATTTAAGTCGTATTCTTGAAGATAATTTTTGAAATTCATGTTAAAAAAAATTACAAACCAGTTGTTGTTTCAATTCCTAGAAATAATCAAGATCGGCGGCCGAAACTTTAGACCCATGTGTTTTCCATGTCTTCTGTTTTCTGATAGTTTTGTTTATGAAAATTAAAAACTTTCAAACTTTGTTGTCAATGGCGCTAGAATCATTATACGGATTCTTCCTCCTGATTGGTCCAGCGTGCGGAATGCAATATGGCGTTGTTAACGTCTGCGCATTTCGATCGTCGTTTTACGGTTGGGCCACGCAATCGCACTCTGCTTTGTTTTTTGGCACTCCCACTGCGCCATTTTCTTAAAAACTGTTTTTGTTAGCTGAATTCGCCGAAAAATTGGCGACTTCGCCGCGCTTTTGCACCTTCTTTTTGCCATTTGAAAGTTGTTTTTGGCGCTGATTGTGAGATTATTGGTACCAAGTCGGTATGGACGATAAATTACTCATAGGTAAAGCGAGACAATGTCAAATTTGCCCTGCTCGACCAGGCTATTATGCTTGTTATTTACTTTTTATCATTCTCATTTGGCTTATTTTTCAAAAAGAAATTGCCGAAATGGTGAATGTTGCTTACAGAATTTATTATTATTGCTGACCGTAGGCAAAATATAAGTTAACATATTAATGAACCAGGCTCATAAATTCCCAGTGTCTTGTTTTACATATTATCATAACATACATACATAGCTCTTGTATTTATATATTTTAATTCATTGCTTTTTTCATAGGAAACACTGTGGAAATTGCCAGCGAAGAGGAAATTGTGACCAAAAAGCTCAACATCCCAATCAACAAGATTGCAATGGAGGAGAATGTGGTTGTGTCGGTGGAGAACGTCGACGACGATGGCATTCTTCAAATGGAACATGTGATGGTAGAGTCAAGCCGGGAGCTTGTCCACTGCATGTTTGAAGTAAATTAATACATTTTAATGTATGGAAACAAGTTAAAATCTTATTCATTTATAAAGGAGAATGAATCGATGACTTTTGAAGAAGCTGTCGAAAATTCGTCGGCAGTATCAGCAATTCTCGAAGATGATGAGGAAGAAGGAGAGGAAGTCGATGAAGTAGACAAAATCTTTTTGTTGAAATTTTTATAATAATTTGTAATGCCCTTAGGATAAAGACGATGGCTTGGAAACTAAAGAAAAAATAGACAAAGATGACCCTCGGAGCCGGTTGCATTTTGTGAAATATTTGAAACGCAGTGGGAAAACCATGAAGATATGGGAATGTGGAATTTGTAAGAAACCTGAGCTTTTTATTTTCAATTTTATATCCTAATTTTTTGTATTAGGTTCTAAGGAATTCCGACACCAGTACACTTTAATGAGGCACTTACCAACGCACACAGATGAGAGAAATTTTAGATGCGATGTTTGCGGGAAAGCCTTTAGACAAGTTGTTTAAATTATTCTCTTAATAACTTTGGTTCACTAATGCAACATCTCTAGATGAGTACATTATCGCAGCATAGAGCCATTCACAGTGACGCTAGGCCTTACATTTGTGAAATTTGTAAGAAAACATTCAACAGGGTGTCCACTCTAATTTCCCATCGAAAAACGCATTCTGAAAAGAAGCCACACACATGTAATGTTTGTGGGAAAGGCTTCCATCAAAAAGGTAATTTAAAATAAATAATTCAATGTTATAATTTTAATTTGCATATACAGGCAACTTGCGGAACCACATTTTCACCCACACAAATGAACGACCCTATCGATGCAACGTCTGCGGCAAAGGCTTCAACCAAATGTCGAACCTGATGTGTCACAAAGTGAAGCTTTGCGAAGCAGAGAAGTCCATACTAATGAAGAGAGATAATGAGGATATCACGATGATGGAAAGTGAAATTACAGCTGTCAAAGAGTCAACTGGAGAAAGACGGATTCGGAATAAGTAAAAAAGTTAGTCAAATGATGAATGAGTGATCATTAATTTTTTGTCTTTTGAAGGAAAAATATGAAGTTCGTTGAATATGTTGGTGACAAAACGGAACATGAGCCTGGAATTAGTTGTAAAAGTGAACAAGATGAAGATATTCTGGTAATAAAGTTTTCTTCGAATTATTAATTTAACATGTGAATGGTGCATTCATACTGCAACACAGTATATGCGCAGCTAAATTATCTTGCGGAAAATTGAAATTAATTTTGCCCTTTAATTTTTCTCAGAGTCTCAATGCAGGAGTATTAATAGAGCCTATTCAAACAAAAGCAATGAAGTTGGCTCGGTTAAATGGTCAAACGCCGTTTGCTCTGCTCAAACCTGCCAAAGGAATTCCTGTTTTAGTCAAAGTTGTTGATGTTACATCAAGAGATAAGGTAACATCTGGCAAATTTTGATTTTTTTTTGTAACATAATCAACTTTCCTTGTTCCGTTAGCAAATGCTAGTGCCAGCAACTGCCGAAGACTTGAAAAATGCAGGCAAAGTCACTGTTTCACCCTCTGCTCAATGCGAAAGCGTAAAAGCTGTTCAAATAAAGGTTTATTATAACTCTCATGTTAAAAAAAAAAACCAATAATTTCTAAATTATTGCCTTAGGTTCCTGTGGTGGCTACAGTGACGCAGAAAATTTTAGTGGATGGCTCGTTGGCAATAATTATCGAGCCACCAAACGGAGAACACCTTTTTAAAGAGCAGGCTGCTGCATCTGGGAGAGAAGAAAGCACTGAGGAAAATGTCAATGGTATATTCAGTGGTCACTTAAAATGCAGGATGATTACTTATTATTTTTTTATAGACCTTGCGGAGAGAGAAGAAGATTGTGCCGTGGAGGAAGAGGCTATACAATATGTTTTTGCAGACGACGACGGTTCTAACAGAGATTGGGTGATTCAAGACATTGAGGAGGGCTGCATTGAGCAAACTGAGCACTTAGAAGCACAAGAGGTGAGATAAATAAGAAAGTTGACATGCACAGATGTTGACAAAATAATTTTAGGTTTACATCCTAGAAGAAATCCCCACAACGGAAGACGTGGAAGAAGTCGAATAATTTAGCATAGAGATTACAGTCCTTTATTATGATAATTTTATTTAAAATAATTTTTATATAATTCAAGTGAGCACAATAAAGTTTAATATTTAAACTTGCTTAACTCTAAATACTGTGTCTTTTCTCTTATTGATTATTCAGCCTGCGTCACAACGTCACTAAATAAAATGAATCCATTGTAGAACTAGTATGACTGCTAAAGGAAGTAATAAAATATCTTATCTAGCAATAAAGTTTTCCTGAAAATGAGAACCAGCGCGAAAGGTGCCCAAAATACAACATAGCCGCGCCGAGAGCACAAAGTAAGCAAGCGATGGAAATACGCAACAGTTGTAGGCACCGACGCACTGGCGACCAGTGGAGAGGCTTATGCAAGGGTTACGCTGGTTGCCTATCGATCCGGCGGCGCTCTACTCCAGCGCTGCTGGCTGACACAAGAAGCAACATCGCGCACAAATGCAAATAAAATCGGCTTAGATTCCAGGCCTCAACCCATTTTCTCAACATGACAGCGGTCAAGGTACTTAACCTCATTAATGCGCCTCCAATCAGTGCTAACGTAGGCGAATATTGCTGCAAATTTACTTAAAAAATATCCATATTTTGGCAGGACGCCGTTTTTTTTTTTTTTATCTATATCCGTTCTCTCTCGAGCCCCGTGATGAACTACTTAAACTTTAGAATGAGACATGAAGCAGCAGCCGCTCGCTCATTTATTACTATTTCCTCCCACCAGCATCTCCGACGCCGAACAGACTGAGAGTGATTTACTTTCAGTTGTTAGTTGTGTCCTTCCTAGCACGCGCATACATTATAACATCATTTGGTTACTTGTTTTTTGGAGCGCGAGAGCAGGCCGATGTAGCGTGTAGAAGAGAGAGACGCACACAAACACGATTGAGTGTGATAGTGAAAGAGTACATAAGTCTCCGATAAAACAAGAAACACGCACGATTTCAGAATAAGAGCTGCTGTTGAATTCTGACCGCCAGCATGGCTGGAAGGGAGCAGTCGCCGGTTACCGAATTTTTGGGGCGGATCGCCTTCCACAATTCCGAAGTTTGTTCCTATATTTTATTTTTGCTTATTTTTCTGCTTTTTTAATTTTTGTTACCTAAAATAAAAAAATTAGGATATTTTTATATATTTATTAATTTTAATTTTTGGTAATGTTATAAAATGTTATTTTAATTTTATTGACATCTTTTGAAAATATAATACAAAATTTTCATCATATTTCCGGCTTAAAGATTTTGTTGACAGTTGGTGGTTAACAAAGAGGAAGGAAAGATTTCTAATCTCCAACAACAAGCTGACTCAAATTAAAATTTTATTTTTTCCAATTGGCTTGAATTTATATTCATTCCAAGCTCTATTTAATTTAAAAAGAATAAAACTTATATTTATTTAATATTCTAACAAGAAAAACAATTAGTTGGACGCTTTAGCTTTTTTTTACTATCGCTATAAAATTTATTTGAACCAATTTTAAAACTAAATACAAATTTTTCGGTCAAAAATATATTGAGGGCTTATTTTTTAAGCTGCTGCGCCACCGCCGCCTTTAGCTGCACCCGCTCGCTCTCGGAAAAGTGCTTTTGGCATAAAATAACAAACAATGCTTTTTGCAACAGCTAGATCTAACAATAAAAGAGACCAGAAATATCCGTTCTCCAGCAAAACGTCACACGTTCTATACGCAAGCAGCTTTTGCTAATAAAACTAACAAGTCTCGCGCGTGCATTTGTCTTTATGCAAATCTTCAATTGTCACTGTGTCTGCCCTGTCACCTATGCAGTGAGCGTAAAATACCTGTCGCATATAATTGACACTGACATGCAATACGACCGCATGATCTCGCTTTACACTCGTGTGTTTCTTTCAAGGTGAGCTACCGGCCAGCGGAATCGGAGGATGGAGATGGATCTCTCAGTAGCCGCGCTAAAAATAGCCGCAACGTATTTAGTGCAGTGAGCCTAATTTTACGACTTTTTCCAAAAATAAAAACAAACTATATTTACCAATATTTCCAATCATTTTCAGGTGTCGAATTACTGGAAGCACCGCACGACACTGGAAAAAGTACTTCTAGTCATGGTTACTTTCCTCCTCGTCTTCACTGTGATACTCTGCATTTATATCAGGGGAGACCCTTTAAAAGTGCTGGTCATTGGGTCAAATTTGTTAAAGGCCAGAGGTATGAAAGGTTTAATTTAAAATTGATTAATAAAATTTTCTATGAAAATAAATTCCACTTATATGTATATACATATAATACATCAATTTTTGCTTCAATCTTCAATAAAAATAATTTTGTTTGGCAAACGCTAGAAAGGTATGCAACCGTGCGAACGCACCTGTGGAGATGGTTGCATACCTTGATTTTGTCAGTAAAAAGAAGTGAAAACTTAACATTTCCATTGATCTTTTCCATAATCTAAATTTTCTAGGGGCTGATGGATATTGCATGAGTACAGCTTGCATCACGGCGGCCGCCTCAATTTTGCAGACAATGGACCACAGTGTCAACCCTTGCGACGACTTTTACCAGTATTCATGTGGGGGGTGGATAAAGAGCACTGTGATGCCCGAGGGCAAGTCCCTGTGGGGCACGTTCAGCATCATCGAGCAGCAAAATCAGAGAGTCATAAGGAAAATTCTAGGTAATTTTTATTTTAAAATAGAATTCGATTTATATGCTAATTAGAATGTATTAATATTTCACTGGTAATTAATTGAATATTTCTATGAACTTTTTATTGTGCCTTTTGGGAATTCCAGAGCAGCCCAGCGAGAATCTCAACAGCCAAGCCGAGGTCAAGGCAAAAATGTACTACCAATCATGCATGGACCCCAACGGAACAATCGAATCTCTAGGCGCAACTCCACTGTTGGAAATGCTGGACGAAGTGGGCGGATGGAACGTCAGCGGCAAAACGTTCAACGTGACCAAATGGGACTTACAAAAATCGTTGCATATTTTGCAACTTAAGTACGGGATGAATGGTCTTTTCTCTTGGGCGGTTAATGAGGATGATAAAAACTCAAGCAGATACGCCATTCAGGTGATTGATCAATATTGTCAAAATTTAATGAAGCCACTCAAATTTAAAATAATCTAATCGCAGATTGACCAAGGAGGATTGACATTGCCCACAACTGCTCACTATCTAAATAAAACGACAAATGCCAAAGTGATTCAAGCCTATTTAGAATACATGGTTAATGTATGGGACATTTTTGAATTTTATTAATTTTTGAATACAATTTTTATAAATTTAATCTTACAGGTCGGTGTGCTTTTGGGGGGTGAAAAGAACGCGACTACTGATCAGATGAGGGAAGTGATCAATTTCGAGACAGAAATCGCCCGCATCACGACGCCTAGTGATGAACGACGTGACGAGGAAAAGCTTTACCACTCAATGAGCCTAACGGAGCTCCAGGATTTAGCTCCGTTTGTAAGTCACGTTTCCCTAGCAACTGTCGGCTCGCTCATTTTTGCAATGCTGATGACATTATTCAGATGAACTGGCTGGATTATTTCAATGAAGCCTTCCGAATGGTCGATAAAAAACTGACGCCCAACGACACGGTCATTGTGTACGCACCGGAATACCTGCACAATCTGACAAAAATCATCTCGACCTACAAACAAAATGAGACTGGGAAAATGTATGAGCTCCGCACATCAATCATAATGTTTTCTGAACATTTTTCTTCATGAAATTTCAGAGTTATAAATAACTATTTGGTCTGGCAAATGATTCACTCCATGGCCTTTTACTTATCCAAGGACTTCAGACAGGCGTTTAAAGGTTTGAGGAAAGTCCTCACCGGCACGCAAGGGGAGGACGAGTCTTGGAGGTACTGCGTGGCAGACACGAATTCAGTTCTTGGGTTTGCTGTCGGAGCTATGTTTGTCCGGGAGAAATTCAATAACAAGTCAAAGGAGTTTGTAAGCGCTTATATTTGTATAAATGCAGAACGTAAAATTAACTTCAAACAAATAGGCAGAGTCAATGCTCAATGAAATTCGGCTGTCGCTAAAGGAGAATATTGAGAATGTGCCTTGGATGGACGACGAAACAAAAAGCGCTGCAATTAGCAAAGCAAATGCAATTACAGATATGATTGGTAATTAAAATAAATTATTTAAAGAAAGATCAAAATAAAAGGGAAAATAATTGTTCAATTTTAATTTTTAATTAATACATTAAAGTTCATTTTTTTTTAATTTCTTCAATCCCTATATTTGGGGGAAATTTTCTCACACAGGAATGAAGTCGTACAAAATCAACAACTTTTTTCAAACTTAGACCCAGTCTTTTTTTTAAATGATAGAAAAAAATATGAGTACATGTAGTTTTAAATTGAACTCTTTGCAGCAGACTTTGCCCTTAATTTAATTGCTAAGACGCGAATCCAATCAAAATCGAATCAACCCATTAAAAGCGAAAACAAGGCCCTTATAGCATTATTAACTATTTTTAAGGTTTCCCGGATTACATTCTGAGCGCCAAGCTGCTCGACACCAAGTACAAGCAGCTGGAAATTCAAGGCAACGAATATTTCAGGAACAACATTCGCGCGATCCAATTCAATTTGGTGGAAATGCTGGAAAAATTAAACCAGTCCGTCAATCGAACTTTGTGAGATAAATTTTATTAAATTTATAACATGAAATGAAAAAAATATAATTTTAATTGAAAACAGATGGGGGATGACGCCGCCCACGGTCAATGCTTATTATAACCCGACCAAAAACCAGATAGTGTTTCCCGCAGGCATTCTGCAGTTGCCCTTCTTTGACGTCAACAATCCAGCCGCCCTCAATTTCGGTGGCATGGGAGTGGTGATGGGGCACGAGTTGACGCACGCTTTTGACGATCAAGGCGAGTGTGTCGCATGCAAATTTTGCACATAATTTAAAAGTGTTGACTGCGTTGCTTGCAAACACACAAGTCCCATCCCGATTTCACAAAAGCGATGAAAAACTCGAAAAAATTATAATAATGAATAATGAAAATTTTGAATAATTTAAAATTTTCTGAAATTTGCAGGCAGGGAATATGATAAAGAGGGAAATCTGAATCACTGGTGGAATAACAACACCATCGAAAAATTCAAACAGCAGACAAAATGTATTGTGGACCAGTATGCAAACTATAAAATGGACAGCCTAAACCTTAACGGAAAACAAACTTTGGGTAATGAAAATCTATTTTGAACCTGATAAAAAATGTCTAATTGATTTTTTTTTTAATTTTGTAATCATTAAAATTCAAAATAGTTTGAAATTTAAATTATCATTTTTTTTTTAAATTCAATTTTGAATTAAAGCTCAAAATGTTGGCAATTTTTTTCAGGTGAGAATATCGCGGACAACGGTGGCCTAAAAGCGGCTTTTTACGCCTATCAAAACTGGCGGCAATTGCAGGCTGAGTTGCCGCTGCCTGGGCTTGATTTATCGCACAATAAGCTGTTCTTCGTGAATTTCGCCCAAGTGTGGTGCTCAGCGAGCACCACTGAAGCCAATCAGCTGCAGATAGAAAAGGATCCTCACTCACCGTCCAGATTTCGGGTCAACGGGCCTGTCTCAAATTTCCCTGAATTTGCCAAAGTCTTTGAATGTCCTGCGGGCACGGCAATGAATCCCAGTGAGAAATGTTCGGTTTGGTAAAAACAAACGGCTGATAATGAATAATAAATACGTATTGAAAGTGAAAAGTGGGACCGCCTGTGCGTACTCTAAGTCAGACCATTATTGAATGTTATAAGTATACTATTGTCTTGGCAACTTAATTTCAAGGAATATATTAATTAAGATTTTATGAGTAGCACTGAAAATGCGAGAATTTTCAATCTAATCTTTTATGTAAATCTCATTAAAATAAATGTTAAACATATTTTATGTCAAAAAGTATTCAATTTTCATTATGGGTTTTCCTCTAAAACTAAAAATTTAGCATTTTTAAATTGAAAAATTAACATACTTAAATTTAAAAATAAAAGACCGTTCTTAACAATAAAAAAAAATCTCCATTTATTAGCTCTTCAACAGAAGAATTAACCAATTGGATTACTGTATGTAAATAATAAATTGCAAACTAAACTGTAAAACGCATGGCTTGATGAATGGTAAGCAGACTACTTGAGATCAACAAATAATAAACACCACAATTCATTATTAAGAAATTTATTCGCTACGGAAGTTTTTCATAATCGTACACACGCAACATCTCGCTCGTAGCCGCTTTGTCTAAGTTTTTCCAAAACAAAGAAAGAGTAAAAGGAAATGCGCAAAATAGAAAATCCTGCAGATTCTCAGTTAAAAGGAAACCTCAAATAAATTTTTCATACAATTTTAACCCGATTAATTCTTGTTTACCCAATTTATCTATTGTAAATGTTGCTCTATATTAAAATATTAGATGATATTTAGTAAAATCCCAAAAGAAACAGAACCGTTATTTCTGAAAATGCTAATAAAAGCGCGCCCTTAAAGTTATTTTCAGAAAACATTCTCAACTTATACAATTAGGTCCTATATCAATGTCATTCGCGACATTGATTTTATCTGATAAAAATAATAAATTAGAACGCAGTAAATAAATGTATTCGCACAGGTCGCGCCTCTCCGCGCGTGACACGACGAAAATAATTATTCCGTCGCTTTAGGGGAGAGACCAAAACTCAAATTAATTGGCGTTGTAGCTGGAAATGCGCCACGCAGGAACGGACTGGAAACGAAATTACTCTCGGGGCTGATCCAGAAGTGAGCGAGGCACGACGGAGACCCACTCCCAAAAGCCCCGTGTTAAAAATGGGTCGCGGCCCAATGGGGTTGATCTCGAATGACGGCCGGGCCGCTCAGTCCGGGCCTGGAGCCACGTGCTGCGCCACGGTGTCCCTCTCGCTTGCTTGAACACCAGCGCACGCAACGCAGTATACCTCGGGGGACTGCATGTTCAATCACAGATTCATCCGTGGCTAAAAATAGGTCCAGGAAGTGTATGGACATCTCGAATAAAATATTTTGATGGAAATGAAATTTCGCGTCGTCCCTGATTAATGTCAAAAAGAACAGGAGGGAAAAAATGTGTGGGTGTCGATGGCAGTTCTTGTTAATTTTTGTGCCAAACGAGTTAAGAAAAAGACAGCCAAAGAGCTTTTGACACGAAAAGGGAAAGTCCGTTAGCAGTACATGAGTATTAGATCGAAGCCGGACGACGGAGCGAGGGTCAGTTTTCGCCAAACTCGAGGTCGCATGGGAACCAATTTTTTCTATCACGTTTGAATCTCCACCCAAAACAAAAAGCCAAATTGGGTTAAATATACGGGAAAATAAAAAAGCGGCAGAGGAAGAACTGTGGAGCTGCGTGCATAGGGAAGAGCGCGCCGAGTGCGCAGATAAATTGATCAGGCATCGGGCAGGAGGGGGTAAATAACAATAATATGTATTTCGCACATGCTTCGCTCCACGTGACGAAGGGCACATAATAAAAAAGCTACGCGAGTCACGTTGAATCTCACTCAGCGCCATCCTCATTTTAGCTGTGCAGGAATATATACACACAGACATTCGTCCAGTTTGCCGACCGGTGTAGTTGTGTCTCCAGGTGTGTCCAAGTTCGGCCCAAATTTCCAGCTCCGTCTGTAAACAATATCGTGCCGAATTTGTACTGTGACTTTTTATTCGTGTGCACCGCTTGCGAAAGTCGCACCACTGGATCTGGCCGAACTTATATGAGTGCTCATTTCCACGCTACTGACATTTCATGCCAGTCGAATAGCAACAACTACCCTCAGGACCAGCAGCAATGGACCAGGAGTTTCCAGGTTCATCAGCACAGGAATTCAGAACAAACTGCAGGTGATATTATTAAATTTTATTCCACTTTTCATTGAAAAACTTAATATTTCGTTCATTTAGACAATTTTCGTAGGAAACTGGAAAATATTATTTCACTTTAACTTTAAAATGAAGTTGCGTAAAAGCATTATGGAAATCAATGTTTTTATTTATTTTATTTAAAATTTTTAATTTTAAATATTCATTAATTATACGGCAGGTTAAATTAAATTTTAATTTTTGCATAGTTTTGTCCAGCGGAACTAAATTTATATTACATTAAAAGAGAAACTTTGCTTCTCTCATTTCGGTGCATGAAACCTCTATTGTGTACACAAAGAGTATTTAGCTGACAAGCCAATTTGCTGACCTTTCTTTCATTGCAATCCGCGGTAGAAAAACGTGCAAGCACATAAAAATGCCAATTTTGAAAACCATAAAAGTGGCAGCTTTTTCCGCAATATGTTATTTCTGCAATTAACTACTTTTAAATATGCACGTTAAAACTTTTTTTCTAGATAAAGAAAGATATTTTCCCAAAATTTAAATTTAAGCTTTTTTTTGGAAGTAAAATTTAATTTGTTCATATGGCGTCACATCTCATCAGAGTCGGAAGGAAGCGATAAAGAAAGACGTATTACGACACACGCGCGAGTTTCAAAACAGAAAAATCGCCGCTAATAAACAAGAAAGAAATTGCTGCAAGTGCAGTCCAAGGCCGTGCGATTTTCAATGCAAATTATAATTCGCTTATTGAATTATAAAGGCGGCATCAATGGCGCACGCGGCTTCCAATATAGCCTGTTGACTATATATTCAAGGGCTGATTGATTTTATTGTTTCTCCGACACTAAAAATATATTAAAAGTTTGGAAAAGTCATTTTTTATGCATCGCCTAATTTTAGGTTTTAGATATCATTCAGTCCATTTATTAGCTAATTTTTTGCATAAATAAGTAGAAACGGTTGCGTTAATAATGTGTTATCTATTTTCGTCGCGAGAGAATTTCAATATGGGGTAGTGGTTGAAAGCAATATACGCGTATAAGGTTGCAAATATCCGCCAATAATTGCACACCCGTAAAGCTAATGCAATACAAGTGCAGATGGATGCATTGCAAGTCAAGATTGCAGGTACCCTCTGTGCGCGGAAATTTATTTAATATTATTTCGAGGCCAAGGTCGCGGACGACGGTTTGGTTTTCCGCAAAAATATTCTTGATCGTCTTGAATTTTTCCACTAGGAATCGTGATAGGCGCTGGATTCTACTTTTGCACAATCTAATCACTTGCTTTGTTTTTGAATGCCCCATCTAGTGAAATCCGCGGGCGAAATGGAAAATAAAAGCAAGGAGGATGCGAACGAGAATGCCTGGGTTTGCGCAGGCCAGTCGGCCTTCCTCGGACCCTGCATTTGGGACAAAAACATTCCACACAACCCTGACCTCAGGATTGGAGCACAAGTAAGTTCGTAAGTCTATCCAGACAAAAATTGCAATAAAAAATTTGAATTTTCCAGTACATAGATTTGGACGATTTTCTGTCTGAAAATGGCATTCCTTTGGAGCAGTCTGTATTTTCCAATGAAAATGGACAAACCTGGAAACGAAATGACAATGACAGTAAGTGCCTTGTAAAATTCAAGAACTTTCCTTTTACTTTACATTATCGCGGCTAGTTAGTTTTCAACTCATTAATTTAAACTTCTTATCTTCGAACCACGTCAAACTTCTGTGAACCCTATGCTGTGTTCTTATCACACTGCATTTTTTTGATAAAAAGTCAACTGGTGGTCAGCGCATGTTTTCAAGGGGAAACCCACTGATTGTATAAAATTTTATTTAAAACAAGAGTTTAAAAAAAAAATCCTCGGAAATTTAAGGAAATTAAATGAAATAATGATAAAATTAAAAATTTAAATTACGTATCTCCCTTTTTTAGGCGACTCTCAACAAAACTATTCCCAAAATGTGGCCAAACTCGGCGTGGTCGCAGAAGTTCTTTCCCTAAACGGCAAGGGCGAGTACTCTATGAAATACCAGGGCAGTTCGAGTCCACCACACGCCTGCTCCTCCCTAACCTCATCATCTAGCAAAGATGAGCTGGAATCACCCACCTGCTCTTGTAAGATAAAAATAAAAGTGTAGGAATTTCTAATTTGAACTTGAACTTGTAGCATACAATATGTATTACTCCATGAGTGGGAATGAATTCGACCCGCGAACAAGGCCGTTTTCTGACGAGGAGCTCAAACCGCAGGTCATGGTGAAGAAGTCCCGGAAGAAGGTGGTATTGACTCACAAAATTCAAGATTAGCCAAAAATTTACACCCTTTTTGTGACAGTTTGTCCCCGAAGACATGAAGGACGACAAATACTGGGCGCGGAGACGCAAAAACAACATTGCGGCCAAGCGGTCAAGAGATGCGCGCAGATTAAAAGAAAACCAGATTGCTTTGCGAGCAGGATTCCTCGAGAAGGAGGTAGATTGGATTGTGAATTTTTAAAAAAAAATCTAGATTTTAATTTGAGTATGTTTTAGAATTCTTTTCTCAGAAAAGAGGTGGAGAAACTTAAAAAGGACAACAACCTGATGCGGTTGAAGCTCGAGAAGACTCAGAAAAACTAACTGATTTAATTGATTAAGATTTTCCATCAGCAAAGTTGCTTAATGATCCATGTTGTCTGTGTTAAGGATATGATTAAACTACTTTATGTATAATAATTTTATTTCAAACGCTCGCAATCATTTAAGAAATTCGCCCGGATTCACACACACAAACGTATAGTCAGCCCACTCATAAAAATCACTTTTTTTTGTTGGCGCTATCGACATAAATTAAATTACTTCATTACGTAGACTATCCATACAAAATATGAATGTAAAAATAACTTATACAGAAAATCAATATCGTGATTTCATGCAAACAGGACTCCGCATCTGACTGAAAATGCAGTCCAATCCTTGACTGCTATATCAAGAGTTTTATGTAATAATCTATCAAAACACAATAACTGCTCAATGAAGAGAAAAGTCGATTGCCAAACACTAAGCTAAATGAAAAAAGTACAGAAAAAGCAGTAGTGTTTGCAGTGAATGCTTTTTAAAAATTTTCAGTGATTTCATAAAACTTCTACTGCTGACAAGTGCAAAAGCGGCTGAGCCACACTGCTAACAGAGAAGTACGTTTTCAAAAGTTTTTGTTAGGAATGTATTCTTATGTAAGTGATGAGAAGAAGTTGGCATTTAAGCAGCGCGGTAAAACGGGTTCACGTCTTTGATAGGTAAGGGATGTGCTTCAGTGTTGAACACCCACTCGTCTAACGATATCAAGTTATCGTCACTGAACAACAGGTATAAATACTGCAAAGTACGAGAACCGTCAAAACTTTTACGTTGGAGAGAAATCAAAAGAGACATCAAAACTCAAGTAAAATTTGCTTATCATCCAAAAGATTAGCAACTTTTGTTTTGGGCTTTGAGGTCATTTCAAAAAAGATTGCACTTACCTTCAACGTCTCTGCTAAAAAGAAACTTTGTTGGACGTCGTCCTTCTGTGGGTCGTCCGCATATACGTTTTTGATTCCACTGTAGCCTCCCTCAACTTTGCAGTGTTTCTCCAGGGCTTGCACCACCTCCCAGCCCCATTCACGGTACTTCTGCTCTTTGGTGAGTCGCCACATGATTAAGTATGATTCAACAGTTTCCGGTCGAAGAATGTAGTATTTCTCTGTGCTTTTCAAGGCCTGAAATATATTATTATAAATTATTTACTAATTATCTTATAGTGCAATCAAGTCATAAAAATCTAAGTTGGAAAATAAATAAGTAAACATAGCCGTTAGGCGCCATTGAAAGATAACATAAACCTAAAGTAAATAATAAATCTGTTGAAGCTCCTACCTTGGCTTCAATCGATTCTGTAAACCTGAAGCTCTCTGGCCCCAGTTTGGTGTTGGATCTTATGTAGCTTTCATGGCAGGTGTTTGTAATGCCCTCGGCAATCTCCATGTGTCGGCTGAATTGCTCGTTGGGTTGTGTTTTGGCACCCAAGCCAAACAGACCACCTGACATTGATAAAATTTTCACAGCCTAATGTTCAAATAAATAAATAAGCAACCAATTACCTGCAAAACAAGCCAGGTGGTCCATTTTGTGTTCGAGTCTGTCAAACTTCATGTCGGAGACATAAATCAGTCCTCCACGCGACGTCCGCACCATGTGCTCGATAATGGCTTGCATGGCGTCGTCGTACAAAATCCTAGCTTCCACGTCTTGTTTGTTTGACTGGAGCCACGCTTTCAATAGATATTCGTAGAAACTATCACCCAGAGCACCAAGGGACATGTGAACTGTTAAAAAAGGAACAAATTAAAATGGTGTGTTTCCTATACTTCAATGCATTTTACTTACATTGACCCCATTTTCCAGTCTTTGGGTGGATGTAATTAGGGTAGAGTCCCTTTGGTTTCTCCATTTGCTTGATCACATCTCTAATTTTGTCCACTTTCTCTCTGTACTTGCGATCACCAGTGATGTCTGATAAGTACGAAAACTCCAAATGCAGCGTCCCAAATTCAGACAGGATGCTGCTGCCTCCACTAGCCCAACCGTAATTTTTGCTGACCTGCAATATAATAAAAACAATTTAATGGCCCAAATGGCAAATTACATCATTCGTCATACCCCGCTCCTGGAATTGACTATAGCCAAGGGAATCCCTGTTTGAGTATTGAATGCAGGAAGCAGCTTGTCTGCGATGTGGACAGCCTTGTCTTTATACAACGAATCACCAGTAAAGGCGTACAGGGTCAACAACCCGCCAACAAACCGAATGTTTGTCTCAAACACTGACAAGTCGGCACTCTGAAATATTCCGGAATGAAAAATATTTATAAACTTAGCAAATTACAGAACATACCACATTTTCTAGGTTCAAATTCTGAGCAATCCACTCTCTTCCTTTCTGGTACTCGTCATCCATGCCCATGATGTAGAGAGTGTCCATTCCGTCGATTATCGAGGCTCCTAAACTGGCAGAGCCAAAAATAGAGGCACTGTGACCTCTCTTCGTGATTGGCCGGAGCTCGTTTTTGCCCCAAGCGTACAACACATAATTTTCCCAGGCATGTTTCATCATCTGAGAAAAACAAAAATTGTGAATACTGACAAATTTGATTGTTTGAACTATACTCTCTGAACTGTGTTTCTTCTTTCACGAGATGTCTTATCACTATCCTCTCCACCAGTGAGCAACGGGTTTCTTAACTTGGGAATTAGGTTTTCCCCAAAGTCCCCTGAGAGCAGTGGTTAATATTAGTTTAAATCGAGTTACAAAAAATATAAATTACTACTCGATAAATTATTTGTCCATACACTCATTATAAAATTTTGACAAAAAAGTACTCAAAATATTCAAGTTGCCATCTTAAGGTTAATTTATATTATATTAATTTTAACCTTTGGCTTGAACCGATGTCTGCAAAGATTCAAGCTGGTTATTCGATCGCTCAGCTCCGAAGTTGTCTTCAGTATTTTTGCTAATCTCTGGCTTATCCAAGACCTTGTCCTTGGCATCGTTGTCAATCATATTCTTCAATTTGTACCTATCCTGCACCAAGTGCGGGTCTTCATCTTCGCCGTGCTGTTGACAAAGATTTTAGAGAATACATATAATTATAAAATAAAATTGCCCGTCAGTCACCTTTCCAAAGTTGGATGGCGGCAGCAGCAGGTCTTCGCCGGCCTTCTGCACGTGCTGGTACACTTTGTAGTAGACCGACCTGTCGGCGCCACTCGGTTTGAGCTTTCCGTAGTCTGGCAGGTAGAAGAAGGCTCCAAAGCACACGACACCCAGGGTGACGAAGACGAGCAGGATAAGACATTTTTCGCGAGGCCGCAGTGACCTCCGGATCACCGACACCGGAACGCCAGAGCCGAGGCGCTGGTACTGCGGCAGGATCGCTCCAGGCATTATTTGGACGCTGCTTGTCCTTCGGTCTGCTGCATAGGTGACTTCCCCGTTAACTTCTTCTCACGATGCGCCCAAAGCAGCAGTGCCGACCCCCGGATTCAGACGGGTTGGGCGCCGTCATCAGTGGTGGGTCTTGGGCTATAGCCGTTGCGGTAAAAATGTGGTCGATGAAGAATGTGGCGGAACGGTGTCCGCAAGTGTCCAGCAGCAGCCTTTGCTCAACGTCGATTAAGTCGAGCTTCAAAGGGCGATAATGGTAGAATGGGCCACGGCGGTGCTATGCTGTGTGACGGCGACGGCAAGGCAAAATGACAAGAGTTGCAATCGTTCTATTTTCCAACGTGGCAACTGTGCAAACTGCAAAATAGTGCAAAATACAGCTAACTTGAGCCGGTTATTAATTGTAAAACATTATATCTACCGATTTTCCAATTTGAAAATTTTCATTTCTTTATCTATGTTGAACTTAAATTGAAAATATATAGCAAAATTATTCTAAAATATAAATTAATTCACATTTAAAAATATTTTACTAAGAATTACAGAGAAAAAAATATATTTTAAGTTTAATTAAGATTTCTGAAAACCGGTTTTATTCTGTCAACTTTTATCGACCGGAAAAAACTGTACGATACGGCAACACTGCTATATTACAACAAAATTTTGACAAAATTGAAAAAAATCACTCGATCTGCCCCCTGGCGGATGTGAGGTGCAAAAGGCTGATCCATGTTATTGTGCGGTGTTTTTCGTGATGTTGTAGTACAATAATTTGTTTCAATTTTCTTAAAAAAGCTTCATTCTTTTTACGTTTAATGAAAAGTTTATAAAATTTTGCTGGTTTCCCGAAGCGGAATGCAATAAGATTTACAAGGCAAGAAGATACATTTACGTATAAGAAGAATTTTGTTAAAATGTCTGTAATAATTATAATGCTTCTCTCTAACATTTTCTTTGTCATTTTTATATTTTTGGGTTTATTTGCAGATTAATTATTTTAAATAATTTTTAGATGGAGGGCAGTGACGATGAACAGAGTAGAGAGCCGCAGTCGCTGCTCACGAGTTTCCTCTTCGGAAATGTCAACGAGCAGGGTCTGTTGGAGGATGACGTTCTGGACGCCGACTCCCAGAGGCAAATTTCGTCCCTCGGCAAGCTAGGCTTGCAGACTTTCTTGCAGGAAATTTGCGGCGAGGCTATTCCCAAGCGCAAAAAAATTGATTCGAGGCGGTCTACAGAGACAGACACATCTGATGCAGATGACGATGAAAAAGAGGAAGACAAAGTGGAGCAAGAAAAGGCTGAAAGTTCGGCTGACGATGGTAGCAAAATTTTCTGTAGCATATTTTGTTTTTCTGTTAACAAACTTTTGTTGAAGTTGATTATACTGAAAAAACCGAAACTGCTGTTGATTACTCTGATATCAATGAGTTGGCCGAAGACGTGTCTGAAGTCCAGGAAGTCAAGCCCAGTGAAGAAAGCAAGACGAATGGTATTTTTCTTTGTAATGCAAATCAGCTTGAAAATAGCACATTGTTCATAGTTAAAGAAGCAACTCTGATGCCGCCTCCACCACCTGTGACAGAAGCAGTTCCGAAAACAACAACAGGAAAAGAGGAACCTCCTGTACAGGTGACTACTCCCTCGGACAATGCAGCTTCAGTATTTGACCTTAATATTTCTAAGAAGGCCCCTCTTGCTGGGATGTTGCCTTCTCGATATGAGGGAATTGACGTCAAAACTCTCTTTCCAGACTTCAGAGTGGATAAAGTATGGATGGAATTCTATTTATTGTTTTTCTCCAATTCGATTGCCTCTGTGTAGGTTCTTCGATTTTCTAGAATTTTTGGACCTGGCAAGGCAAGCAGTTTGCCACAAATTTGGAGAACTGCAAAGAAGCTCTCAAAGCAAAAGAAAAAGAAGCGCAAGGATGGCGTGTCTGATTCTGATAGTGAAACTGAGACAAAAACCAAGTCCAGTGATTACAGGTGGACTTTCAATTACGGAAGTCCACCACCTGCTGCTGGTTGTTGCTCCGATGATGAGGTTAGTATATAGTTTAGATTTGAACTGAAAGGGTGAAAACTTCTCTTATTTTTGTTTTTTGAAAAGGATAAGCTGATGAAACCATTAGCAGCTGCTCCTGAGCAGACTTCGAAAGGAGAGGCACACAACGAATTTGAGAATGGGCCAAAAGTTGCTGACTGGAGATTCGGGCCAGCTCAAATTTGGTATGACATGCTAGATGTGTCAGAAACTGGAGATGGTTTTAACTACGGCTTCCGTCTACAGGAAAAAGTATTAAAAATTATTTGGCAAAATATTTTCTTATTCAAATTTTTCCTAAGAAGGTCAAAGAGGAAGAAAAGGGAAGAGAAAAGGAGGCAGAAAATCCGGAAGAGGAGGAAGTTCCAGAGGATGCTTTTTTGATGGTCTCTCAACTGCACTGGGAAGACGATGTTGTGTGGAATGGGGATGACATCAAGCACAAAGTGATAGCCAAACTCAACAGCAAAACCAATGCTGCCGGCTGGGTGCCCACGAGTGGAAACAGAACTGCACAAGCATTCAGCCAGCCTGGTAAAGGAGTGCCTCAGTTTGTTGCCGGAGCTCTTCCATCATCTCAAAGGGTTCCAACACCTGCCACTCCCAGCCAGCAGGTCAAAAACCCAAAGTTACAAGGGTATTGAAGAGCTAATTTGATATTTAAGATTTTTCATAAAATATTATTTTAGTTTAAAGTCCACTCCAACTCAAAGACCTCAAGAGACCGATGACACATGGTATTCAATTTTCCCCGTGGAAAATGAAGAACTGGTTTACGGAAATTGGGAGGATGAAGTCATCTGGGACTCTGAATCTATGCCAATTATTCCCAAACCAAAGATCCTTACTTTGGACCCTAACGATGAAAACATTGTCCTGGGAATCCCGGAGGATGTTGATCCTTCAAAAATTCCTGATCGTATGGCAGCTCCTGTCAAGGTAGACTCACTTATATAATTAATGAGTTAAATATGTAAAATATTTTTAATTAACAGGTGAAAATCCCACACCCCCATGTTAAGAAGTCGAAACTGCTCCTTGGCAAAGCAGGAGTCATAAACGTCCTTGAGCAAGACGATACTCCACCACCGCCTCCAAAATCGTTAACTGACATGGATCCCTTCAACATTTCTAATGACAAGTAAATCCAGATTTTGTCCACAGCAACATTTTATTGAATGATATTTTCAAGGTTCTACCAAGCTCGTTATTCCGAGTCGACCCTCCGACTTGGTGGTGCTGGTGGAAATCTCATTCAGCACTCTACACCTGTAGTTGAGCTCAGAGCGCCGTTTATTCCAACCCACATGGGGCCTCTAAAGCTGAGAAACTTCCATCGACCACCTTTAAGAAAATTTTCTCACGGTCCTCTTGCTAATCCTGGCCCTCACTCTATTTATCCTCTGCTAAAAACAATCAAAAAGAAAGCAAAGGTAAGAACTTTATTTTTTAATTTCGTGTAATTTCACCAAACCTCTCTTATAGCAAAGAGAGCAAGAAAGAATAGCCTCTGGTGGAGGTGACGTCTTCTTCATGAGAGCGGCCGAAGATCTCACAGGGCGCGATGGAGACATCGTCCTAATGGAATTTTGTGAAGAGCACCCTCCTCTTATGAACCAAGTTGGAATGTGCTCGAAGGTCAAGAATTACTACAAGCGCAAAGCTGGAAAGGACAACGGACCCCAGCAGTTCAGATTTGGTGAAGTTTCTTACGCGCACACGTCACCTTTCTTGGGCACCCTTCCTCCTGGCCACTCAATCCAAGCAGTTGAGAACCTCATGTACCGAGCGCCAATCTATGAACATAACCTGCCAGAAAGCGATTTCCTGGTAATCAGGACTAGGAATCAGTTCTACATCAGAGAAGTTGAGGCTTTATTCTTGGCTGGTCAGGAGTGTCCACTGTATGAAGTGTTCGGACCAAACTCAAAACGCGCCAACAACTTTGTTCGAGACTTTCTCCAGGTATAATAAAAAAATTTTGTTCATTAATGAAATTGAATAATGCAGCAATATTTCTATTTAGGTTTTCATATACCGACTATTCTGGCAAAGCAAAGACTCCCCTAGAAGAATAAAAATGGACGACATCAAACGAGCTTTTCCGACTCATTCTGAAAGCAGCATTCGTAAACGGCTGAAGCAGTGTGCTGATTTCAAGCGTACAGGTAAAAAAAAACAATAATTCTTGTATGATGGAATTTAATTTTTCGTTCTTATTGAAAGGCATGGACTCCAACTGGTGGGTCATAAAGCCTGACTTTAGATTGCCTACTGAGGAGGAAATAAGAGCCATGGTCTCTCCTGAACAGTGTTGCGCTTACCTTAGTATGATCGCTGCCGAGCAAAGGCTGAAGGTAATTTTTCTTTTTCTTTTGGGAAATGCAGCTAAAATTAATTAATTTATGTATATAGGATGCTGGTTATGGTGAGAAATTCTTGCTCACTCCCCAAGAGGATGAAAATGATGAAGAGATGCAGTTGAAAATGGATGACGAAATTAAGGTTGCCCCTTGGAATACAACAAGGGCCTATGTGCAGGCCATGAAAAACAAATGTCTACTTCAACTCACAGGACCAGCAGATCCCACCGGTTGTGGTGAAGGCTTCAGCTATGTTCGAGTTCCAAATAAGCCAACAGTAAATATATATTATAATTTCTAATACAAAATTTATGGATTTTTATAAAATTATAGCAACAAAGTAAAGAGGAGCAGGAAGCGCAGCCAAAACGAACTGTGACAGGAACAGACGCTGATTTGAGAAGGCTTTCTCTTAACAATGCTAAGGAGTTACTTCGCAAATTCCAAGTGCCAGAAGAAGAGGTAGGTTTTTTGCAACAAAATTGATAAACTTAATGGAGTTAATGATGAGAATTTTGCAGATAAAAAAATTGTCACGCTGGGAAGTCATTGACGTTGTTCGAACATTGTCTACTGAGAAAGCAAAGGCTGGAGAGGAAGGAATGGATAAGTTCTCAAGAGGAAATCGTTTCTCAATAGCTGAACATCAAGAAAGGCAGGGATTAGTTTTTATTTAAAAGATCTGGATTTAATTAATTCATTTCAAACAGGTACAAGGAAGAGTGTCAGCGCATATTTGAGTTGCAAAACCGAGTGCTATCTTCGAATGAGGTCCTCTCGACTGATGAGGGTGAAAGTTCTGAAGAAGATAATTCTGACATTGAGGAGTTGGGCAAGAACTTGGAAACTATGCTTGCCAACAAAAAGACCAGCACCCAGCTTTCACTAGAAAAAGAGGAGCAGGAGAGACAGGAGCTGAGAAAAATGCTCATGGGAGGAGACTCGACTGAAAATCAAGATTCAAAAGATGGCAAGAAGAAGGACTCAAGCATGCGCAAGGACAACAGCACAGTGGGCGAGGATGACCAGAGTATGCAAATGTACGCATCTCAGCCTGGTCGAGTACTGAAAATCTACCGCACCTTCAAAAATGCGGAGGGGAAGGAGTTCACAAGAGTTGAGATTGTACGGAAGGCTGCTGTGGTTGACGCCTACGCCAAAATACGGACCAGCAAGGATGATGCGTTCATAAGGCAGTTTGCAACTATGGACGAACAGCAAAAGGAGGAAATGAAAAGAGAGAAGAGAAGGATACAGGAGCAGTTGAGGAGGATAAAGAGGAACCAGGAGAGGGAAAATGTTGCCACAGCTGCACCTCCGCCAACTCCGAAGAGGAAAAAGCCAAAATTGAAGCCAGACCTCAAACTAAAGTGCGGTGCCTGCGGACAAGTCGGACACATGAGGACCAACAAAGCCTGTCCTCTGTATCAAAATGCTGGACCAGCGCCTCCTATGAATGTTGCCATGACTGAGGAGCAAGAGGAAGAAATTGAGAAGCAGATCAATGAGGCTGACGATGAAGATCTCGTTAATGTGGAGGGAACAAAGGTCACTCTGTCTGGAAAACTGTTTAAGGTCAGTTTAATTTTCAGGCTTGATTAATCTTTTTAAAATTTATTCCCATCTTACTTAGCATGTCGAAGAAATTAAGAGGCAGACTTTGCGCTTGCGAGTGCCCAAGGATGCTGTCAACAGGAAGAGAAGACGGGCAGGCACAGTCATACACTGTGATTATCTCAAGAAGATGCAGAAACCAGCCAACAGGAGAAGAATTGACCCTGTGATAACACTTTCCACCCTTTTGGAGGTGATTCTGAATGAAATGCGAGACCTACCCGACGTTCAGCCCTTCTTGTTCCCCGTCAATGGAAAAGTTGTTCCCGACTATTACACCATAATACAGAGACCTATGGATCTGCAGACAATCAGGGAAAATCTCAGAGCCAAGAAGTATCAAAACAGGGAAGACTTCTTGACCGATGTGAATCAAATTGTTGAAAATTCCACTCTTTACAATGGTTTAGAAATTTCATTTCAACTTAAGATTATTTAATTAACTTGTGATTGTTATAGGTGCAAAAAGTGCGCTAACTTTAGCTGCTACAAGAATGATGGAAATCTGCGTCCAACGATTGACTGATAAGGAGGACAAGTTCATGAGGCTTGAGAAAGCAATCAACCCATTGCTTGATGACAATGACCAGGTAATTTTTATTAATTTTTATATAAGAACGTTTTAATTTTATTCTTATCAATTAGGTGGCATTCACATTTATATTGGACAACGTTGTCAACAACAAACTCAAGGCTATGTCAGAGTCTTGGCCTTTCCAAAAACCTGTAAATAAGAAGCTTGTTAAGGACTATTATGAAATTATAAAGTGCCCTATGGATTTGGAGACGGTTGCAAAAAAAGTCAAATGTAATAACTTTTTGACGTTGTTTGAAATTTGTTAATAAGTTGTTATTTTATTTCAGCACACAAGTATCACAACTGCAAGGAATTCCTGTCGGACATTGAGCTTATTTACAATAACTGTGTCCTGTACAATGGTGTTGATTCGCCTTTCACCATGAAAGCAGAAGTTTTACTAGGCACGAGCACCTCTCTTCTTGCTGATGTAATAATTATTATTTTTTTTATGGTGTTACTAAGAGAAATCAAAAATGAATTGCAGTATGGAGATCACCTCACTTACTTGGAAGGAAGAATCAAGATTGCACAAGAGAGAGCTCTTGAGCAAGCTGAGATGGATTCGCTTGCCTCTTATGGTGACAATGATGACAATTTCACAATTGTCGAGGATGATAAGGTATGTGATTAAATTGGTGAAATAATTTCCTTGGAATAAAACAATATAAATAATCTAGAACCCTGATGATGAATCCCTTCAACAACAAGAGGGGGTACTCTATATTGGGATTGATGGCAATCTGGAACAAACGGCGGGACCTAGTAGTTATGGCAAAAATATTCTCGAAGAAGGTAAATAATCTTTCAAATATGTAGGGAAAATTTAACACATTTATTTTTAAATCTCAGATCTTGGAGAGTTGTCAAGTGAGGAAGAAGGTGAAGAGGTTGAGGCTACGTTGGTTGAGGGCGCTGATGATCAGCAGGCTGCCGAAGCCATGGTACAACTTGGTAACTTTGGATTTTTCCCCAATCCTCAGCAAGGTATATCTTTCACTGACGTGGAGATTTCATTCTCTCACAATCTAAAATTTTCAGACGAGAGTCTTGATGTTGATCCTGAATATGATCCCTCCGATTTCTTGCTGAGTCGACCAAAGCCAACTTACATCCCAGAGGCAGTCGAGGAAGACGCTTCTGCTGATAATGCATCTGTCAGCATGATGCACAACTTCCAGCCGAATAACATGGAGCAAGTGGAAGAGCCAATGGATCAGAGCGGTAATAACCAAGAGGCTGGAGGCGGCATCGACGCAGACTTGGAAATCAGTGACTCGGAAGACGAGCAACCTTCAAACGTAAATCAGGGAGAAGATGGGGATATTTGGTTCTAAAATTTTGTTAAATATGTGTTAGCTTTAAATATTTTTCCATCGTTTAGCCTAGTCTTTATTGTATATTTTTTTCAGGCTTACAAAATTAAAATTCAAGTTTTGCTATGAAAAAATGATTTTATTCATACAATGCTTTATTTTTATGATCGCCCCTCCAAGTTTGTGGCTAAAAGGGTGGGTTTTCCGTGTGAAGTTTTGAGGCCAGTGAGTGGCTGTCAACCTTTATTCTCTTGTCTGCCAAAAGCAGACATGTTCAAACTTGTGGCCATAAATTTGGACGCAGATAAATGCAACCCGCACGCCCCAGAGATTTAACAAAAAGCACAACTTGGCTTGCGGCCGAGGCTCCACTGGTGCCTTTAAAACAAAGCTGGTGCACGGAACTTGTATTATTTTGCCCAGAGAAGGCCGGGTAATGCGCTTACGCACGTAGAAATGAGTATTAGTTGCCGCAGTGCTATGCCAGTGGACGCGCAATCCAGATTATTTTAATACGTATTGATCAAAACACCCACGATGAATGCAGAGGAAAAGCAATAAAATTTCTGTTTGACAGTCCAAGCGAGATTGAGAGGCTAAAAGGGATTATTTAATCAAAGCTTTTGGAATTAAGGGTGGCATTTTGAGTGGTTTGGCACAACGTGTAATATTTACACAAAATTCTCTTGCTTCTTTTTTTGGAATTTTTCTTTCAATTTTAATTGTACTATAAATCCGGATCAAATTTTATATTTTACTTGATCGAAAAATATTGAAATTCCCAAGCTCTGTATAGTGATGCAAAATGTTCCGAAATAGGAGCTCACGCAACATGATATCGGCACAGCAAGTTTCCATGGCAACTTTGGCACTGTTACTTGACGCCGTGGTAAATATATATCATCGTCTCCATATATCCTTCTCTCACCCCGGCTCTAGGTGGTGATATAAGTTTTATTGTCACCCTCTCGGCACAAATGATGGCGACGAAATCTGGAAAATCACTTAAGTCGACAGGCTCGAGCAGGCTGCTGCTGCTGAAAAGCGCGCAAGAAAAAGGAGAAAACTTGGACAGCGAGCGCAACGATAATTTGGCTCCAAACGACTACAACACGCCACTTGAGCTCACCGAGCTGGTACTTATTTTCCCTCTAAACTGCTAAATAATTCAAAAATTGTAAGTGAAAACTGATGGAAATTTAAAGGAACTCCGCGAGGAGATTGTACGAACGCTTACTACATTTAATCCGGAGGCGCCCAAATATCCAGTTGAGTTTTGTTTTAAAACTCAAGGATTTGTGCCCAGGGAAAATCATAGCCACTTTATCGTTCATTTAAATGTAGAATCTACTTGCTTGGAGAGAGATTCAGAGGCTGCTCAGGAACAACTTGCTAGAATGCAGTGCAGTGATCCAATCGGTATAACATACATTCATAAAAAAAACTTGATGGTTGTTCAGTGGATTAATTAGGAATTAGATGAAAATATTTTATTTTATTATTATGAAATGTATAATTAAACATACAAACATTATACAAAAATTTGAAACTTCATTTTATTAAAAAAAAAATTCATTTCATTGCTGAAATTAATTTTAAACTTTTTGAAATTTTAAATTAAACTTTAAAAAATAGAAATTAAGAGCGCCTTGGCCCAAATTGGAACGACCGGTTCCGAGGAAAAAGTTGAGGAGGAAGAAGAGCCCGAAGTCGATGGAGAAGGTGGTGCTGAAGAAGCGCCAGCTGAAAAGCACGATGAACCACTTGCGGAGGTTATTGAAAAGCCACCAGAGCCTGTCGCTCCGGTTGCAGTGCCTGTGGCTATTTCCAGTAATCCGCCGAAAAAACTCACTAACCAATTTAACTTTTGCGAAAGAGGCTCACTGACACTTAACAATCCCTCGAGGGTATATCATTGATTTTCCTCTCACCTGTATTTTATTTCAATTTTGGGCGTAGGAAGTTAGCACCCAGACCAATCCACCGTCCAGGATCACCTTCTCGGCGAGCATAACGCAGTGGGCAATTTACGACGCGTACATGGAGGACCACGAGCAGCAGGAGATGAAGGAAAAAGAAAAGAAGGAAAAGGAGAAGGAAAAAGCCACGCTGGCGCCGCAAAAGAAGGAACAGGAGGCCAAAAAGCAGGAAGGGGTGCAGGAAAAGAGCAAGTTCACCAGCCCTGAAAAGGCTGCAAAGATTCTTGAACGAATGTCCAACCAAAATACCTATGATGAAATAATCCAGGGTAAATAAAAAACTGTAAAAAAAACAATCAAATTAAAAATTTGCTGATTAGATTTCAAATACTGGGAAGATCCCTCAGACGAGTTCAAGGAAGAGGAAGGGACACTCCTGCCACTGTGGAAGTTCAGTTGCGACAAAGCCCAAAATTACTCCGTCACCAGTATTTGCTGGAATGAAAATTGTCCCGACATATTTGTCGCAGGCTACGGATCATGTAAATTGACTTGAATTACAACTTCAGAGAAATAAATCATAAATCTTATTTAAATAGTTGATTTCAAAAGGCGCAAGGCTGGCTTGATGTGCGTTTACACGATGAAAAATCCGTCATACCCTGAGCACCTCGTGGCTGTGAAGTCGGAGGTGCTGGCCGTGGACATCCACATGACCTGCACTAGTTTAATAGTGCTCGGTCTTTCTGACGGAAATATAGCAGTTTTTGATTTGACCAAAAGCTGCGAAACTCCTCTTCACACCAGCAATTCCGTTAATAACAAGCACTCGGCAGCTGTCTGGCAGGTGTTTTTTTTGGAATAATTAAAAAAAGAAAACTATCAGAAAATTTTTAATATTGCAAGGTTCGTTGGAGTAAAGAGCTGAGTCAAACGGAAATGACGATTTATTCCATATCGGCAGACGGTCAGGTCCTGAGTTGGACCCTCATGCAGAACGAGATGATAAAAATGAAACTCATTTCGCTCACGTTCTCTACTGGAATGATTCATTCTGACGACTCATGCCCTCTGACAGGTGAGTTCAAATAAAATTTTCAAATCTACAGACGAACAAGTTGATTTTCAGGCTGCGGCACGGCCCTCACCTTTCACCCCACGGAAAACAACATTTTTCTGGTTGGAACGGAGGAAGGTCGGATCTACAAGTGCAGCACGGCGTACACTTCGATTTTCCTGTCCGAATCAGAGGCGCACTACATGCCAGTGCAGCAGGTCGATTTCAATCGGTTCAACCCTGCTGTGTACGCCTCATGCAGTGGCGACTGGAGAGTGAAAATTTGGGAAGACAACCGAAAGTATAAATTTTTTTAAATAATCAATTTTAGGTTGGATATATTAAAAATTTAAAATAATAATTACTCAGGGAGCCTCTGTTTGAATTCGACCTTGGCTCTCCAGTGGAAGACGTAGCTTGGGCTCCGTACTCGAGCACCGTTTTGGCCGCAGCCACGGCTGACGGCCGTGTTCACGTGTTTGACCTGAACGTCAACAAGTATCGTCCCCTGTGCCAGCAGGTCGTGACTCAGAAAAAGAAGTGCAAACTGACCAAAGTGTCTTTCAACCCAAAACATTCGATGCTGATAGTGGGGGATAGTTTGTAGGTTTCTTTTTTAACGACGAGAAAATGTGAAATTCAAAATATTATTATTGCAGCGGAGGCGTTTCGAGCGTGAAAATGTCACCGAACCTGCGCAAGAAGCAAAAACCACCTAAGAAGGGGATGATTGTTGATCACGAGACGTTGGAAAAACTCAAATTGGACAAGCTGCTGAGTTTGGTGCGAGAGCCAAACAAGCCCCTCATGGTTTTGGAAACGGAGAGCAATGCGAATTGAATGGGGATTTTAAATTAAAATATGCATTTGATTGATTCGTACGATTGTTATTAGTATTTGAAGATTTTTGAAAATTTTAACAAGAGCTGAAATGTTACCAAGATGTGTACAAGGTATATTTATATAATATATTAATCTCATTAAAGGTCAAATTACTTGAGAATTTTCATTCTAATCAGCAAACGATTGAAAATCTTGCCACCACGTGAGCTATCACAATATTTATATTATGCTTATACAAGTCACAAACAAAGAAATCACAGATTTACATTATAATCTTTATACAATTGTTGGAAAATATGGCAACGTTGGGTTCTCTTTCTTTCACATGGCACGGTAATGGCAACAAAAATGGTCTACTAAAGATTACTATGTCGATTAAGCGAATTTCTATAATATTTCTATAAGAGATACAAAGGTGGCTGCAACCCCCGTGTTATTTTTTTCATGAGAATAACTTTTTTAATCGTCATTTAAATTTAATAGGCGAAGGGTTCATCTAGCCAAAGCACTTTTGTTCTTAACTCTCTTTTAAAAAGGTACATATTGCGTTGCTTTCTTTTTCGATTAGGTTGCGAGCTTAAAATTACTCTTTGGATTGGAGATTCATTATGTCAGTCTACTCGTTCGTTTAGCCTCAACAAATGCGGATTTGGGTACTGAGGGGTTTCTATGGCACCTTTGCCGAATTTGAGCTCCAGAAAATCGCGCACGTTGTTCGGAGCGGACACCTTCCTACCTGCAAAGTTGATCGACGAAATGGGGTGCAGGAAGTGCTCGGGGAACTCGCAGTCTTGAGGATGGGTCGGGAACCAGAAGTCTTTGGTCATCTTACCGTCTGCGGTCGAGCGGAACGGGAAGATGTCCACGTGCAGCCGGTTTGACTGGCTGTAGTGAACTCTAAAGAAAGCGCCCTCGGACGGTTGTGCCTTTTCCCAAAGGAAACCTTTGTCATCAACCTGGAAAACATTACCACAATAAAAATTTAGTAGATTTTTAATTATGAAAATTTGGTTTTACGAATAATTTGAAAATTTTTACTAAATAAAATGTTTGTTATATTCTAAGAAAAATTTAAGGAGCATTTCTGAAACTGAACTAGAAAATAGCAATGCCTTGAAATGAAATTAAATGCCAATATTTTTTACTTTTAATAAAGAAAAAAAATCACAAATCAAAATTTATTCCTGTTCAGGATATTAATTTATTTATTTATTTGAAACTTAAAAATAAAGCAACATCTTGAGCATGACTAGGAATAATTAATAAATATTTCATAATTGGTAATTAACCTACCGTCGCCTTAGTAGATGCCCTTGTGAGCCACACAGACCGAGAAATATCATCCTCGTAGATGCCAATATCAACGTCATAGTCCCAAGGTATGATGTCATTATACCTCATGGCACCCAGCAAACTGCCACCCTCCAGCCAGTACCTGACACCAGCCTCTTCCAAGGCAGAGAAAACGTGTCTGGCTGTCTTCCTTAGCGCCTCCAGACAGCAAGGAGGTGTCCAACGACCTGACATGAGGTATTCGGGTGTATCATCGACGACCTTTGGGATAAATTTATTATTTAATTTAGTAAAAGTGGTAAAAGTAAAAGATGAATTTCGATTGAAAAAATTTAAAGCTGACCGTTCCAAAGCATCGCTGACTCTTCTTGCTGCAGCCATACCACTCGACTTTTCCAGTCTCCCTAATCACTTTTTTGACTCCGAGCTCTTTGAAAGCCTTCAGGCGTCTTTTGTTATCTGCACTCTCAGCCTTCCACTGAAGGTGACCATTGTTAAACAAGGCTCGACCGTCTTGGAATTGTTTGTCTCTTATTAGTCTCACCTGAAATTAATTAATTAAAATTTATTATTATAGTAAAAACCTGAAATTATATTAACGAGGTATTAAGGAAAAAAATTAGCGAAATAAATTACTTTTTCGCCTCGAAGCGAAGTCTGCAAATAAAGAATTTCAGGGAAAGGCCTCATGAAGGGTTCGGGCATCCTTCTCAAGGTCTCTGTCCTGAGGAGTAGGGCGTGCTTGCCCTGCACAGCATCACAAAAGGCTCCGTGCTCATTCTGCCTCTTGAACAGCACCGTCCACTCCTTTGTGTTGAACTCCTGCTTCAGGCAAAACACCCCGTCGACCAAGCCCTCGAAGGCCACGGCCAGCGAGTTCTTGTCGGCCTCCTTTTCAGCATCGTCAAGCAGGGCCTGCAGAAATTGCTCCGACGGCAGCCGCACCGAGTCCGGCACAAACAGGACGAATTTGGTTTTCACGTAGGCCAGAGGGTTTCTTTCCTCAAAGGACGAGTTCAGGTTGACATTCAAGGCGATCTGGTGCACGCTCTGGCTGTCCATCTCAGCCGGGAAGCGCAAGGGAGGGTAGACAGGGGTGTCACTCACCACTAGGACGTTTGGCGGCGGCTGAACCTGTAGTATGTACACGTAAAATTTAGAAAATTATAATCTCTGCTTAATTTATTAACAAAAAATCCAACCTGAGAGACAAAAGAGTCGATGCTCTTCGGCAGATCATTGTCGAATGACTCGAAGTGCCGGAAAATGATGGTCACGGTGTGGTGCAGGGGTGAAGGTGCCTCCGACGGTTCGACCGGTTTCCCTGCCAAAGAGTTCGAGGGTGACACCAGCTTGTAGATGTTGTAAACGAGCAGCACGTTCAGAACGACCAGGGCCACCCTGGTCAGCCGGATTCGCATAATTATTTCACCGTCGGCGGATTTCCATCAATTCTGCAAAATTCAACGTCTGTGCGGAAGCAGATTCGGCCCTGCGGCCTTCATGCAGACTTTCCTCGCAGGCAGCGATGGTTCTTGTTTGGCTCCTTCGGCTGCCTGGGTCGCCGCAGGGGCGAGGGTGCAACCACAGACTTGCAATTCCGGCCCCCATTCAATTGCGGCCCCTTTCCATAAGAAATACAAGGGGTGGCCGGAATTATAAACGAGGGGCCAGAAATACAAAATCTACCATTGCCGACGGCTGTTTGTAGCGATCGTAGCGCCCATCGTGGGCGCGCAAGATTTGCAAGTTTGCGAAAGGCCACGCCTTCTTTTGCCGCACCGCATGACCGCAGAGTCTGCACCGTACTCAACGCGTGAATCCTTCTCGTACGGTGTCTTAAAAAATCGCAAATTGCACCTGATTGAAGCAGCAGATTTTGGTGAGTTTTAAAAATTTCACTCTGGAACTCTTTCCAACTCGATTGATGCATTAATTTAAAAAAATCATCAATATTTGAACACAAATTGAACCATAAATTAAAATGTTCCGTTTCATGTTTTCCATTTTCCACATTATTTATCTTTTTTTAATTTGTGTATTTTATGTTATTCGTCTGGTTTTCTTAGAAGGTAACGCGATATAGAAAGACTTTGATCTGTTTTATCATTCAAAACGCCTCGATCACGTGTAATTTTGTAACAGTGACATTAAATAGTATTAAACTGTCCTTATATGAACACATCAAAATTTTTATCTTCGCTGGTGCTTTGATTGTTTGATTTATAACATTTTACGATTTTACAAAGTTTTGGAGCGTTTTGTTTTTGCGCTACGTTATGTAAAAAGGACTCATCAGTATCATCATCATCATATAATTTATTTTGCTGCTATTTCACTCTTCCTCCGACGTCTGATCTCCAATTTCTTTCCTCTTGCATGTTCTCATCTTATTGGCTCCTAATTAAGATTAGCATTTGCATGCGAAATATTAGAACGGCCGCACCTTTCTCTGTTTTAACTAGAAACAAAATTTAATCTTGAGGCTTTTTAATAACTAGTCAACAGTTTTAATAATTTCAAATAACGATTTCAACATTTTGGTAAATATAGAATTAATGGAAAATTAATTTAAATTTGAAATCAATTGAAGAATCATCCTTTCCTGTAATTTTTTCTCTCATTCTTCAAATATTCTATGTGCTGATTTTTGAGCAATTTAAAATTTAATCTTCATATAAATCCCTATTTTGTAAAATTTAATTAAAAATTTTTATTGAAATAAAACTCAATTTTATTTCATTCTGTAATTTGGCATGATTATTTAAATTCGACCATTATTTTTTTAGTGTTTGGTGCTTTGATAAGCTTGAAGAAAGATGAAACCTATTGTGATTGATGGTGGCTTCGGCACCCAAATGGCCACATATTTGGGCTCAAGCAGTGTCGACGCCGACCCGCTTTGGAGTGCCAGGGCGTTGGCTACCAACCCTGATTTGATCGTTCAGATCCACTTGGACTTTCTGAAAGGTCAGTTGAGCAAAAAAATCAAGAGATATTTTGTACAATAAATAATAAAAGTCGCCGCCAGCTTTTTGCCAGCAAACAAAGTTCTGCAGCTCTTTGTACTTTGTGTTTTGTTTTCAGCCGGCGCAGAGCTGATTCGAACAAACAGCTATCAAGCGTCCGTCGGTGGATTTGTAGAGCACTTGGGGCTGAGTGAAGTGCAAAGTCTTGAACTCATCAAGAAGTCGGTGCGACTTGCCGAAACGGCAGTTGAAAAATACAAAACGGCAGATGATACAAAAGGTATCAATCAAAAATCAAAAGTTTTATACTTTACAAAATTTTAAAAGAAGTTATGTTTGTATATTATCTGAATTCATTCTAAAGTAAAAATTAGTAAATTAAATTTGAATGATTAATATCAAGGAAATTAAATAATTCATTAAAAATAATAATTAACCAAAAAATTGAACTTAACATTGATGAGGTTGAATTAATTTTTTGAACAAAATGTAAATATTAATATCAATGCAGAATTTTTAATCTTATCAACATTTTTAAAGTAATATTTGATTTACAGAAAAAATTATTTGCTTTTTTATGCAATTTAATTTTGTAATATAATATAGCCTAGGGCACTGATACATGTATACATACGATTATGGCCTTCCTTTATTTCCATCTGGCCGTTTGCAAAGAAAGCCTCTGTGTCACGCTTGTGACCTATGACCTGGAGCAAGGCTATGCATAATCCGGGCATAAATCACCGCTTGTCACTTAAGGGCAATAATGGACAATAAAACATAATCGTCTCGTTTTGTATTCCCCTCTCGCAGCGCTCCAAGATTTGCACATCCCAATCCTGGGCTCGGTGGGTCCGTACGGGGCCTGTCTGCACGACGGCTCCGAGTACTTTGGCTACGAGGGCAAAGGGCTGACCCGTGAGCAGTTGATCGACTGGCACAGGCCCAGAATCTCAGCCCTTGCCGAAGCTGGAGTGCAAGTGCTGGCGGTCGAGACCATCCCGTCGCAACTCGAAGCCGCAGCCATCTCTTACCTGATCAAGACGGAATTTCCGCAGCTGCGATTTTGGGTGTCCTTCTCTTGCAAGGTAAAGACTGTTTTTATTTCAATGGTTTTTTTTAAATTTCTTCATTTCTTGGAATTAGAACAATAATTAACATTCAAAAACACATACATAAGGAAAAATTCCTACTTACATATTTTTAAATTTAAAATATAAATTAAACTTATGAGATATTATCTTATAAGTTTAATATATCAGAAGAAACATAATTTGTTTTGAAACGTAATTCCACATAAAGGCAATTAGTCTAGTTACTAATTAAAGAAAATAAATGTTATTAGTTTTCATAAAATACACATTAAAAAAAATAAATTAAATTTTGTTTATTATTACTGAAATATATATTTTTTTAAACATAATTAATTTTGTTTATGAAATTTAATACAAAGGCTAATTTTTGAAAATAAAATGTAATTTTATTTCGAAATTTAAAAATAAATAATTCATAGCGGGCAGATTAATAATTATACGTCTACAAGATGCATAGTTAAACCGGTTCCGTATGCTTTAAATTTTTCTGACTCTGGAATCTCTGGATGATAAATGCATAATAATGCAAAATCTAATAACTCTTCAATATCTTAATTAAGCTTCTTAATTATATTTTTTTTTGCGTCTACCTTTTAAAGTTTATGCAGTGCATTATAAGTTTCTTTTTGTTTTACGGATTACAGTAAATTATTTATTTTTCATTGATAATTTAAAAAGCCACAATTTATTTTTGAAACCTCTGAAATTTATCTACTTAAAGTTTGGAAATTTGCGAAATTTGTATCTCATCCCTTACCTCGTTGTTTTGCAAGAGCTCATAATGTCACTTTTTCTCATACTAATTTCTCACAGTTACTTTTGATTATGTTTCTCTCCTTCTCTGAAAAGATTGCCTCCTTCTTGCACGAAACAAGCTTGCGAATCAAATCTTAATTAAGCTTTAATTGCTTTCATTTTGCTATGGCGCTGCTCGAAAGGACGACCAAAGAATTTCCGAAGGAACTTTAATTAAAGATGCAGCAGCTGAGTGCTGGCAAATTGCCTCCTCGCAGCTGGAAGCAATTGGAGTGAACTGTGTGCATCCTGCTTACGTTTCATCTCTCCTGAAATCAATTAAAGAAGCTAATTCCAGCGTGCCCCTTGTTGCCTACCCCAACAGCGGCGAGCAGTACATCGCGGGCCAAGGGTGAGAGACCAGTTTAATTCGACCATTTTTCATTACGCGCAACATATGTACGTGTGCCTGCAGCCTTAAGCCTTTATCCGGCCCGGTTTTAATTAGCCGGCGCCCTCTTGTAATTTAAACTAATTGCACGGCAGCGCGTATAATTTTGTTTGGCGAAAAATTTATTCAGCGCCGCCGGGATGACGAATTTATTTCACAGAGGCTGCGAAAAAGAGCAATAATTTTTCCGGGGTTGTGCCGCATTATTATTTAAAGATGGTGAATATATCTTCCTCTCTTCCCCTAAGCAAAACAAATATACTGCGGATTTCGGTCCAATATATGCGCGCATTGACACAAAGGGCGGAAAACTTCTTTCGGGCGAAAAAGAAAAAGAAAATGCACCCCCTAATCCCACTATATATTTCTCTGCGTCGGAATCAAAAAGGAACCATATTGTCCCCCCAGCAACTCTCTGGAGCGGAACATCCCTCTCGCTCTCTTCTTTTTTTTTGCAGATTGAAAACGTGTGCGGTGAGTCTGGTGTTGTATAAAATAATAATAATGCAAGGGGTGAAAATGGAGAGGAATGCAGGCGTGAAAAAATTAACCAAAACGCGCGTGTCTCTCGCGGCGACAACGAGTCTAGGTGACCCTTTTTTCCTTTTTAGTCTCCCTCGAGTGATGATAATGATAATTTCGTTTCATCTTTGAGCGACCTCTTTCTTTCTTTTCCCTCTCGGGCCACGCAGCGCGCCCTGCCTGCAAACGAAATGGCTCTCTCGTTGATTCCAAGCGGCGCGTGTTGAACGTGCGCGCCGCCCAGCAGCCCTTGGTGCGCCCAGCTCGCCTTGTGCACCGACCGGACTGGCTCAGGCCGGCGTCCTGGGTCAGCGAAAGCCCTTCAGCTGCCAAATTAGAGGTCTTTTCTTTTTTATGATTTGTTTTACTGCCGCTCTTGCCGCGCCCGTTTCAATAGGCGGACAATCGTGCGGCGGCGAGCACGAGGAAAACAAGGAAAATGTTAGAGATATATAGATAACAAAATTTTTGCTTCTGAAATAAATTTTTTTTTATGAATCTTGAACCGTTGGTACAGATTTGAAGTTCAAGAAAATTAAGCTTTTACAAAATGTGCACAAACCAACAAGAAAAAATTGATTCATTTTAAATAGTAATTTTTTTTAAATATTCAATTTTATTTATTTCCTTCAATCAAATCTTCTTGCCGAGGGTGACATGATAGACAGCGTGTTTTTCATATTAATTTTACCTAAAATTAAAGACAAATTAACAATACCTTTTAATAAAATCTATAATTATTGAAGTTAAATTATTTAATTGTTCATAATTTTATCAATAAATTTTACAATTAATTTTGTTTAGATCATTTTCTATCATCATTCAAGTGTTGATCCTCCAAATTTCATTACGTTTAAAAAAACAAGAAGTTGACACGTAATTTAAATTTTATAAATTTAATCATGTACATTAAGCAATTGCAAGCATTTCTAAATTCTAAGATTATTTGGTCTTTTTATATGTACTCTTCTTATTAAACCGCGCTCTTCTATTTTATCAATGTTAAAATTAATACTATGGAAAATAATTTTTTACCCGTCTGCAATTGTATTTATTTTCAATTACTGAAGCAAAAAATAGCCTCCTTTTGTTGAGTCCCCGGGCACGCTTTCGCGCCTCGTTTTGCACAAATTTGTGTTATTTTCGGCCCATTTTAATTTTGCACGCACTCTTTCCTCATCCCCGGCGGATGAAGCACCTCCTCGTCGCGAATTGCGCCGGGGTGTTGCGCGTTTCAAAACAGTGGTGGGTGCGCACGTGGAAACACATATAATACATTATAAAGTTTTCCTTCCTGCTGCGGCAAAAAGTGGCGACGAGACGCGAGAGAGCTCGTCGTCGGTGAAAAGAGCGAGAGAGAGTGCGAATAAAACGAAAATGAAACCAAAATATATCCCCTGATAAAACGGGCGCGCAATATTATTCCTCGCGACATTTCCATCACATAAAAGGAAAATTAAGAAAGTTCTCTCGCTCGTCGCCGGCAAAGGCTATATTTTAAATGGGCTCGTATATATACGCCGCTTTTTTTCCGAGGGCGAAGAGAGGAGAATTGTTAATTCCAAGAGCGGCTGCCGCCGAGTGTGGCGGATTTTGATACGCAGGCAAAACAGAGCCTGCCTCGCTAATGAGAAAAGGCAATGAAATTTTCAACGTAAACTCTGCATGCCGTCTCTGGCACGCCGATGGCTCAATTCATTATTGTTTCAGTTGGCACGCGGACGGGGTGAAAGTGTCACAATTTGTGCAGGAGTGGCTGCCCCTGGGAACTCGATTTGTAGGAGGCTGCTGTCGCACCTACCCAAGGGACATTGAAGAAATATTGTCGCGAGTCAGAAGAATCTCTGCAGCGGCGGATCCGTGAAAAACGCACAGTTCGAATATTCCTCTGCAGATGCAAAAAGTGGCCTTCTCTTCTTGTCTCCTTCTTTCTTCTCTGTGCAGCGTTTTATCTTCCGCCATGTGATGTATGCAAAAATATATTGAGCGTCGGCAGTGATCTCTCCTCCGCGTCTCTTCTTTTCGCGCTGCACATAACTGGATTTTTATTCAGACGAGTACACACTTTAAAAACTTTCTTCCCTCCATTTGGCCGAGGGGAGGAACTTTAAACAGCTTCTCCGTAATTTAAGAATGTTATCTTTGCGAAAGGAATGGATGGTACCGGGGTAGAAACGCGCATCTCTCTTCCTTGGGACCTTCACACACACACACACACACACACACACACACACACACACACTCGTGAGAGAGGCGGCCTGCTTGCTCGCTCGCTCTCTCCGACAAAAGTTTTGTTGGTTTGAACTCTCGTCTTGCTTGCCTGCTTTTCTGCTCTGGCAAAGTGAAAAAATCTGACACCACCAATCTTGAATTCGAAACTCTCTCTGCAACTTTTCGGAATGGCAATTATCTTTCTAGTGTTAAACTCCTAGATGCAGCATTTTCTGTTTGCCAAAATCAGATGAAACTAAATCCACCAAAGGAAAAGTTGCAGTCATAGCAGGAAAAACCTGAGAAGTGTTTGATTAAGTTTTATTTGCTTATCATAAGGATGCAAATTAATCTGCTGAAGCAGGTATTTAATAAGGCCACCATTTCTGCTAATGCTGGAAATGATATGATTATTTGCAAGCTCGCTTAATAATTTCTGTTTATATAATTTTTCTAAATAATTATTTTTGAGGCCACAATATGGACACTGTTTTTTTATGCTGATTGTGAGACAGTTTTTCAATAGATAAATTTTAACTATTTTTTAAAATCAAGTTTAATGGTGGTAGATTGTATTATTTTGTTTCTGATTTATGACGCTGTTTTAAATTTTAATCAACAATAATATTATTATTATTGTAGCCTTATTTCATTATGCAATGTGCAATGAATACCAATGCAATACAATAAAATATTTTATCAACAGTTAATGTTATTGGATTTTATTGTGCCTTTAGTGCCGTTAAGTTCTTTGTACTTCGCAAAATATAATATACGCAGTGTGTAACGCAAATTAAAATTTCACTATTTTCTTTCATCCAACTTTTATTGACATTTGTGATGCATTTTATACAAAAGAACCCAAAGTTTCACATTCCCCTTTTGTTTACAGTTTTAACGCAAAACAAAAGAGCTCAGAAAAAAAATAATAATTACATATTCTTTATGTAACAGATGTTAGCTGTGCTTATAAAAGGTATTTGTTTGTTCCCACACAAAAGACAATTAAATGCAATTTGAGCTGTTTCCTTTATAATTGAAAATATGCCGATTGCCAACTCGAAAGCCCATTTCAACTTGCCCCGCCAGATCTTTTACCGGAACCTACTTAATAAACAGAAGCAGCAGTCTTATTAAAAGTTCCCATCATCAGGCGGAAAAGAGAGAAAAGCTCGGTGTTCTAAATCATCCTCTTTTCAGAGCAAAATTTCAAAGCAGCGCCCTTGTTATTAGCTAGCTGGTTATAATCAAAGAAACAAAAGTTTGGCACTCCTTTATTTTTCGCGATTCGCGCCCTTTGTTCCGGCTGCAGTCACAAAAAGCCTTTCTCGGCTGAAAACAACTCAGCAGCCCGAAAAAGAATCGGAGCACAAAAACTTGTTTTGCACAAGAGAATGAGGCAAAAAACGTATATCTGTGCAAAATATGGACTCTGAGCGCATAAAAATTATAATAATGAAGAGGAAAAAAAGCACTGCACGGAGAGACTGAGTGACCGCGATGGGCCACGCGGGCATCACGTGGCCGCGACTATGCTTTTACTCTCGAGGCAGCGGCTCGTCATCATGGACGGCGTATATCATCATCTTTGATCCAGACTCTGTTCAGAGCCATGCATCATCACAACAACATGAATAATTATTAGTGCTGGTGCACCGCTGGAATATTAAACACCGCCATTCACACACGCGGCCGGGATTATTTGCAGCGACGATAATTGCGCGCGAGTGAGGTGAGTCGAGGAGAGATGGACCGGTGTGTGTGTGTTAAATTGCGGTGGGCAACAATTGTGTCCTAGTGTGCCGAGCGAGCGAAATGGTTTCAGGATCAAATGCTCACTCTCTTGCTCGATTAGTTGTGTCTCGCCCGTGCTTTGACACTCCATTTCAGCAAATTAATGCCCGCTCTGAATTGGCACCAGCGTTGTTTGTGCTGCCGGCCGTCTTTTTAAATCTGCGTCACCAACTTGGCTTAACGCAGAATTAAGGGGCTTGTTTTGGTAAATTATTGCTTCCGGAGAGAGAGAAAGAAACTTCAAGATATAAAAGTGACCTTTATAATATATGATGGAGTTGGTGAGAATTCTTGGCATAGTCAAAACTATAAATTTACGGAATTGTGGGTAATTGTGCAATTCAAGCTTTTATCAAATTTTCTTTGGAAATGTGACAGAAATATAAAATATTTCTCGAATTCAATTTAGGCACCTAGAAAATTAAATGAATCTCGACCGATTCGGTGTTGGTTTAAATTTAAATATTCAATTTCAGGACATAAATTTCATATTCAATTTCAGATTTAAGGTTTTGTAGCAAAGTTTTTGTCCATTGGTTTTTAAATTTTAATTATTTTCCAAATAATTCATTACTATGGAGTAAAAAAATGTAGGTCAGTGGAGTTTGATCCATGAATCTAAATATATATGCATATAAAATTCTCTCTGGGTGGTATATTTTTTTTTTGCATCCTGAAAATTATCCCCAACGTCCCTGATTCTATATAATGCGGCGATAATTTTATAGGTCATAAGTTCAAGCAACTCCATCCGCGCGCGCCGAGAGCCGATATCAGCACTCTTATTATTTATTATACGAGAGTTCCACTTTTTTATAGCTGTTTTCACACAAATAGAGAAGAAATTTCTGGCAGTTTAAGCTCCCCTCTCGACGATACTGTTGCTCGGGCAAAGTCCCTGGCAACAATAAGTCTCCTGGGAGGGAATTTCGGAGGTTGCAGACAGCGAGATTAACTTGGAGGAGAGCACGAGAGGTTGGTCTAATTTGGAGGAGTTTTGCTAAAAACGCATTAAGCGCGAGCTTCTGCGTTGTTCGTGAAACAAGCGCGGTCGGTATGTTGTAAGGAAGGGACGAGATGCTGCTGCTGGGGGTTTTAATTTCGGCATGTCAACCGAAACGAATAAACGTCACAATGGTGATTAAATTAATTGCCTTATAAATTAGTGGAGTGGAGGGACGTACCCCCAATAGCAGTTTGGTTTCGCAACAGAAACTTTTTTAATCTTTTTCAAAGTTTCAAAATGAACTTTTAAACGCTTCTGAAAAGTTTAATCACACGGAATAACGCTAGCCATTTTAAAACTAATCCAAGCAAAGGGCAGAAAATACGAATTATTCAATCTAAAATTTTGTTTATCGCCTTTCAAGGTCTTTATCAAAAATAGCTGCGTTCCATAATCGTCTTTTAAATTGCACAATAAAAATTAATATGAAAAATTTCTTAATTTTTGAAAGCAATATTTGATCTTGCCTCCAAGCAGTTTTGTGTGTGGCAAATGTGGCTGAATAAATTCAAAAACCTTAATCTTAATACTTAATATCAGCATAATAAATATTCACTAATTTTTTATTTAACTGTATGTAGAGTGAGATTTGTATAAACCATCCTAATAGAATGTAAACTTCCCTTCCATTTTATCGATTTGTATATTTTAAATTTTATGGGTCTAATTTCCTTTTAGATATTTTAATCTTGGCAGTGGTCGAATTGGGCATTTTCAGATAAAAATAAGGAAAATAAGGTCAAATTGCTGCATGTTAAAAAAATGTCTTTTAATGAGCAAAATGATATTATTCCATTTTTTATCAATCTTTTTTTTTAATATTTCTTACTTAAATAAAGCAATAGCTAATTCAGAATAAAAGCAAACTTCAGGAAAGTTTTGTAGCAGAAGTTCACGATTGAGGGTTGATTCATGGTGGTTTGAATTTAAATTTGGCTTTTCCTCAATGGGTTTTTGTCAGACGAAACCTGTAGAGCAGGATATTGTTTTTTCTTAAACAATAAAAACACAAAAACCCACCAAGGAAAAGCCGAATTTAAATTCAAATCACCATTCAAGGAGGTTCATTAACAAAATAAATAAATAAATTTATCTAAAAATCCTATATTAATATTGATTTCAAGTCCATTCTGAATTTATTTATATGTTTTTCCAATACACTTCTTCTTTTTCGGTAGACTAATCCGCCTCAGAGTTCAGAAATTGCTTTGATAGTCGTCGTAAACCAGCAAGCCGTACTTGACAGCCGACGGCTCATGATTCTCATTTTCGATTTTGGCAGCCAACATTCATTTCCAATAGGCTCTCTCGGACCATATATTGACGGGCAGCAATAATATTTTCCGCGTCATTCTCTTCTCCGCAGAATGCCCAAAGCACATCTTGGCTCGTAAAAAGAGTGCAGCGGAGAGAAAAAGGGCGAAATGGAGGCGCCGGGAATGCCGTGGGAGCAGCAGCAGGAACAGCACCCGACGGACCAGCGGACGCTGCCCATCGAGATGCAGTTCAACGACGGCCACGTCGTCGCAATCATCGGCTTTTCCATTCTCTTTGTAATATCGTCCGTCGGCAACAGCTACGTCCTCTACAGCATTTACAAGTGAGCGCCCCTGCCCATTCCCCTTTCGCCTATTTTGACTTCTTCTATTTTTTTTTTCATTCATTCTCAGGAGCCCCACCAAGAAGCACATGAACTTGATGTTATCGCACTTGGCCGTGGCCGATTTGATGGTCACATTCCTGATGATGCCCATGGAGGTAATTGATTTATCTGCCCTAGCTGCTCTTTTTGCACGCGCGCGGGGCTTAATGATGGATGGTTCCTTTTCCGCCGATGCTCTCCCCTGCTCGAAACCAATAACAGGGGGTGCAGCACGCGTTGATATAGGGTTCGCGCTACACCACTTTTACAATACTGCCATAAAAGAATAATGATTACCTTTCGACACACGGAGCTTAAGATTGCGCACCCGAGTGAAAAATATTTCTTGCCCACTCTGGTGCATTGAAAGCCGACGGTAATATCTCTATTCGGCCGCCGTTTTTTATGGCGCCGTCATTAAACGGAGCGCGCGCGGTCTGCGGCCATATCGCACCCCACGCATCTCCGCCCAAGGAAAAGCGTCACGATTTACAGAGGTGCTTGAATGCCTTAAATAAAAATGTAATAAATACCTCGTCACAGAAATTTAGATTTAAATTAATTTTTTGTATATATTTTTAAAATTTTTTCTCTTAAAAGAATATAAGGCATCGCCTATTTGTTTAGCTTTATTTGAAAAATAATTATTCGTAATTATTTTTGCTGGCTTATGTCCTGTCAACGCGATGATGACGAACAAAGCGTAATTCTTACAGTCTAACGAGGAAAGGACAAAGATAAAGAATGAAAATTTAAAATTTTAGTTTAGATTAGTAAATTTAATTATTTTATTAATTAAATTCAACTGCAATTTTTTTGTAAGTTTAGATAATAATTTTTTTCTTGTATTTTTTTAATTAAATATTAATTTTATTTTTGGTTATTTCAAATTATAGTTTTTAACCTTAATCACTGTATTATGTACAATGAACAATGATATTACAATTTACATTGTACAATTTATTCTTTATAAAACTAATTTCTGACCAAACATGTTCTTAAATTGGTGTATAGAATTAGAGTATCAATAGTTAGATGATGAAACTCAATTGACCAAAATAAGCTGAATTAAATACGTCTGTGTCTTCATAGTGTTGTTTTCAATATTAACAAATCAATTCACACTAAAATGCAAAATGTAAATTATCATTATCAGGAGATTATCTTTTATTCGTATTTGTTTAATGTAAATGTGAGTGATTTTGGTTGTTATTATTATTACTTTTTGTTATGATTTTGCTGTGTTGAAATAATGGATTTAAAGCGAAAAAATGCCGTGAAAAGTTACTATTTTCAAATAAAAAATTGGCTGAATTTTATTCATTGGCTGCTTTTAACTAAAAAAAAAAACAATTTTTCTGATAAAACTGATTGGAGGTAAATTTCATAATATGAAATTATGTGACGGAAATGTGGTTTTTTTTACATAAAAAATGAAAATTGGAGGCAATTTAAAGCCTTGCTGATCCAACAGAAATCGCAAATACATTTGAATTAAATTTCAGTTAAAAAAATTTAATTTGCACGTGCATAATGATTAGTTAGAAATAATATATTTTCAATAATTTCTTTCAGATTGGTTGGGCGCTGACTGTTGAGTGGCGCGGCGGCGACCTTTTGTGCCGGCTCATGTCCTTTTTCCGCACCTTTGGTCTCTTCCTCTCGGGATTCATGGTCATGTGCATCAGCCTGGACCGCTACTTCGCAGTGCTGCAGCCGCTGGCGATGCGCGACGCCAACCACAGGGGACGTTTCATGATCGCGGCCGCGTGGCTGGCCAGCGCCGTCCTCAGCCTCCCGCAGGTGCTTTCGTCCTTCCTCCTTTTCCTCTGTTTAAACCTCTTTGCTAAAAAGCCGAGTAAGCCTTTTCCGTGAAGGCCCTCCCTGCGCAGCTACCAGTCCCTAACGTCTTCTTTCAAAGGAGCCAAGAAACTAAAAAATTCATCAACGGGGCCAGCCCTGTTTGATGTTGTACTGCGAATTCAATTAATTTGGAAAGCCCTCCTCTATAGTAATAATTCTTTTCCCGTTTTTCTCTTTCTTTCTCTCAAAAATCCCAAGCAAATTTTATTTCCTCTTCAGCCTTTGACGTTTTGGTGCAGAAAGACGCTTGAATTTATTACGGTGAAATTTCCTGCTAACCTTCTTTAATGCGAGTTGATGATCTTGTCTTGCAAACACGCGGCGGTGGTGGCCAATCGAAATGACGTTTCTTAAGTACCGTCTTGCGTACCTTATGTAATGTATTTATTGATCGCTCGCAAAATACATGAAAAATATTTTACCGCAATTTCCTCTCTACGCGTACGACGTACGTTATATGCATCAACATATTTTTTGGGAAGAGACCGAGAGAGGGTTGTCGTGTGCGAGAGCAGGTCTGGCAAACCCGTTCAAAAGCGGAGAAAAAGCCAGCAGGCATTCAATAATTCACGTTTGATGCGCTTAGCTTCTCCAGCGGTGTCACATAATGTATTTTTCGTTTCGTGCTTTTCCTGCAGAAGTGGAATGTTGACAAAAATTGAAAACAAAAAAATTCAAGAGGGATTTTACAAAGATAAACTGTTGTGCAGAAAATGCAAAAATATAAACTGTAAAATCAACTTTCCTTACAGATAAAAAAGTTATTAAACTTAATCTCTGTACATTTTATTTTGTAACTTTACTTCATCTTGATGATAAAATTCTTATTTTATCTTTTGAAGATTCATTCATTTTTTTTCTGATTCGTCCTTGTTGGGTCCGGCCAAGACAAGAGTCCCATCTCCCATGACACGTGCCATATATTCAGCTAGTATTTAGCTCTAATCTTTATTATGTCGATAACTTAATTATTAATTTTTAATGCGAGATTTTATCCAAGATTGCGTTACATTACGATGATTATTATTAATATTTAATCATTCCTCTCAGTCAATACGAAAATCTGTTGATGGAAAATAGAAAAGTTTAGAAATTTTTTATAATGATTGGTGCAAATTGATGGAAAAGGAAAGATAACTTTTTTTTGTCATGCGTGCGAAATTTTGGCGTATGTACACAACCTGTATTACAAAAGTTGTGGAAAAGTTTGTTTGCTGAGCATTAAGTTGTTTTAATCTTCTATTTTTTAAAAAATGGGTTAGTTTAAAAAAAAAATTAATGAAGCAACGTTTACTAGGTAATGTTGCATGATATTATAAATTTTCAAATTAACACCAAGTGTTAACGGCTCATAATTAGAGGGGAGGTGATTTTTTCTTTTTTCAAGTTAACAACAAGTGTTCGAAATAAATTCAAAGTTTAAGTAAATATTAGGATTTCAATTAGTTGCATTTACTTTTGTCTTATCAGATCTTAATCAAACAAATTCAAGATTATAATAAAATGACTTTTAAGTTTAAATTATTTCATCAGTTTATTTTCAAACAAGTAAAATTTAATTTTCACATAGAGCAAAACGGCTCTGTACACAAAATCACAAGCTTCAAACTTTCTCCGGCGGTGCTTCCACTCCATTAACGGAAAAAGGGTATAAAAAAAATGCAGAAAAACCGTCAGGCCGTGTTCACCAGCAGTCTGGCCCTCTTTAGCTGAAAGCAGTCCCCTTTGCAAAGCGGCCGTGACACGGGCAAAGATTTATCATCCCAGCAGCGAGTTGCTGCTTTTTATTTCGCTTTTTATTCGGCTGAAGTGAAGTGTGTGTTGGCAGGTGTTTGTGTTCTCCGAGATGCGGCACCCCGAATACCAGTGGTACACGCAATGCGTGACGTTTCGAGTGTTGCCCACTCACGGGCAGCAAGTGGCCTACTCGGTGATCGGCGTCGTCACCATGTACATCGCACCCCTGGTCACCATCATCTTCTGCTACTCGGCGATCATCCTCGAGATCTGCAAGCGAGTGGTCGATACAGGTATGTACCATGACATGTAATAATGCCCCCGAGCCCCGAATAAGCACGAGAGAACCCGCCGTCTCGTCTTTTGAGAGTTTTTTTCCCATATATCTCCGGCTTGTTTTCTTAACCACGCGTCGCAGGGACGTGAAAAATAGGCTACACTTCAGGATAAAACAGTGGTAATCGGCTATACGCAAGTTTAAACTAAATTTAACTTATAAACTATGACTAATAATTATGAAAAAAAATCTTTTTAAATAAATAACATTAATTATTATTAATTATTTTTAACCTTTTATTTTATCATTTAACTTTTTGTTATTTATATTGGACATTAAAAAAAAAAAATCAAATTTCACATCATAGAAAAAAATAGTGCAACTTTCTGATAAATATATAAAAATAAAAAATAATGTATGTACTTGAATAACATGAATACTACAAGTTTACCTTTAAATACTGGTAAACTGGTACATCTCGTTCATATTCTTAGGGCAAATTTTGATATAATGTAATTATTATTATTATTATTATTATTATGTAAAATAATGCATTATAAGTTAATGAATAATATTCTCTATGTTGAAATTGTACAAATTTTCAAAATATAATGGAGTGAGAGCTATTATGCTTATTTCTTTTGTAAAATCTAAGTGTAAATGATAAAAGGAAATTGATTTAAGTCTAAATTTTAGTGAATTATAGAGTGGATTTGGAAAAAAAATACGATATTTACAGTTTTGATCAAAAACCTTAATTTCTTTTACAACAGTAAAAAATTATGACTGATATTTAACTTACAATGATAAATAAGGGGCTCAAATTGTCACTAATTTTTGAACGGAGACGATTAAGTTGAAAATTTCACATTTTTCACAACCCCTACGTTGACCTGGCAAACCCACACACGCCTGCGGATAATAATAGCGTGTGAATGAGACGGCGAAACAAAAACAGAAAAGAACAGACTCTCTAGTCTGGATCAAGAGGTTTGTCTAACCCCGCCGTGTTTGTTCCTCGTCTCTCTTTTTTTCCGTCGGTAATTGCCTTTTTTCCGTCCGCGCCTTCCACTGCAGATGTGTAAGCAAATGAGAGGGAGAAAATAAAATTGGATTTGCTGCTGTGCGCCGACCCACCTGCCCGCGAACCGAAGAATACTTATTATTTGGCCGGCGTGCGTAACGGCAGAGGTATGCAACCGGCACGACGCCCGTGCCGAGCAGGTTGAGGGTGCATTCAAAATTAAGCAATCAAGCCTCGCTCGCTTTCGCTGGCGGGACTGCCGAGAGAGGGTGGAAACGAACGTATTTATTAGCTTAAATTACCTGCTCTCTGTTTTCTTTCCGCGCGTAGGGGAAAACGCTTTTATATGTCTTGGAACAGCCGTTTTAGTGAAAACGGCCCCCGTCATAGAAAACGGTGGCGTGGTTTACGACTATAATCATAAATGTTTAATGTTTACAAGTGCAGTTTCGATTACGACTGAGCAAAGCAGCCCATTCGGGTTGAGTTTGGGGTTGTTGGGGGGAACAAGGTGAACGATACTTGTTTATTTATGGGCGAACAAAGAATGTCAATGCACTGATTTGAAGTAGATTTTTGTGATTGCTGTACAAAAATTAAACTAATTAAATCGTAAAAATAAGTTAATGTTGACCAATTTTGTTGTTATTTAATCAACCAAGTGGAAAGATAATTGTGAAAAAGTGGATTTATTATATTGAGGAATTTTTATTCTAATATTCTTAAATATTTTTTCCCTCCCATAATACACCATTCATATGTTTAAAAATACAAATTGATCATTTCAAAAGGTTTAATGAATCATTGATTCTGATTTAGGTTTATTTATTTATAATCAAATTCACCTAATATATAAAATCATTTTTGCTGATTATCTGTCTCACTCTATATTTTTTTTCTCGTTTCTATTTTAGGATCTAAGTTACGACGGTCTAACTCTGCAAACCTGTACAAAGCCAAGATTCATACCTTGAAGATGACCGTGGTGATTGTTGCCATGTTCATTGTTTGCTGGACTCCTTACAACATCATGCTTATCTGGTAAACAATTTAATTTTATTACACTTGACTGTTTAAATATTTTAAAATCTTTAAAAAGTTACTAAAAAATATTTTCCTCTTCCTTTGGAAAGAAGCAAATTAAATTGAAATGTACATAAATAATCAAATCAAAATGGTCACAGTTTGAAATTTAAAATTGTCAAGATCTACTCCAATCAGGACGCTTTGCTTTGTCATCAGGTATTGGATAGATCGGAGCGGCGCATCAGCCGTGGACCAGAAGGTGCAGAAGCTATTGTTCCTGTTCGGCGCCACCAACTCGAGCTTCAACCCGTTAGTGTACGGAATTTTCAGCATCAAAAGACCTAGTGTAGCGGCGGCGCCCCCGAGCAACGCCAAAATTACTACCATAACAAGGCTGAAAAGGCCAAATTCGAGCACGGCTGGGCCGGAAATGCCGGCGAAAATAATGCAGCAAGTCTAACATAAGCGCGCTTTGTGTGTTGGCGAGGCCTTCAAAGAACGCGCGCCTTCTCGCCGGGCGCAAATTTCGCGTGTTTCTTACCCTCGGGCCGCGATTATTATCTCGAAACCTAGTCAACGAGGAAATCGGAGAAAGATCTTGAAGGGAGATGCGCAACTAGAAATCACAGAAATCGGTTAAAATTAAACATTGTGTTAAGGTATTTTAGTTATGATTGTTTTGTAAAAAGAAAAATAACAAGAATTTAATCATATTGTTATTTGGATTCGATTCAACCTAGTTTATTTGTGCCTTCTCTTGAAAAATAGCTTAGAAAGCAAAATTATGGGAGAGCATCCAGGTTTAATTAAATCTAAAATTGAAGGGCACATTCATGCACTTTAGTTAATTGTAAAGCGCAGATGAATGTAAATAGGATTCCAAAATTTCTTGTTCCTTATTTCAACTTATTTATTTTGTATTTAATATAATTCTTATTCCATGTCAAAGGTGTAGAAACAAATTAAAATTGATATAATTTATTAAAGTTATAAAAAACATCATTTTAAATATCTGAATGTTACTAATAAAATGAAATATTTAAATTATTATTGAAGTTAACAACTTTGTTTTTTTTTTTTGGACGGTGATAAAAAAAATTATGTTGGGTACAGTCATTAAACTGGGCACGTTTCTCAGTGCACTTATTTACTTACGACGTATCTCTCTTCAAGATCTTTGATGTAACCAACGTTGGAGTCAATGAGTAATCCGCTCGCTTCCAAAGTCTCATCGACAGCCAGCAAACAAGCAATAAATTAACAGACGGATCCGTTCATCAGCTTTTTTGCTGCTCTTGTTGTTATTCGAGCAGACCGTCCTTTGAAGTCTCTCTTTCTCGCGAAGCGCGCTCTCTCGTATATAATACTTTGTACACTTGGGTTTATTTCTGATGCCGGAGATATGCTTGCTCTCTCTTTTTTACACATCCCAAGTCACATGTCGGCTCGAGTGCCAATCGGAGAGTGGAAAGGTCAATAGTACACACAACGGGTATCTTATGTATATTACACACACGTACGACCTCTCTGGCGACCCTCAACAGTTGATCTCCTTTATCATCTTTCTTTTATTCGCAATCCACATGATGAACCTGCAAGCCGCGCGGCCAGCCGAAAAGAAAGATATATCCCGGCAGCAGTATAATAAATGTTTGCATGCGCACCCTTTTCAAAACTCGCCGACCCCTGGGTGCCGTAAATTTTTCTTGCGGGCAGCTCACCTTTGTCTTCCGCAAATCTGCAGCGAAATGTTAAATACAGACCCGTCTAGCTTCCCCCATTCGTACATACCTTGCAGTTCCACATTTTGTTGCCGATAAACGACTTAATTTATACGTTATTTTAAACTTGTAAAACCGAAATATGTATGAATGTGCGGTTTATTTTGTATATTATACCTGTATGTAGTTCTCATTAGGTTGTAGCCAAAGTGAAGTGCTCAAAACTTCATGTCTTTATTCTCTGCGGAAGAAGGAATAATAAATATTCAAATGTGAAATGCAGTCATGCGTGTAAGTAATACAGAATGCAACCTTGCGTGGATGATTTTTTTTTGCTTTTCCTGCCGGCATTGTAAGGAGTTTCCATGTGTGTTTAAGTTGAGCTTAAGGAATGGGAGGTTCCTCGAAATAAATCCTCGCCGGCTTTTAGCTGGAATGATGAAAAAGGCAGTGTAGATAGTGCTTTTTCCCGAAAAGAATGAATAAAGGCTAAAATAAAATATGAGAAAAGATATGCGAGGAGGAAGAAATTAAATTCGAGCTATTTCTCTTGAATTTTGCTGTAGAAATATTTCCTGCTTTAATGGAAAATGCCAGTTGAAATTAGTTTGAAACATAAAATCATCAAAACTTTGCACCTTTTGAAATGTCTAAACTGTTTGAATAATAAGAAATGATTAAAATTAAGTTATTAAAGTGTGAAACATAAAAAGGTTAGTGAAAAAAAAATTAAAAAAAATTTCTTTTTGATATATAAAAGCGTTGTAAAGACTGTCAAAAGGAAATAAAACTTCAAAGCTTTGTTATTTGAATTTAATTAAATTTTTTGCTTGACTTCAGTCAGTTTATATTAGAATTTTAACCGCAATAAAATTCATAGAACTGTTTCTGGAATCAACTTTGCTTGCCGAAGTTTCTTGAAACTCCAAAAATTGTGAAAAAGAATATTGAAAAATCAGAATGAAAGCCAGTTCTCGGAAATTAAAGTGTATTGAAATATTCACATTCAATCTGGATAAAAGGATTCTTCTTTCAGCGGCCGTCTGCATATCTCCGAGATTTTCCTTTTCTCCGTAGCGGCGCCGGCAGAGCTCTCAAAAAATTTTTATCCACGGCAATAAAACCGCCGCGCTTTTATTATCCTCCTGCTTGAAGTAAAACGGACCTTTTAAGAAAGATGATTCGCTAAACAGCGCAGGCTAATGAAAAAATCTGCTTGCCGAAAGAAATGATAAGGCAGTTTTATTGGAATTCCCTCTCAGGGTGGAATGTTTGTTTGTTGCTCGCATATATGTCTTGGGCGAAAACAATCTCTTTGGTGGCTGTTCCATCTTCGACCGGGGGTGTTGCCACACGACTGATTTTCAAGTGGGTGGTTAATGAAATGAGGTTTCAATTAAAACTTGTTCTGGCGTGCAGAGACGCGCATATAATGCCTCAGTCAGTGATATTTACAAGGGCGTGGTTTTCGCTAAAGAGCGGCTTGTGGTTTGCCTGCACGAAGAAATTCAATGCCCGCGCGCGCGTGTAGTATGTTGCGGCCGAAATTTCGTCTTTGAAGATCGGCCCTGAATATTATGCAAATTTCGCCCACCGAGAGAGAGCGAGGAGATGCCGCTCGACAAAAAGGACAAAGGAGCCGCTTTTGTTTCGCGCACGGCCAAGTAATTACGCAAAAAGCAGCCGGTGCGCGCAGAGAGAGATAGAAAGAGCGGATCATACACTTTTTGTCCGCTCGATAAATGATCCCGGCTCGTAAAACACCAACAAATTGCTCTCTGTGAACAACAATTACGCAGCTAATTCATCACACGACGATCGGCGTGATCAGTTTTTTATTGCTCAGTGTAATAAACGGTCGGTGGCTCATCACTAAATCATGCGCTACAGTAATTAAAATTCATATTGAAACATAATTTCTGCACGTCAGAGTTTTTGTGTGCAAAGTAATCAGAGGTGAATGAAAAAAATTAATTCAAAGTAATAACTAAAAATAAATTCATATTATGACAACTTTTATTTTTTACTTAACTTTGCTATATAATTTAAACAAGAGGTTATCTAATAAAGGAGAAAATATTAATTTTGATAACAATAAACTTTAAAGATTGATCATTTGAAACAACTTAAGAGAAGTGCAATATTTAATTTACAAATTTCAATCTTTTTAATAAAATAAAATAAATAAATCATGATTAAATTGTAAACATTAAAAATATTAAAAAATAAAATAAAATAATTTAATTGTTAATAATTAAAAAAATGATATATTTACTAAATTATGATTATCAACCCAAATACTTACTTTTTATTACGTTTTGTTGACAAAAATTTAAAACTTTTAATCTATTAAATTATTAATTATTATAATACAGCTAATAAATAAAGTACTTTCACAATTAAAGCAATTTCTAACAACTACCTGGTGAAAAGTTCATGTTCTCAGTGTCGAAATAAAATAAAGATTGTTTCAATATTTCCTCTTTATTAGCAACACCATGACGTTATTAAAATACAACAATTGGACAATTGATAAAATCAGACATTTGATCAACCCTTATATTTTGGAGTCTAATTCAGAGAGAAGAGGTTGCGATTCCAAAGCGGAAATTAAATCCGAAGACACATAAATCAACAAGCGTGGGGTACAGGGATGTGTGACTGTGTGTGAATGCGTGTTATGAGAACAGTAATAATTGAATAATAATAATTCCATTCCAGCATTCTGACCACATTGGATAGATGAGAGATGTTCTCCAAAACGACGTTCGAGCAAAGTAGGATTTGTAAACGCGACCAAGTTTTGGCGCCTAAGAGGGTGGAAAAATAAAAAAGAGACTCAGAAAAAAAACACATAATTGTTAGATATCACAAATCACAATCAAATAAATTTAAAAAAATCTAAAACTTTAAAACTGCGTTCTAAGAAGGGGATATGGAATGTTTTCTCCAAATGAAATTAATTTAAAAATTTTTACTTTTAATTAAAAAAATTGAATCGCTAATGAGAAATTTAAATCAACTTTAATGGAAATAATTAATTATTTAAACATTTCATTTTGTGTCTAGATTTATATAAAAAAAATGTTCTCAGTGGCTGAAAAATAAAAATATGCACCTCTCACTGCGCCAAATCATGGTGGACACAAAGTTTTAAGTACAACGCATCGCTATGGGCTAATCAAATTCAGCTGTTGTTTTGCGTTTTCCTTTGTGGTTACGAATTAATCGTCCGTTCGTACAGAACTTTGGGCTTTCAGAGCAATACGTGGAAATGGAACAGTGACAGAAGCAACAAACAAAGATATGCCCCAAGTGGTTTCACATGTAGGGTTATTTCAGCGGACGTAAATGATTGGTAGACAAAAACAGGGATCGCTCGCTCGCTCTTTCGCTCGCGAATGTAAATTTCACATGACAGAAAGTTGGTTGTGGAGCGTGACAGATGCTGTAAATAAATAATGAGAAAACGCTGGCGCTGCTGGCTGCTGCTGTCGGAGAGAAACAAACGCGCGCCGATGCACAAGAAGAAATAATGCGTCTTCGTCTCTTCCGTTCGTCCCGAGCTCGAACTCGCACACGCAGCCAAACAGCGATCATATGCATCGAGAGAGATATTTCGTCGTGTGAGGAGGAGATGTTACGTTTAAATTTCGGCATAGGATTATAATATTCAGTTATGTATTTTTATACACTGAGGAAAGAATGTTGTTTTTTTCGTTTTACTCTTTTGGTCTATTACATTGCACTTTGAATTATTTTTAACGTCACTATATTGATTATTTTTCTTCAAGTATTTTCTCTTTTCGTTTTATTTACAATTTTTATACCAGTTTAGCTGTTTGTTTTTTCTTTCTTTTCTTTGAAGTGTATATAACATTCGCCCAGATCGCGTCCATTGATTCGCGCGCATATTCAAAATCACTCGCACTTTTCAACAGAAGTTCGTTTTTTTCTCCATTTTCTCGCCGCACTCGTTCTTATACAGAAATTCCTGCACACATCGTAGGACATAAAAATATAAAATCAGCAATTTCAATAGAACAATGTTATAATCGTCACTGCGCGGCGAGGAGGATCGGCGAGCAGATGTAGATGAGCCAGCACGGGTGCAGCGACCTCGATTCGTGCATGCACGCGAGCTGTGCCGGGCAAGGTTGCAGCGCACCAGGGAGAGAAAAAGAAACGTGCAAAGTGTGCAGAATCGGGAAACGTGTATGAATAAATTGACTCTCAATTTGCAGCAGGAAGAGAAGAAAGAAAGAGGAAGTGTAAAAAGAGAGGAGCACAAAACTCCTCGATCTCGCTCCCCTTCCGCATAAGCGGATCGATGCGATGGCCATTAGGGCTGATTTGCTGCAGTTTCCCAGAAACAATGGGGCGCAAATCGTTGCACGTTCAGCACACTCGTTCAGCGAGAGTACTTTGAAAACCGTTTAAATAGCACCGGAAGGAAGAAGAAGTCAGTTTGCATTTAAAATCGCTGAGTAAGTTTGCTGAAGAGCATTCGGGAAATTATATAGAAAAAAAAAACAGTTAAATGTTGCAAAAATATAATCTTGCATGACTAGATTAGAAAAGAAATGAATTTTAGGCCGAAAAGTGGTGAATACAATAATTTTATAAGATAAGTTGTAATTAATTTAATTTTTACTCTCACAAAAATGAGAAAATCAATGTTGAAATTTGAGCGTCAAAATTGAAAACAAATTTTTGCCTTTCACTGCACATTTTTTTCTCCCTTGTATCTGCAAGTCTTGCAAATTAGCGGTGGAAAATCCACCTCTCTGAGCCTATTTAATTCGATAAAAAATCTCTTTACACGATTTAACAATTTTAAAACGGCTCACCGACGTGTCCTCAGCCGCGCCGGAATATATTGAATATCGCGCAGATGGCTGCTGTTCCTACAATCTACACATCATACTTTTCCGCGTGTGTGTTTGTGAGTGTTCGTGTTTCTATTTCATCGTAATTACAGAATTGCCCTTTTCACTCCCGAATGATGAATGTGAGAAACGACGCGAGGAAACAACTCGTCTCGTTCTTTACTTTTTTGCTGTTGTTGCTTCTTTAATTACAAAATGGCAATGTGGACAGTCGTAAAATTTGCACTCGTCGCGCGCCATTCATACCGTGTGTACACCAACGAATCAAGTCTGTTTTTTTAATATTTGCAGCTCCCACCCATTTTTATACACACACAAACATGCATGAATACAAGTTGTTTACTCGTTGATTGTGCTGAGGATTCTGCAGAGAGTGAAATACATATGTATAAAGAGCGAAATTATCATATCATTTCTCTGGATAAATTTCACAGGGGGGCCGCCGGCGAGCACCGAACGCCGCCGGCGACTCTCTTCCGGGGTTCCGATTATTTTCGAGTGTGCCAATCGAGGGGGTGGTTCGGGGGTGTGAGTTCATTTGTTCCTTCAGTCCTTGAGTGTTTTTTTGATGGTGGGGGTGATGAATCCTCAGGCAGGCCGTTCAATGAGTGTCGCAGCCGAGGCGGGCGCCGCCAATTATGTGCCCGCCCAGCCCAAAAAGTGTCCGGCCACCCCGAGCGCCAGCAGGGTAGCCAGGGCGGCCCTGGGGGTTGAACAGCAGGCGAAGAGCACCAGGCCTGCCGACAGGTGACTCCACGAGCACGGCGCGGCGCTGTTCTTGCCCCGCTGCATCGCGGCCGGGTGCTCGCCTGCAAAAGTCACAAAGGGCCACATGTTAGTGTCTGTCGGTCTGTCTTTCGCGCTTTCAAACTCTCATGAATTATATATATCGGCCCCAGTATAAATTCCTATTACGCTGCTTCGAGCAAATGTTATGAAAATCAAGGTGATTTATGACTGTGTTTGCCAAATCTCACAAGCCTGCCTGCCGCCTCCGCAGAATTTTCCGCCTCGCACAGAGAGAGACGGGCAGGCGTGAGGGATGGCGTCGGTTTATGGGCAAATGAGATGACTTGTCGGTTTATACGGGGTGGAATTTTATGCGGGTTTCAAGAGACATGCAGTTTTATGACTGATGAAATGAACGTTGCAGGGCATTAAAAATCAAATTCAACGAATCAATGACTTGTGAAAATATAAAAAAGCTATATTTTTAAGCTCATATTTGGCCAATGGTTAGTTTCTATTCTTAAGATTTCATTTAATCTGTATAATTTTTTTGCCTTAAAAAATGATTTTTTTGCGAAATAATCATGTTTAAATAATGATTAGGTTAAACAACAACTTTTTGATAAAATAATATTTAGAAGCTTCAAAATTGAATGTAAGTTTAAATTTAGAAACATTTAGTCTGAAAACAACAATAAGAGAGAAATAAAAGGACTAGAAACAGCTCAAAATATAGCAGCAAGACAACGTAAATATCAGAAATAATTTCATTTGAAACAGAAACATTTATAAAATATTCTAAAAATTAGAATTTCGAGGCTCAGTTAATTGAAAATATTAATTTTTTAGATCGGAAATCAATTTCATTTTATTTTTAGATTGACAATAATTATTAGGAATTATCTAAAATTGTCCCCACCAAATTAGTATTATTGCAAAAATCTTATTTTTCTTCTTGAAAAAACGACTTTTTAGACTCAAATTGAAAAAAGTCAAACGTAACTTTTCAAACAACTTAATCTTTTCAAAGTCTATAAAATAATCAATATTTAATTGAGATATATGTTTAATCCGGACACTAAATTTTGAAAGAAGCACTTGTATTCAAAAGGTAAATAAAAAAAATATCCGCCCTAATAATCGTTTTAAATCTCACACAAAATTTTGAAACAGAATGTCGTTGCTAGAATCACTAAAAACAGACTATCACCAGTCTAATTAAATTTCTCTCTAACTTGTTACAAGGTTTAAAACGACATAAATTTTAATGAAATTATTGTAGGTTGGGTGTTTATTTTCGGCACATGCAAACAAGATTTAATGATTTCCGGGTAAACAAAACAAAGAACTTGAAGCGAATTCTCCAGCTTTCCAAATGTAAATGGAGAAACAACACAACTCAAGGTAATTTACGGTTGAACTCTCGTCGCTCAAGCGTCCCCGCCCCCGCACAAAATTAAGCGGCATTGTTTGCCTATTTTCCTTTCAACACACCGCAAACGGCGAGAGCCGCTCTCGCAAATTATTCGAGAGGTCATTTACAGCACCAGCGCATTGTGCAAAAGCGTAACACTGGAGTTGTTTTAACGGGGCGAAGGGTTGAAACTATCATTTTGGCATCCACCCCGCCTTGCTGCCAACAACCCTCTGGCGCGTGCGGCCCACTCCAGAGGTATGTTTACCATCCATTACACACTCCAGGCCAACTGCCAGTGTCTCGGATTTTGCAAGAAACTCCGGCGACCGACCCTCTCGAAACGTCTGGCCCGATTCTTCCTTTCGCTCTCTCGGAGCCGTTCTCGCCTCCTGCCCTCGAAATGAGGTTTTAACTTGTGCAACACATGCAACCCGGCAGGGACTGCTGGAGAAATTTGCACTTAGGAATTTTCGCGAACGGCCAAAGTGCTGCCAGCGATGCGTCTCCTGCGTCTCTTTAGGGAGTTTATGCATAATTTTTGGGTCCTGTATTCGAACAGTTTCTCCCCCTCTGAACATTAGACTTCTGGGAATTGATGAATGCAAATTTCACAAGTTCTTCCTGTCATCTCCTGGTGGTAACTTATTTAGGAAGGAAGAAAGGCGATATTGAACGCGATTAGACTGGATTTTGGATAACCTCAGGGGAATTGTGATTTGTAGAAGAAGAAGAAATTTATTGATTATTAAATGTGGGTCACATTTGAAAATATTTAAATTATCCAAAGATTCAAAAAGTTAAAGTTAAGTTGAAACAGGACTTAACCTGTGGGAAAAAAGAAAAACATAATTTGATTTTTTAAACTTCCTCCTTATTATTGTTAGAGTTTAGATCGATGGCACAGGAAATCCAAATTGTAAGTTTTTAAGATACCAACGTATTTCCAGAAAATTACACTTGCCAATGAAATTTAATTTAAAGAAATAAATTAAATTAATCTTATACTGCCTTTTACCTAACATAATATTAATAATATTAAAACGATTTAAAATGAAAATGAAGATAATTAAATTAAAAACACGTACAAAATATAATATAAATTTGGCAAACTAAATTTTATAATTGAATGGTTTTTCTCAATTTAAGATTTATCATTAAAAAATTTATGTTTTATTCAATTTAATACTTTGACAGCAATTTTTCTCGCTTAAATGATTACAAGCTAAACATTGATTCAGCAGCAAACTGCTGTTTTCTCGCCTCGCAGAAGGAAAGAACTTTGGCATTAACAAATTATTCATCGCCAGCATTGAACATAAATCAGCTCCGCAGCATAAGCGAAGCGGCGAAAGCCGCTTTTCTCCACGCATAAATAGCAAGTGATTAATTATCTCGCTGGCCCCATTCTCCGAAGAATTAAAATAAAATCAATTTCTCACGAGTGACGTCAGCCCGAAGCCCTCTCAACAGCAAAACGCCAATTATTGAGTTAATGTTCCATCAAAGTTAATTAACGACGTGAAGTGCGCCGTTAGTTTGCGGTCAGTCGTTACATCGGAAAAGGTTTACGCGCGCATGCTAATTTCGAACCGGAGTTTTATGCAACCGGCACGTACGGCCAGGTCGCGCCGGTTGCCTGCCGGCCCTATGAGTCGCCGTTATTTGTCCTAAATATATTTGTCCTCACACTGATTTATCTATTTTTCCTAAAAGCAAAAGTCCTAAAAAAAGTATTCCATATTTTATATTTCATTTGTCCTAAAATAAAATATAATTCTTCAGATTCATCTAAATATATTTATTTTGTTGCTTTTTAGGTTCATTAAATTTTAACGCATTAAATTATGCATTCAGTCTCAATAAAATTGATGAATATTAGTGAAATTAAATAAAAATAAAATTTTTAAAATTAAAACGTATTTTTAAACTAAATTATTTAATAACTAAAAAAACTTGCTTATATGGAACTAAAAACCACCGAGACTGGCCAAGGCTCGAGACCGACTGAGATTACTCAATAAAATAAACTTAAGAGTTTTATAAATTTATTTGATGCTTGATTTCATTTAATTTCTGCAAAATCAATTTTATTGTATTCAATTTTGCTAAATTTTTATGATTTTAGGACAAATGATTTTTAGAACTTTTAGGACAACTGAAATTATGACAAATGCGGGTCTCCCGGCCCTAAACTTGCAACGCCGTTTGGTTAATTCACTAAATCCCCCTTCGGGCTAGGTAAAATTTTATCGGTCACTTCGTGCTAATGGAACGACACCCGCGACGAGTTATTGTTATGCACTACTAGCGGCAGTTGTAACTCTGCATGTGCGAGAGAAATTTCTTTCCCATAAACTCGAGTGTGCGGCCGGGCGGCAGCTTTGTGCGCATTTTAAATTAAAAGAGCTCGTGCGCCTCCGACGTTGCTGCACAAAAGAGAAACTACCGCTCGCGCGTAATTCAGAATAAAAATTCAGCTCGTGTCGCCGCGCCTAGGAATTCATTATTCTCGCGCTTCTACTATTCTGTATGTGTTCGCTCAAAAGACTTGTGACCCGTTTTCCTCTGCGGAGGTGATTAAACAAATTTTGCAGAATGGCGTGTCCGAAGTGTACGCTGCAGCCATTAAAGACGCATTTACAAAGAAAAATAAAATCGTCAAGGATAAAGGAGATGCAGTGAAGATTTAAATTAGGAATTTGTCACATCTATTGGGAGTTATGAAAAATTATTGCACTAAAAAAAATGATAAAATTAAATTTACACCTGGACATATTTGATGTAATTTTTTTTGGGTGAACAAATCCCAAGTGCAATTTTTTTTTTAACAAAGTATTTTTTTTTAGCGAGCTTATTTTTAAAATTCTATAACATAAGTTAAATCAAGTATAATTGATTGCTTTAGTTTTATTAATGCTCAAACATTGATGACATAATTGACTTTTATAGAAGGCAGGCTTGTAAAATATCAGAATTTCTTGCAATAATTAATAAATCAAAGGTTTTGATGAAATTTGAATTAATTATGGTCAAGCAGTAGAACAATATGAAATATTAAAAAATAAATAAAAAGAGAAGTTTTTGAATTTGTGCAATAATATTTTGATTGAAATTGAAACAATTCACCAAATAAATTATTAGAATAATGTTTAAAATTCTTTATTAATTTTTTTTTTAGTTTAGTACAGTTTAGTAAAATATAAAACAAATATAAAAAAAGACACTGAAAACTAAAAAAAATTTAATTTAGTAATTTATTATAATTATTATATTTATACGTATTGTTTATTTTGTATTTTTCTTTTTTAATTACATTTTTTTATAAAATCTTAATTGATGACCATTTTAAATGTTTACAGCTACGGAAATTAAAATGTAAAATATTTATTATAATCATAACAGCTGTACAATTTACCTTCATATATAGAGAATTAATATTGAATCAATTGCGGATTATTATGGAAGAATTAAAATAATATTTAAATTAATCATAACAATGCTTCACATTGAAAATTGATAAACTTGTTTTTATTAATGAAGTTCTTTTTATTAAGAAAAAATGTGAAAGAAAATAAAATCGCGCCTGCATTCAATTATTCACATTTCAACAACTGCGTCCTATTTTTAATTACAAACGCGAGCTGGCAGGTAGATGGAAATAACAAGCATCTCTCATCATCTGTTTCCTGCTTGTCGCTGATGGCGAGGCGGCGGCTTTAAGAAGCAATTAAAGTCACACAGCCAACTTTGATGTAAAGGGTTAAGGGATAAAGCTTGTTAATTAGAATCCCTACGTGTATAACAGCAGGCGAGGTATGTGTGTTTGAGAGTATGAGCGTGTTTTATCCACTATACTCGGAGGCAACTTCTTCCAGATACTTTTTTCCAACATGTCAAAACCCGACAGCGGCAAAACCTGCGCGAAGGCGAGACGGAAAGCTAAAATAATTTCATCTGAAATTCCCGCTCGAAGGAGTTAATAAAATAAGCCGAGAAGAAGCTCTTCCATTTTTTTTCTTTTTTTTTACTTTTTATTCTGTACGCGGAGAAAAATGAATGGAGAAAGAAGAAAAAAATGCCCGTCCGGCAGTGGGAAGGAAATAGGGACGCGTCACGTATTCATTTTCTTTCAAGGGTAAATATAATAATTAAGGTCGGGGAAAAGTCGGGTCACGTTTTGTTCTCGGCTCGAACCAGATTTCTCGCCGCGATTATCTGCGGAATCATCTGCTTTTTATTATTTGTCCTCACGGCACCCCAAGTTATTTCAAGTATGTGGATATAAGAAAAAAAAATGCAAATGCGATCCGCTTTAGATTCGGCCGCGCGGAATGTCGACGAAAGCGTTTTAACTTCAATTAAGACAATTACCGTGGTAAAAAGTCACACGGACCGACAATTTTGATAGCGAAATGAGCGCCGCAGCTCCAATTAAGTGGCCGCACGCACGATCCGAACGAAAAGTTTCAAGCGTAATTACGAGAGGAACGAAAGTGAAAGTGGCAGTCGGCAAAAAGGGGCGGCAGGAAACGAGCCAATTTGGGACGATTTTTGACGTCGGCCGTGCGGGATGCGAAAATCGATTTGCGCGTGGCGGCGGCACGATTAAAATCCGGTCTCGGTGCCCAGCTTTAAATAAGTGTGCGAGGAAGTTTTGGCACCAGAGTTGGAGAAAAAGTTCAAAACTGCACTATTAATATTAATTAAAAGTTATCCGACTTCCAACAAAGTTTGAAAATTATTTTGGAAAGCGGGAAAATTAGCCCTATCATAATTATTACAGAATGTTTTGCTTTTTATGATCTATAGATGTAATCAATTATTGTTTGTTTATAAGTTTGTGAATAAGATTTTATTCTTTTACCAATGCAATCAATTAAGTAGATTTGAATAATGTTTTAATACCATTAAAATATTTAATCCTTTTTTTAGCTTGCCAACAAGGTCCGCTCGTCAGAAAATTTCGATTGTTGTGGAGCTCTCTGATTGGGTACAACTTTTCTTGTACCCAATCAGAGAGCTCAAACAACAATCAAATCATTTTTCATTGTTGCTGATGCGCGGACCTTGCTTGCCAATGAATTTTACTATTTAAACTATTTAATTTGGCTTTTATATTTTTTGTTATTTGTGCCTTGAATCTCGAAAAACATAAAAAAAAATTCTGAAACTTTAATACCAGATAAAACCTTGCCAAATTCTTAATTTTATTTTATTGCCAATTCCTTCATCTATTAGAATTTGAGACACAAAAAGCCAAAGGATTTTAAGGTGGATTTTTTATAGTTTCTTGATTTAATATAAAATTAAGCCTGCTTTCGGTTTTTTTTTCACAATAGAGCTAGAATTTAATTTTCAATTCAAAAAATTTATGTTGCATAAATAAATTTATATTGCAAAAAACGTTTGGAAATTGTTTTTGAGGAACAAATAGTCGATCGCCTTAAATTTGATGTATTTGAAATCTATATCTTTGATGTTTTAATTAAATTTCAGCAAAAACGTTTCCTCTCGTGTTACTTGAGTCAATTATTGTTTTGCAATAAACAGAATGAGAATTGTCTCCAGAAGACCACTGAGGAAAAGCCGAATTTCAAGTACAAACACAATCGTAAAATTATACTATAAAAAAAAAATAATTAAATCTTTTTGACCATATTTTAGCTTTATAAATATGCAGCTTAAAATTCCAACGAATAACCCATTGTTGGTCATGAATTATACTGTTATCAAAAATGAGAATTTGTAATTACCATTAAGGACGTGGAGCAAGACGCTGGCCGAGTCGAGGTTGGATGGGGCGCAGGTGTAGTTGCCCGAGTCCTCGCGACGGCCGCTGTAGATGATGAGGGTGCCGATGGTGGTGTCCTTGTCGACCCTCTCCACCTTGATCTCCTTTTGTGTCTTGTCGTAATTGAGAACTCTCTCGTTGTCGTGGTACCAGAAGATGTAGGCAGGCTCCTCCAGACTCTGCGTGATGACACATTTGAGATTCACCGTGCTGCCCGTTTTGACGTAGATGTCCGTCTCGCCCATGATCTCGATCTTGGGCACTGAAACAAGAGAGAGCAGAGAAGCTCTTTAAACTTCCGTGTCTTTGGGGAGGGCAAACAGCGGCTCGCTCGCTTTTGTTTGCACTGCAGTACAAGGTGTAAATTTCATTACCAGCTATTTGCGCTCGGGGCTAATTGCTTTACCATTTCTTTGATGACGGTTCTAGTTTCAAGATGGAATGGGATGGAAAGGATTTTGTACTTTTTATTTATTTAAAATAAACATATAACGTATATTTCAATCGAAAAATCTAAATAAAAACTATTATGTTGATTTTTTAATGCCCAATATCAATGTAAAAAATATTAATGAGAACATTTATAGGATTACAATATTTAACAGAAAATATTTTGTCAAATTTCCTCGTAATTCTAAGCTAGACCATTAATTTTAATTTGTTGTTGTCTTCAGGTATTTGATTTATTTAAATTATTCCTTTCAAATTTTTGAACTGTAGGTGAAAAATACGCTGATAAGCGCTGTTTAAACGCAATTTCTTTGGGGTTCATCTTTCATCTTTGAGTAAGTGAGTTTTAAATTTTTAATGCAAATTTTCAGATTTGAGCAAAATCTTTGCTAGTTGAAGACGCCGTTTTGTTCAATATATACAATCTCTCACCCACTCTCATTCCTCTAACAATTTAGTTTTGTGTAAATTTTAGTCTCTATTGAATGAATGAAAACGAAATTTACTTATTTTGAATTTTGATCATAATTCATAATTGAAATTTAAAAAACTCTTTTAATTAATCTAAATTTTCTTGTCGCATACGTCAAAATGATGTTCAATATTATTTATACTGAAGGCAATACAAAAGATATAAAAATTCATCTCTAGGAAAAAACAGATTCTTCATAAATTACTATTGTTCAGGACGAAGACTTTCAGTATCTTTCTCATTAAGAAAAAAATTATTGGAAAATTAACTCCAGAGGTAATTACGATAATAGAATCCTTAATTAAATTAAAATCACTTTGATAGTTTAGTTAGTTAATGAAACTGATGAAGCTTTAATATAAATACCCTCTAGGCAAATTTCGTGGAATTTACAACGTTAATTAGCTATGCAAGTTTGATTTTCAGAGCACGACCTCTTCCCATCAAATACTTATGATTATGATATATTGTACCGGGAAAAGCGCCTCAGAAAGTTCTCTCTGCACGAGTTATTAAATAAAATCGTGCAATCAAAGTGCACAAGAGAGCGGCGCATATAAAAATAAGAATCATCGCGTTATTGTTCGTAGTGCGCGCTCTTGGCGGAAAATAACATTTCCCGGCAGGGATGACGAGAAGAGGCAAGTTTATACTTTTGCAACTGCTGCGGATGATTTACGTCGCCGGTCGTAATGATATAAAAATGGATTCAGGGCTTTTCCTTATAATCTTCGATGCGCTGGGAGTTAATTTCGCAGCGATGCAGCACCAAGGCATGACAGAAAATTAATCCTGCTCTACTTATGGCGGCGAATTAGCTCTAGTGGGGATACTTTTACATTAGACCGCCGTGTACGGATTATACGTACGTTATATAAAAGCAGACCCGAGACCAACTAAAGCACTATGTACTGCAGACCGGTGCTGATTTCCCGGTAATGAAAATCCGACACGCTCCGACTGCGAATTTTCTGCGCGGCAAAAAAGCGGCGATGTGCTGCAGGCCGCCGCTTTTAATTGACCGACCGAAGCTAGCTCTGCTCACAGACACGGGGTGTTAAGGAATTTTGTGACGTTAGAAGTCTCTTTTTCATTAGGAGACGTGTGTGTTATTTGCCGCTGCTCATTACAATGTTCGGTGGAGCGAGTCAATTTCATCGCAGCCGCACTTAAATGCTTCAATTAATGACAGAGCTCAAAACTTCCCATGCAAAAAACACACGTAATAACACAGTTTTTAAACCCATTTAAGTATTTAAGCACATATTATGAAAAATATTATTTTCAAATCACATAAAAATAAAATATCTAGGCCATAATGAATTATGGTCACCTTAAGAATTTCCTATTGGTGTAGTCAAATCAAGTCTGTACCTACAATTAGAGCTAAATTTCTATTAATCACAATAATTGGCTTCTATTGAAGTACAGACTTGATTTGGCTGTGCCCATCATAAAAAATCTTTCAGAACAAAAATTTAAATTGGAATTAGCAATGAAAATTCTAAAATCCACTGAATAAGGTGATAAAAGTCATTTTTAAGTGATAAATTAAATAAAAATATTCAGCATATCTTCTCTGAAAATGAGATCAGATTTGTATTATGTAGCTTAATTGTTAGATTTACTTGATTATTACTTTAATTGGAACGATTTAAAAAGAAATGAATTGTTGAATATTTATCAACGAGATCTATTAGAATTATTAGAGGCTTCATAAGAACGGCAATGTCTGCATTCATTTAATTTTGCTGAATCTGCATTAGGGGTGAGTCTTCCACCCCCTCCCCCGATTTCTCTTTCTGTTCTACTTAAGAAATAATTGCACGTTCCGTTTCTAGGTAGTTTCCTCGGCTGGAATTGAAGCCTTTCATCTCCTTTAAGGCAGCAGCAAATGAACTTTCCCCGTCAACCGCCAAAAACACTCACTTATCTCTGCTCAAAGAGAGCCAAGGCTCTTTTTCCGAATCGCTAAATTTCGCCTTCGACGCGGCGGACGAGGAAAAAATCGAGCGATCAGGTGAAAACCCCCAAGTTGTAAAAGGGGCTGTGATTGCAGCGCGCCAAAGTCAACCCTTAATACGTCGAGATGGCAAATCATTTAGAAGCGAGAGAGAGTGACGAAGAAAAAGAGTAAGAGGGCTCGCTTTCTCACTCGAAGCGAATATTTCTCTTTCTCGCTAGATAAGAGCCCTTAACCCTTCCTTGGGTGTCACTTGGTGCCGAAATGAGATTTTGTTTTTACGCGGGCCCGGAGAGTTATTAGAGAAAGAGCTGGAGAAAAAAATCATCAGTCGCGGAGAATGAGAAGGAAAGAGAGGCGAAAAAAGCTGTATTGTTTATTTTACATATATTCGGAGCAGCAGGGCGACATTTGCATTATTTTTGTCTCGCCTCCAGGGTAAAAAGTTATTTTTCATTTGGGTGCCGAAAGAAAAATCCGGCCAGCGGGCTGCGCGTGGCAAGAAAATTGACTAAATTTAGATTTATTGTGCAAAAGTTTGCGCCGTCGCTGTTCGTTCGTTCGTTCGCTCGCTCGCTCGCTGTCATAAATAAAAGCAAAAACTCCAATTTACAAAATTAGGCGCGCGCTACGCTTCCGGCAAGACAGCACCGCCGCAGATGAAACTCGCTCTCGTTCCTTCAGGTGACAGCGACGCGCCAACCGCTGCCAAAATTAATTTGAGGAACGCGGGCTCTCGCAAAATCCGCTAAATAATGCGTTCAACTTGGTACAACTTTAAGTATTATCAAGCCCCAAGCTGATCCTGGAAAAGCTTCTTCGAATTCCTGAATCTAAGTCGATTAACATTTTTTGCAGCTTTCATTTGTCAGTGGATTAACGTAGATGTATGTACGTTGTAGACAAATTTGTATTTTATATAATGATCATATATTCCAATTAAATGTCATTTTCGGTGGCAAAATTAATTAAATGTAAGTATTGCTACTGACCATATAAAATTATTGTTCATTTAAAGCTAGTTTTTGATAAATATAGTGGGAATGAAAATTTATAAACAAAAATTTATGCATTTGGATTTTTTATTTGAATTCTTTTATTTATAGATCATAAAATAAGTGATAATATGATTTATTTAACTATTGTTTGAAAATATACAATATAAAAATTAAAATTTAAAATATTCTTTCCAAATTTTTATATACAATAATACTAATAAATAATAAGTAATAACATACTTTTTTTTATTTTTTTATTTTACTAAAAATTAGAACAGCATAAAATGTTTTTCAGACGAACAGCACAGAATTAAATGTTCACCTTAAAAGCGCCCATAGCTTATTATATAGCTTATTATCTTGTCCTATGTCTATCCAAATTCTTTTAAAACGTTGCATTTTCACAACTTTGATAAATTTTTCATTTAATTCTCCCCTTCATCCATTCTCTCTGCTCACGCTGAGTATATTTATTTAATTTGCTCGCTTCCAGGAACTTTTCCTCTCGAAATTCCACCGACCAACTGCTGAATTCTGACACACAGCACGACTTTCCTGGTTTGTTGCGACGTTCTATTTACTTACTTAGTGTCGTCTATCTGAGAACACCTACCCTATATATAACTTTGTCACTTGGCAAGCTAAGTTCCAATCTCTTATTTGTTACCCACTTTCCATTCAATATCATCTTATTTTCCGCAATTCCGGGAATGCTCCTCGCTCTCTTTGACTCTTTGACGCGAGATAAAAAAAAAAAACAAAAAAACAACGAAGCGAGGAATGAAAAAGCAACATCGTGACAAAATACTATGTATTTTATTTTCACCCCGGCGCGCCTCTAATTTTCCACTTGATTAATTCCAGGGCAGAGAGTTTACATAAATTTTAGCCCCGGTTATTGTTATTTTTTCGCTCCACATATATTCCGAGGGGAAAATTGAGTTGCTCTGAATTATTATAACAACAGCGGCGGGAGGGTTTAGTCGGCGAGCGCGTGAATTATTGATCACATGATCACCCACGTGCAAGTTTGCACGGTCCAAATTTATTTGCACAAAACTCTGCGCTACATTCTAAATTGCTAGACAGATGGACGAGGGCAGGCAAAAAATATGGCGTCAAATTTGGACAAGTGACCTGTGTGATTAAAAAATCACAAAGAGCAGCAGCAGCAGCAGCAGTCGAGCCACCGCAGAGATAAATTTAAATTATTTCTAGCCGCTTTCGTTGTGCGCTATTTTGGGTGTAATTTATCTGCCCCGTAATAAAGTTTGCTGGCAAAAAAAGGCAGTAAAAAGCGGTACACAGCACAGCAAACTACCAATTTTAACAAATATTCTCTTTCATTTTTCTGCATGTGATACCGCTGTAATTTGAAT